AATGTGATGATATAAAAAGGAAAGTCATTTATATTTTCTCTTCTTCGTATATCTAAATATTTTCTAATTAGATTAGCTTTCAATTTATTTCAAAGAAAAAATGAATTGGTATTATTTATGGTTTTTCAAATGTCATATAAAATAAACAAGTTCATTAACCTGCATTTTAAAAGAGCTCGGCATCCAGGCCAAAGATCATGCCTATCATTATTCTTAAGGTTTTTCCTTTAAACAGTGTAGGTGCGAATTTTTTCTGAGCACATTTAGCTCACGGGGTGTGACCGATGATCTCTTAAACGTTTATTTTTGCGACAAATTGGAAAATGAGACGGATGTGTTCGACACACAATAGAAAGGACACTCGGAACACATTTGTCTCACATTCTTCATAAAACGATAGCTATTACGTCCTAAAGGGATAGTTACTGCGTTACACCCTCCCCCCACCGTCAAGTGAGTGTCGAACCTACAGCGGTTAGGATCAAATGGTGTTTTGAAATCACTCGGCCACATAGGCCCCTAAATGATATAAGGAAGAAAATGACAATCAAACGTGTATTTTATTTTCATCACAAAAATTATAATGTATATATTAAAATTATAAAATTATCGCCATTTTCTGAGAATTGTTTCTTTCAGATCCGCCAATGAAAAGCACTCTTAAAACGTGCATGAGTTCCTAATAGAATCCGGGTAATGCCATAATTATGGAATATGAGACTCGCATAGTTGGGCGAGACGGGACATTTCAACGGCAACCGAAGCGAGGCACGAAATTGTAACACAAGATCTCGAAATGTCGAAGTATTGTAATGCATTAGGGTCAGGGTAACAAAATCTTACCTTATTTAAATGTACTTGTATTAGCAGTAAACTCGACTTGTTCAATGATAGTGATGTGAGCTGTATTCGAACCAATCTTTCCCATTGTCTTTATTGTTGATAGTAACTAAACATAACATTGTACACATACGTGACACATACGTGTAGATCAACATAGTTTTAACAACCTACCACGTATAATACAGCTTCGTGCTCGTTTAACTTTAATCCGAACGTGTTCTGTTTTTTATCCGGCATATCCGGTAACTGTTCCTCATACAGATGTCCTGATTTTAGCATGTAAGTCTTTGTGAGTTGTTATTTATTGTATGTAATTACTCCAGACATTTTTATTGTTTGATTTAAATAGCTGTCAGCACGTGAGTCCTTCTGAATATTGCACAATTTACGATTATTTGTAATAAATTACCACGCTTCCTGCAAGGAAGTAGGGTAGCACACCACAGTAATGTTAGCCACAGCTTCGAATGGCCAGGGATGATTTCTTGGATATAGTGAATTTAAATGACTGGTTGTCTTTAAAATGCATTTTCAGCATGAAATTTGTTTCTGTCACATCTAATATGATCACTGGCAAATTCGAAAACATGGCTAGAAATCACATGCTGTTGATAATATATGTCAAGGCCGCCATTTTTGTAAACATAGCTTTTAAAGAGCATGCACGGTAAAAAGAAGTCATTTTACAGGGGGATACAAACATTTAGCAGTAGCAAAAATTCTACAAGGTTGAGGACTTGTTTCTTTGTAATATTTTGCATGTATAGGGAGTTGCTAAAGCAGAGACGGCGTTCCTTTGGCCTGTATATTTGCAGATATTTTTGCCAGGGGGACGAAATGTGTTGTTTTGGGTCTCGGGCCACTGTAGATTTTGGGCTTCAACGGAATGAAATGCACAATTTTTGACTGCCTGCCTATTGCAGATGGGATAATTTCTTTGTAGATTTGCAATCTTATGTCATATATACTCTCAACAAAATGTGTTTTTTTTTTACAGGTTGTGTAGTTTGGTATCAGAATTATTAGACGTTTTGCTTGTAGGACATTGACGGCAGGAACGTGAAATTAACTGTGGAGTGCTATCTAAGCATTTTGTAGATATGCGTTATGGGAATGTTTACATGGTAACCTTTAGCAGCCGATATCGTTGTCGTCTACAAATTTTCGTAATTTAATGTTTTATCTTTCTTTTTGTATTATAGCAAAGTTTTTCATGTAAAAGTGGCCCAGTGACCAATTTTCTGTATCTTGATCAATGTGACCAAATATTTTGGTCACTGTGACCAGACAAAAATGATCACTGACCATTTCTTTTTGGTAAATGACCAAATTGACCTGTTTTGACCATTTTTGTTGGTCATTTTTCATGATTTAGTATAAAAGGGCCGAATCTTGGTAATCTTGGTCAGAATCTGTTTAGAAACTGTACCATAAGCCTGTTTTGCTTGTCATCAGATGCTAACATGGAAAAAGCTCTTTACACTATTAATGTTAGCAACATGAACTATTTTTAAGGGATTTTTATATACAGATCTACATTTTAAAAGTTTAGAAGTACTTTTTATTTAGAGGAAGCTCGCTTTAAGAATTAACAGAACTGTTTCAAGCTTTATATTTACTGCTCTGAGATGTGCATATTTTTGGGACTTCTACAAAATCTACTTTGATGATTAGTCTAAGCTTAACAAGCTGAGTTAATAATAGTCTTATGAATAGTTTGATTTGAGATACATTCAAGTACACTTGTGAATTATTAGAGTTCTGAAAGCTGATACATATATGCTATATGTTTGATGTGTGACATGATTATTTGCTGATAATTATATGATGAACTGTGCTGAAATTATTATTTATCAAACTTATTAACTGTTTATTAAAGCGTTTATTGTGTGTTGAATAACTGGAAAAGGGTATTATTATTTGTCAAGCCATCCCATGAAGGTATATCAGCTGGAAAAGAGTATAACTTTATGTCAAGCCATCCTAACAAGGTATTTAATAGAATTCAAGCCATCAAGAGGCCCTGCATAACCCCTAGTGTTTACTTCAGTTTGCGCACTAAATAAGCCACCCTGACAGGCCTTCCCCTAGCGCGCAACAGTATCCCGTACCACGAGATTTCACGGTAGAACTTCGTGTCTCGCTTCATGTTTCGCTTTTCGTGTCTCAGTAAAATATCGCACATCGCTTCGTGTCTGTGCTTCTCAAACGAGAAAGCGGTTACTTCACTTTATATGTAACACTCAGGCCGAAAAATTCAGGGGAGATCACTGCGTAAATATGGTCACATGACAGGCGTATTAATTTTCAAGCAAAATAATTCCCGAATGGTCGAAGTTTTCTAATATTGCTTTATTCTTTATATATATACATGTACGTGCTTATTTATACTAAGCGCCATGATTATTTACACAAGTGTTACACACAAGTGTTAAACAACAGATAGCGTCGTTACAAACCCTAATTTAGAATAATATGGTTTTCTCCAGGCCGTTAACATATAAATTCACCGTGTCCGCCGAGGGGTTTGCGCGCTTGCTTTGGAAGCGAGAAGTCTGGATTTCAAATCCCAGTTAAGGCAACTCATTTCTTTTTCAAATTATTTAAGTCAAATAAACATTGGATTGGATATCAGTGATGCAATTAGTCTTATAACCAATCTACTACAATTAAAATGCTGGAAAGCATTGGTGGCACTATACAAAAACAAATCATACTGTTTTATAATCTCACAACCTTCACTTTTCTGAACCGCTATACACGATGGAACTATATGGTAAAAGCGTGATAGTACGATGATGAAAACACGACGTCACGATGATGAAACAACGATGGCACGATGATGAAATCACGATGATGCGATGACACGATGGAGAAAATAATATAGCGTTTTCATCATGATGCCATCACAGTTTCATCATCGTACCATCCATACTATCGTGTTTTTACCATCGTACCATCACATTTTCATCTTCGTGTCTTCTTTTTTTTCACTATCGTATAATCGTTGTTTCAACATCTTACAGTCGTTATTTCACGTTTATACATCCGTGCACTCTGGTCAGGATCCATGCTGTTCGCTTACTAACCCTATAACAAGTAGAGAAACTGATACCGAACATCATGGATCCTGATCAGACTGCGCGGATGCACAGGCTGGTCTGGATGCATGCTGGTCGCAAAACCCATTATGTTGATTTTGTCATGACGCAGCTCATTAAAATAAAGGATATTTTTCCTTGTTGCTTATGAAATATGTTATATTTTTTATGAAGAATGGGCCTTTTATATTGTGTATATATTACATATAAATTTATATTTTTCAGTTTAATTTATATGACATCTCTATTAAACAGGTGAAAATACTGCTTAACAAATGAACTTTTGACATTGTACCATCACCTTTTTTTTTGAAAGGCATATTATGCCTCAGAAATGGCACCATTTATATTTCTCAAAATCTGTTTATTTTTGTATATTGTTACAATTTTCAAAAGCATACTCATTTGTCATATACATGACGTATCTTCTACATCTTTAGCTTTGATGGCAATTAATATAATTATTATAACGAATGTGAACGAAAACGAAAGTGTTTTGTATGGAGGTAAAAATTCTACTTTGTTTACGTTTTTCTACCTTTACAATCAGCGCTATTTTTATTTATTACTTAAACACCATTAAACACATATTTGATATTTCTTAAGAATTAAAAAATATATGGATTTCTGAGGCATTGTTGTGCCTTTAGAAAAACATTTCTTTTATCACAAACGCAACTACAAATGATTTCTACAAAGCAGAAACACGAGATATTATTGACTTCTGTGTGGATAAATTAGTTGATTAAACGTTCAATGTCCTTAAATGACTGTTATAAATCAAGCAAGTGTTCCCAGAAGTCACCGGGGTATCCTTAAAGCAGTTTCCACATGGATAATTTAATATGTAAAGCTAATTAATAATGATATATAGAAAAATCTGAAGGTAATCTATAAAAGTAATGAATTATTCTCAGATATCCTACACTATTGTAAGATATCGTGCAATAATCAAATTAGCGCAAGAACAACTAATCGATAAGACATTACGATCATGACTTACTTTGTTATTTATAGTACAATTATACTACTTTTATTATAAATTTAAACACAATGCAGTTTTATAATATTAAATCTTTTATTACCTTCTACTTTTTATCAATTTAAGTACGTTTTATATGTTTTTTTAATGACACACGCGTCTGGAAAAAAATCTGTACAAGCATTAATCGTGATATTCACGACACTTGAAATATTCATGTTTTATTAAGCTTCTAGTGACTTGGAAATGCCGGTCCGAATATCCAGGGCTTGTTCCCACACTGATCCATGTGATCACATGCTACACACTGGTTCCGGTGTTTAGGACCACACTGGCAACTCTTAAGTTCCGAATGGCAACATGCACAGTTGTACTTGATCTGATCAAAGTTACATTGACAATCGGCGAGGGCGAGTGTATATCCGTCTATGCCCATATCCGGTCCTGGTTGAGCTGTATAAATGAAAATATTCACTTGATGAGAATAACTAGTTCACAGCTTGATTTGTTCATCAAATATTTGTTTTTATTTTATCTTCAATTCATTTTACGTTGTTGTTGTTTTGTTGTTATTTGTTCACCGTCGATATATTGATAATAAAATAATTACTCTCGTTTATAGCAACAACCCCATAATACTCATCTTTATTTCCAGTCATTTCCTCTTTTATTATTTTGATTTGATGATGTGTTCAATTTTACTTTGTGGCTTTTTCTGTATTTGTGAAGATTCTCCGAAGAGATTAAATAATTTGTAAAGTGAATGTCGATTGGTCATAATGTAATTACGGACATGAAAGAGAAAATATGAATTAAATTGTATATAAATGTCCGACAAGTTCTTTAAAATGATAACCTTTAGAATATGTTGAACCCGATTTTTGAATCTTATTATACATATGCCGTCTGTGTTTTGGTGCCATATGTATTTTATCCGATATATAAAAGCTAAAAGACTTCTTATTTAATAACAAGTTAACTTCTAGCAATAGAAAGACCATCGAAACACGAGGCTATCTGATTTGTACAATGGGGCGTAGCCCACGAGAATAAATCAGATTGCTTAGTGTTTTGATGTCCTTTCTCTGTTGTATTAAAAACATGTTCCCTGTTGTCACATTATAAAACCCCGGAAAATGTAGCCATTGAACGAGCATCCGAATGTTATTGATTGGTATGCTCTGGAGTGTGGGTAACTAATACCTGCACTCCAGTTAACGCACTGTGCATGTATGTATATATGATTTAACTCCACTCATTTTCAACAGAAAGGTCCCTAAACTATGATACAATGCATTGTTATCTCGCGATACTCAGACAAGCTATGGTACATTGTTCAGAGTCAGTGACTTTCCAGAGACGGAAGCAAATTCGCAATCAAAATAAAAAGATACTAACGTGTTCCGCAATTTTTTGTTGATCCACAAAGAGTGCACTGGTGCTGGTTTGGTGAAGGGCATTGACACCCACCGTCGTCGCAACAGGCGCAATCCTTGGACTTTGAGTTCAAAGCACATGGGCAGCCGGTTTTATTACTGTTAAGATAAATAATCTCGAATAAATACAAATCTACTTACTCACTTGGAAGTTATGAAAGATTGAAAAGATATTTTACGGTAAATTCGCATATAATAAATAATTAAAATAAATACTTTTTATTCCACTGCGATTTTTTTCACATAAAGGAACTTATAATATGTTTAAGACTTGTTATTTGATGCAGGTTTAGGTTTATAACTTGCATGTAAATTTTCAAATCTTTTTCTCGATCTGTTTTTGTCCAAACTAATTACATGTATACATCTTTATCGAGCAAAATAAGGAAAAAATGAAAAAGAAAGAGTTGCGCCGCCTTTCACTCAAATCCTGATAAAATAGTGCAGCAATCGAATTTCAATTTAACTTGAGTATAATTCTTGATTTAAAAAACACACAAAAATACATGCAACTTGCGGAGAAGTGGGCATCAAATATGTTGAGAGTAGACAAGCAAAAGAAAGAAAACACATACTATATTCTTTTTGCCTTACAATATCTGACTAGAAATCAATCTGACATTTCAACGGAAGCTGCATAAAATGTAATTTAGTATGAAACACGTGACATTATAATACACGTGTACTTGCAACATAGATACTGGATTGCCTTTAACGTTCTTAAAAGCCCAATAAGCCTCAGAGATGCATTCATTTTTTTTCTCAAAAGCTTTTTAATTTTTATTGCATTTTTATATTTTCTTAAAAGTTTATCATTTATCGTAAAGTTGAGCCATCTTTTGCTAATTTTGCGTTTCGTCAATAAGTACAGTTAGACTAATTTAGTATTTCGTATGGATGTCAGAATACCATTTTGTTAACATTTTGCTACCTTTATCACACATTATTTCACCTTCAGCACTAATTTCTTCAGGAGGAAAGCATCCCTCGTGTTCTCTATCTCTTATAACAACATAATAAAAAACATTGCCCTTTCTACAGGAGGAAAATTTAAATGAGCCGTGTCACGACAAAACCAACATAACTCTCTTTTACAAGTAGAGAAACTGATAGCGAACAGTATGGATCCTGATCCAGATGCGCAGGCTGGATCCATGCTGGTCGCAAACCCATTATGTTGGTTTTGTCATGACGCGGCTTAAATAATTTCTGAGACATACAATGTAATGGTCATTTAACAAATAATAACTACCTTGTCCAAATATCGAACCGTTGGTATCGAATTCCACCAAGGGGAGCCGTTGGCATTGAGTTCAATCCAGTGGCTGAAGTGAAAATATGATATAATTTTTGAATTGACTTACAAAGTTATTATCTTTTATAACATGTTATCACATGACGGAGACTGCATGATATAATTTTAATCAACTCGTTCAATAAGTTCAGTATTAAACTAACACTTATTCAATATCCTCTACATGTATTTATTTTTCATTTACGTCGTACCATGTAAAATAGCTAATTTAAGCTACTCAAACGCTTGATAACACACATAAGTAAATAATATAATAACTTGAAATTATAAACTATATTTCAATTCGATGATATATGTAAGGTATGCAATAAATGAAAAGTAATAAAAGAGCATTCAAAAATCAACAGCAGTGTAGACAAAACAACATTAATTAGACATAGTGTCATTGTTCTTTGATCAGGTGTGACCTCAAAAGGTGATTGGCACTGTATTGAATAAAAAAACTCTTGCCATCAAAGGAAAGGATAAATGACTAAAGTACAATCAAACCTGTATTAAAGGTCACCTCTAAATAAAGAAAACCCTGTAGATAAAGACCACTCTTAGACAACGTTTTCTTAATTAAGTTAAATAAAGTAACATTCAAATGAAGGATAAATGACTAAAGTACAATCAAACCTGTATTAAAAGTCACCTCTAAATAAAGAAAACCCTGTAGATAAAGACCACTCTAAGACAACGTTTTCTTAATTAAGTTAAATAAAGTAACATTCAAATGACGACTTCCCCTTGTCAATAAAAGCCATATTTGGTTTCACCCTTTGATAGCCTTGGTTCACAAGTTTAACTGTACATTGTTTTGCATTGCTTCTTGAGACAAAAGTTTAAATAAACCAAATTATCGTCTAGTTCTTACATTCAGCTTTTGCCTAAAACGCCAAAAAAGGTGTGAAAATACTTCAACTCTTGATATGTATCTTTAAAACAAATGAGCCGCGCCATGACAAAACCAACATAGTGCATTTGCGACCAGCATGGATCCAGACCAGCCTGCGCATCCGCGCAGTCTGATCAGGATCTATGCTTTCGCTATCAGTTTCTCTACTTGTAATAGAGTTGGTAAGCGAACAGCATGGATCCTGATCAGACTGCGCGGATGCGCAGGCTGGTCTGGATCCATGCTGGTCGCAAACGCACTTTGTTGGTTTTGTCGTGAAACGGCTCAAATATAATAGTTTTATTTACAAGCTGATGTTGATGTCCAGGCGTTCTTGTTCTTGGCAGGGTCACATTTCAGATTATGGTTGGCAGAATTTAACTCATCGCGTTTCCTGCATTTACCATCTATCACACAATATCCCGACTACATATAAAAAACAGCATGGTTAAGTTGTAACTCGTTGTGAAGAATGAAAAATGTATAGATAGACATATATTATAGTTTCTTGACAAATAAAAAAGAAAGAAATGCATATAAAGGCTTCTCAAGTTTAAATGCGTTGTAATGTAATTCATGAGCATATGATTGTATTTATGGTACTTACTGTTCCGACCAAATTAAAGTAACAAATGTAAATGCAAAAATATGTATTTAATTAGATACAAATTTGTTTTAGTTTGAATGAGAAAAAGTTGACATCAGAACGACTTGCACATCAAAAAATTCAACAGAGAAGATATATTTCTGCATATCAATGCGGCCTTCAGCTTGTCTAAATGTTAAACGTGCTATTTTTAGATAAATCGTTAACTTTAATTGTCAAAGGTGGAAACAGAAATTCGCCGCCGTTAAAATACATAACCAATAAGGAAACCCCTCGATACATCGAATCTATCGATCCACTCTCTGAATGTAAATAAGTTAAACGGTGTCCCTTTAAACTTATATAATAATAATATATTGCAGTTTACCATAATCTGGCAAGATATACCATCATCTCTGCAATCTAGGCACGTTGAATCCGTCCTAATGACCTTGACCTCACTACTATAGTGATGTGCATCATTCGTTACGGACATATTATACCCGATCACCGTGTGACCTGAAACAAAGTGAATGTTTTAAACTATAAAAATTAACGGCTGTACGTCAAGGTATATTTTCTGTGCGGAATTATGATAAGAAGCGGCGTCAAATATTGTTTCAACAAACAGCTAAAACATCAAAAAGCTAATAAGGTAAATATCAAAATTTCATAAACGATTCACTTTTAATAACAGATTCTTCAAAAACCAATAACAGTATTTCTTAAGCATAGATCTAAAAGAGTAACAAAAATACGGCATAAACATGTTTTAAATAGATATACAAAAAGTTTCTACAAAATATTTCAAAGTATTCACAGATGTCAACTGTGCTACTTACTTCATTTTAGCGGCTGAGCCAACAGAATGTTGTTATTTATTTTCTTTTTTAAAATTTAGCCTGAAAACGCCAAAAAAAATCCCTTTCTATGAAATAATACATTTATAAACGTTTCAATTCTAGCATATTACAGTAACAACAATGATAAATGTACCTCCGACTGAACTTTTGAGCGGAAGTTTACACCCAACATTGAACATGCTGTTATATACAGCTGCTGTCATGAAGTGTTTCCCAGTGGCTACAAATCCAGTACCATCAAACTGATATATAAAAAAATCAAATAAAAAAGAGACAGTACACACTGTACTCATGAACCTTACATAAAATGCTGTTATTCAAACGAAACGAAAAAAATCACCGTTGCATAATGTATTGATTAACTGATAAACTGATTGGTTGATTGATTGATTGATTGATTGATTGATTGATTGATTGATTGATTGATTGATTGATGCATTCATTCATTTCATTCATTCATTCAATCATTCCTTCATTCATTCAGTCATTCAGTCGTTTATTTCGTATGTACAAATTAGAGACTTCATTAAATAAGTGGAAAACTAACAACATTTTACCATGATCTACACAAACAAGAGTTAAAAAAACTCGAATTGTTTGAAAGGATGTCATAGACGGCCATGTAAAGACATACTTCATTTACAACTCAGTATCAATTAAATAGATTTTGTTATGGTTATGTTTAATTAAAATTTTAAAAATGAAAGCAAAACAAGTTTTGATAATCAATGTACACGTATGCTTATTTCGTATAGACTTGTGAACCGTACATTATGCTTACAAATGAAGTAAATGAGAAAATATAGCTTAATTAAGTCGTGTTTTCATAAATATGCAACAAACAAATTAATTGATTTATTAGAGTGATGTACAACAGACAAGATATCTATTACCATTAGAATTAAACACTAATTAAAGTTAGAGAAATAGCTTACCTTGAGTTCCTCCAGTCGGCACGATAATTTTGCGTTCTGATAAAAGTTGTTTCCCGCCATGTACACCGTCTCGCACGGTCTCATTGTGACGTCACATAAAACGGTGTCTTCGTAGGAACTGTAAATCATTATAAATACAATGTAATATCATCATTTCTGTCAAAAGGGCATTATTGGTGTCAAAATGAGAATAATTTTTAACACTCTTTACATGTGTTTATTTATCTAAGCTCTGTTTACTTAAACAAATTCTTCCTTAGCTCAAAACTTTTCGCGATTTCCCTCTGTCATAATACCTTTTTTTTAATTTCATAACCAGGCTTTCCAAGATATACTATAGATAGAATGTTTGGAAGTCTGCGAGGCACAGGTGTGACGAAATCATAAACGGTACGTACGCAATAATACTGTATACTTCCGGCGGGCGTCTGGAATCGATATCACATCCTTCCCCTACGTAGCCCGTGTCACAATGACACGTGCCCTTAACGCACGTGCCATGGTCAGAGCAATCACTTGGACACCGATCAGTAGAAACAAAAGCAGGAAGTTCGCCATGTATGTCGTAGTTAGAAGCATTACGTGCCATTGTTTGTACACAGAAAGTTATTGCAGAATCAACAGCACTTTTTATAAATGATCCATCGTCGAAATACTGAAATCAAAATTAGAATGTTCATACTTTAGTAGAACAGATAGTAGTGCTGATTTATGATTATTTTAACAAGCCTTTGCGTCTTTAACACTTCTTGACATGTCAAAATTACAGTTGCAGTCAACATTTTATCTTTCTTTATTAAATTGTTTAAGTGTACTTTTTTTCTTTCTTCCTATTCTTAAGTTCAGCTTTATCGTTATATTTTACAGCCTTATTTCTTAAATGGCAAAACCTAATGGCATAACAATCGTTGAACTACACGGTAAATCGAGCCGTCATTGATCGAAATAAGCTCCATCATCAAAAGCCTTTCGATGCTACATGACAATATGACATAGTACACTGCCAGTTTAAAGTCAATTCAGTCTGCACATCATTCGAATTTGCTTGGATTTTATACTGTCTGTCTCTCAAATTATACCGTACTAGGTGAGGATTGTAATGGATTAAATTCACTTCAGTGTTAGTGCAGTACCTCAAGATGCTTGAGCATTAAATAATGATCACAAAGTAGGAACATATCGCCTTTTCCGCCTATTTTTACATTTTTCATCTATATTCGTACGTAAAGGGATGAATTATACGTCATAAATTGCGTTCGACGGGTGAAAAGGCTAGATTTTCGCATTTGATTATTTGGGCGCCTTGTCCGGTATATACCGGAATACGGTATTTAGTGTGGTGCTCCAACACTCGTTTGTAATTTTTCTTACTTTGAAGTCCTCTACACATTCGTCAATTTGAATGCCAAAGTCAAACCCAATATATGTCGTGCACTGTCTTAGGATTGTGTTTTTGTTGAAAGCATCCTTACACGCTTTCTCGGCATCTGCCTGTGTTTTGCCGTTTTCTGTTGGGAAATTTCTTATCTGTGGTTGAATTGCTGGAATTACATGAAACAAGACTTGTAAGTTATGTATGCATGACGGTTCATTTTGCAAAACAGACAAATACAAGTGCATTGTTTCATTTGCATGTCCCTGTACATAAAACCTTATAATACTTCATTAGCAATTCACTGTAACAAACTGACCATAATAAACTAATATTTCACTGTTATAACTAACAATTTACTGTAATTAAATGTAATTAACTAACAACTCACTGTAATAAACTGTAATTATCTAACAATTTAATGTAATTAACTGTGATTAACTAAGTATTCTCTGTTATTAACTGTAATTAACTACTAATTCAATGTAATAAACTGTAATTAATTGTAATTTACTAACAATTAATTGTAATTAACTGTAATTAACTAACAATTCACTGTAATTAACTAACAATTCAGTGACATTATCTGTAATTAACTAACAATTTTCTGTAATAACCTAACAAGTCACTGTAATTAACTAACTATTCACTGTATTAAAAACTGTAATTAACTAATAATTCACTGTAATAAATTTTAATTAACTAACAATTCACTGTAATTAACTGTAATTAACTAACAATTCATTGTAATAAACTGTAATTAACTAACAATTCACTGTAATTAACCAATAATTTACTGAAATTTACTGTAATTAACTAACAATTAACTGAAATAAATTGTAATGAACTAGCAATTCACTGAAATCAACTGTAATTTACTAAAAAAATCACTGTAATTTATTAACAATTCACTGTGATTAACTAAAAAATCACTGTAATAAACTGTAATTAACTAATAATTCACTGTAATTAACTGTCACTATAATAAACTGTATTAACTAATATTTCACTGTAATAACTAATATTAAACAGCAATAAGCCGGTAATTCACAGTAATTAACAATAATAAAAGCCCAATTCACTGTAATAAACCGGCAATTCACTTTAATAAGCCGGAAAGTCATTGTAATAAGTCAGTAATTTATTATAATAGGTTGTCGCCTATGGTATACGGCATCACTACAGAAATATCATCTCTCATTTTAAGTTGAAAATGAAAATGAACAATTAATTCGTTGAATATTGAACGATGCTCTAGCATGTGTAAGAAGGCATGAGAGATCCGCTTTAAAAGTCTTAAACAAACATAAAGATGTTTTGATTTTCACTGTTTTTTTGTTTTGTTTTTTGATATTTTTATGTCCTTAAGATGACCTATTTATCATAATTATCTTATCTGCACTTACATAACCCGTAATCGAAGTAGTAGTAAACGGGAGCGTTATCTTCTTCAAGTTGACCTGTTGAACGTTTCCTACGTCCCGAAATTTTTAATGCATTTAGATCAATATGCCCATTCTGTATGAAGGGAGTACATCCTGCACCACAACGGGTCTAGAATATAATTTAGTAAATGTACATACAAATCAGGAACCGTAATACCTCTAAAAAGCATCATACTTTGAGATATTAAAAGTTTTGTTGTTGTCAGTGTAGGTTGAAATTATTTGGGAAGTCGTACTTCGAAAAATTATTTCGATTGAGTTTTTACTCATCACATGTTTGACAAAGAATGTGATCCGTGCCAAATGTAATCTTATGCCGGCCTCTGCAAGCTACATAACAATTATATGCTTTGTACGTGCTACCTGAACTGATGTTTATAAAGAAAGGTAACGTAGAAAATAAATAAATCATTCCTGCACTCGATCCTGATGGATATTAAGATTGGTAACGTTGAAAAAAATTAAATAAAATGTGCCCACGGGACTGATGGTTATTAAGAATGGTAGTTGGAAAAAATACACCATACGTGTTATCGGGTCAGATGGTTTGTAAGAATGGTAACGTAGAAAATAAATACACCATAGGTGCTACCTGGACTGATGGATATAAAGAAGGGTAACGTGGAAAATAACTACATCATATGTGCTCACGTTTGATGGTTATAAAGAAATGTAACGTAGAAAAATAAATGCATCATACGTGCTACTTGGTCTGATGCCTATAAAGAATGGTAAGGTAGAAAATAAATAAATCATACGTGCACTGCTGGAAGGTTCTTCTTATTATCTATGGAACAGTCAATCTGACTTTTCTTCTGGGTACATTCACAATAGTAAATATCATTGTTCCATTTCGGTGCAATCGGAATATTTTCTTTTAGGTCAAACATTGAGGAACCTACTGGAATTCTGAAAAGATAAAAAGGCAAATTGACAAAATTGTTAGCTCAATTTTAATAAGTTTCTGAATAAAAACATTTTCCTCGCAAAACAAGAAACACATTTTTGCATTTCATTGAAAAGATGTGTGTTTTTTTTTAAACACAGTATATTCACGAGCCAACTTCCTGCTACCGCAAGAAAGGAATAGGTTAAAATATTAGGTCTCCAAAGATCGGAAGAAACAAGTGCATATAATCGCAATACAGGGTACACATTGAATTCTATAGACTAGCAAGATAAGTTTATCTACTGTATAATAAAAATTGTTTTCTATTCTTTCATGATTAGGATGCAGTGTCTACCAAAAGAAAATGAATAATGCAACAAAAAAAAACGTTGCTTTTTGTGTTGTTTTTTTTTTTTTTTTTTTTTTTTTGCATGTTTACCTCCATGATTCAACAAACGAATTAGCCTGCATACGTGCTGTCTGAATCTTATCTACGGTTCCATCCGGATGTTTTAAATCATTATCTCTATTGCCATCAAATGTTCCACATAGACCTTGAGTAGCTCCAAAGTCGTCCTCTGGCGCAGTAATCCAAACATTTAATAAGCGGTTTAGATAAACGTCCACTTTCACTTGTGCACCAGATGGGAAATCAATCTGGCAAAAAATAAGAAATAAGTTCGAGAAGGGATTAAATTTTATCAATTTTAAAAATTCAATGTTGAATCATAACGAAATGTTCATGGTCATGATCCTGCAAAATAATTCCAGAAAAGCGTCTGGTTTAGCTTTGATTTATTTGCATCAAAACGGAGTGAGGGAGCTCTCTGAGGTGAACTAGTCATTTTTTAGATAATTAAACTTGTTGTCAAGTAACGTTTTTCAGAAATGCAGCATGTTAATGATTGCGTACATTTTAATTGTTTTACTTTTTACAATTTAAACATAAAAAAAGGTACGTGAAAAGTAAATCTACATTTTACAATTTTTATCCGAATTTTTAAGAATTGAGAATTATACATCTATTTATTGGAAACAAACATCAAAAGTATAGAGGCTATTCGTTGCCAAAATTCCAGCCTTTGAAACTTGACAATGCATACATCGGTTCTACTAAACAGATTAGTAAAAATCTAATTGTCGAGCCGAGAGTTACATACTGCACTGGTATTAAGCATTTTGATTATCTCGATTTGATAAAATGAAAGCTGTTAATATGCAACTTAAGATAAATTGCAAACTGTATTTATAAATGTATAACTTCAAATTTGCGACATGTAGAAATGTAAACGATAGCACGTACACAATACGTTTAACTATGGAACGCCGTGACTGTCTTATGTAATCAACGTTTTTGTTATTTTGTGAAACGATGATATTATTTTGTCGTTTGAGATGGTTAACATGTGCAATTTACATCATGTCTTGTCAAAGGAACATGCTGACTTGTACAAACAACATTTTAACTTGTCAAATGATTATGATGACATGTGCAGACAACATCCTAACTTGTCAAAGTATCGTGATGACTTGTGCAAACAACATGTTAACTTGTCAACATGTAATGATGACTTGTGCAGACGACATGTTAACCTGTCGAATTATTGTGATGACATGTGCAAACAGCATGTTAACTTGTCAAAGAATCGTGATGACTTGTGCAAACGCCATGTGAACTTGTCAAAGTATAATGATGACTTGTGCAAACGACATGTTAACTTGTCGAATTATCGTGATGACATGTGCAAACAGTATGTTTACTTGTCAAAGTATCATGATGACTTGTGCAAACAGCATGTTAACATGTCAAATTACCATGATGACTTGTGAAGACAACATGTGAACTTGTCAAAGAATCGTGATGACTTGTGCAAATGACATGTTATCTGTATCATGCTGACATGTCAAAGCGTACTGTTAACTTGTCAAAGTATTATGATAACTTGTGCAAATACCATGCTAACATGTCAAAATTCCATGATGACATGTGTAAACAGCATGTTAACTTGTCAAATTATCGTTATGATATGTGCATACAGCATGTTAACTTGTCCAAGTATCATGATGACTTGTGCAAACGACATGTTAACTTGTCCAAGTGTAATGATGACTTGTGCAAATGCCATGTTAACTTGTCAAAATTTCATGATGACATGTGCAAACAGTATGTTAACTTGACAAAGTGTCATGATGACTCGTGCAAACGCCATGTTAACTTGTCAAAGTATAATGATGACTTGTGCAAACGACATGTTAACTTGTCGAATTATCGTGATGACATGTGCAAACAGCATGTTAACTTGTCAAAGTATCATGATGACTTGTGCAAACAGCATGTTAACATGTCAAATTACCATGATGACTTGTGAAGACAACATGTGAACTTGTCAAAGAATCGTGATGACTTGTGCAAATGACTTGTTATCTTGTATCATGCTGACATGTCAAAACGTACTGTTAACTTGTCAAAGTATTATGATAACTTGTGCAAATACCATGCTAACATGTCAAAATTCCATGATGGCATGTGTAAACAGCATGTTAACTTGTCAAATTATCGTTATGACATGTGCATACAGCATGTTAACTTGTCCAAGTATCATGATGACTTGTGCAAACGACATGTTAACTTGTCCAAATGTAATGATGACTTATACAAATGCCATATTAACTTGTCAAAATTTCATGATGACATGTGCAAACAGTATGTTAACTTGTCAAACCATCGTGATAACATGTGCAAACAACATGCTATCTTGGTGACTTGTGAAAGCGACATGTTAACTTGTCAAATTTCATGATGACAAGTGCAAACAGCATGTTAACTTGTCAAGGTATCGTGATGACTTGTGCAAATGCCATGTTATCTTGTCAAATTATCATGACGCCTTTATTCGCGTTATTACGCCTTTTAATTCGCGTTATTACGCCTTTATTCGCGTTATTACGCCTTTATTCGCGTTATTACGCCTTTTAATTCGCGTTATTACGCCTTTATTCGCGTTATTACGCCTTTTGATTCGCGTTATTACGCCTTTTGATTCGCGTTATAACGCCTTTATTCGCGTTATTACGCCTTTTGATTCGCGTTATTACGCCTTTATTCGCGTTATAACGCCTTCTGATTCGCGTTATTACGCCTTTTGATTCGCGTTATAACGCCTCTATTCGCGTTACTTCGCCTTTATTTGCGTTGCTACGCCTTTTTTCGCGTTATTACGCCTTTTGATTTGCGTAATTACGCCTTTTGATTCGCGTTATAACGCCTTTAATCGCGTTATTACGCCTTTTGATTCGCTTAATAACGCCTTTATTCGCGTTATAACGCCTTTGTATTTTTATTTTTTATTTCATTTGACACTATTAGGCTTTCGTAAGGGGGTATATTTGGATATTATAATTAATATTGGTTTTTTGATAGAATTTCAAGTTCCTGTGATATAATGTAACAATGTAACAACGTATATACTGATAATGAGCATAATAATATGCAAAAACTAAAGTTGGTGAACTAACATAAGGGAATGTTTCCCATATATAATAACACACACCACTATTCATAGATATGAATGATAGACTTTGTGTGCCACGGCAATACTCGCACGCATATTTTACATTCAGCAAATAGTACTAGAATGCGATACATGTAAGGCACTTTTGGCAACACGAATAAAGAGAACTGAACAGTAAGCCTATGCCTTCTTTCTTTAAAGGACTATGTTGGGTTGTAGAAAAACCCATATTTTGACCAAGTGTATAACCACGAAACAATTCAAAGTTTACTATCGATAATTCCGTTGTATAACCAAAACTTGTGATTTTGTCCCATTTTCATTTTAATGTTGAAATAAATATTCAGTGTATCCTACCAACGCTGTCTATATGATCAAAAGCAGAGAACTGTTTTTATGTACATGAAATACTACACAGAATATTTATTAAGTTTTGTAAGTGATGGCTTTCTAAGAGATAAAATAAACAAGGTATACATTGATAATCAACATACATACATTTGGACTCATTTAAATTTTACTTATTGAAAAACAAAATGGGAAAAATGGGAAAATATATGGTAAAAATTAAAAGTTATGTACGAAAGGGTACATACAACTTTGGTTATAATTTTACTATTGTTAAAGGGTTTTTTTCTTGTCAAGTCATACGCTAGAATTAAGGTTACTAATATAATAATAAATGCTACTACTAGGAAAGACAACAGCCAGAATTTGGTCTTTATTAGTAATTAGTCGTATCAAAATCTCTATCAGATGTTGGCTTGAAAATTTGAAAGTGGTATGATAGCAGCTTAACTGTAAATGTTACTCATTCCCATGCAAATTGGAATACCATCAGTAAATTTTTTTTGTCGTTGAATATAGTCTTATCAATAGTTTTCAATTCCTTGAAAATTATTTAACCTCAGACAGTAAGGAACCTGGTGTTATTTTTTTGTTGTTTTTTTTTTGTGTGTGTGTTTTTTGGGGTTTTTTTAGTTTCTTTTTTTAGGAAATGTGACTTATATACCTATAATCTTTAAAAGTCCGCTGATATTGATTGTATAAAGGCATAGAATGGCAATCCTGCAAGTGAATTATGTTTGGTGAATAACTAAACACCTAAAAGGTATGGTAAACGGAAACTACACCGCTTCTTGTCGCCGACGGTAAATACCGAAAATGAGCGGATAAATACGTTTATTTACGATGATGTAGTGGGCGGAAAAATGGGCGGAGCTTATTTTATCTCCTATTGAAAAACGTGTAAAGCTAGATTATGCTGATCCGAATCATGATGGTTCGACAATGTAAAGCTAAGAATGTAACTTCTGTTTTGTCGGCGTATACACGAACAATGAGTATTCGAACACTTGGTATTGCTACTTTCAGTTAATGTTTTGTCGTTTAACAAAATGTATTCTGTTTAAATGCATGTTTACAATGTTAAATCGGCAAACTCAATCCAAGAATGCAACATTGGAGTTTACATACAAAGAAATACAATTGTATTTTTTTCCATTAACAAACTCTTCAACTCAGATCAACAAGGCTGGATTTTTGGCAACAAATAGCCTCCATACAAGAGCGTTTCTTAATCAACCTGACACATGTAAATGCATTTTAAGATCCCGCAAAACAAATGTCTTGATGTAAGAATTGTGTTCGAGTCCAGAAGGAACCACATATTCTTCATCAAAAATGGTTCCGAATATTTGGAGGGGAAAAAGTCGGTATTAAAATAAAGAAAGATAGTACTTATTTCCTCAGAGTCATGAAAAACTAGTTAGATAAATTTTCCTGTGTGTACATTATAGAACGGATGTAAACTTATCAAATTAACAAGTCTGAAAAAAGAATGGATAATGTTAACCGTAAAATAAATAAATAAATAAATAGATAAAAAAAAATAAATAAAACAGTAGTGCTTAAAGACAAGACTATACCAGGATTTTAAAGAAACCGCACATGTCAATCAAATATCACTTGGAGTAACGGAGCGAGTGAGTTCAAAATTTATTTTAGGAAAGTTTCAACATAACAGATTAGCCTGAGAATGTCATAATCTAAATACAATAAAAACCTTCAATTAAGACCACCATCGGGACTGGACCAAAGTGGTCTTTATTGCGGGGTGGTCTTAATTGTGGATATTCTTATTATTGCTTACACACGTTATGACCAGGGCCTATTTTGGTCATTTTGTATGAACAAACAATAAGTATCTTAACCTGCAAATACAACATGAAAGTATGTTATAATGTTACATCTGATGGGAAGAAAACATATTTCTGAAGAAATTTTAAATCAAATTTTCTTTGTTCTGATTTCAATAGTAATTATTATAATTCACATATCATATCAGACATTATTTCGTCACAAAACAAATGTGCATAAAGCAACATTAAACCACTATGAAATTAAAATTCTCACCTTTTTCGTTAAATATCCCATAAATAACAGTTTTTGACACCTTGTGTAATCAAGTGTTATGCCTAAGAGCAATCAAGCAGAGTATAACAACACATTTAAGATCTAGGAAGGTGTTGATTTTAATATCAGTGGTCTCAATAGTGAGGTCAAATAAAGAACAAAATAATAAATTGGGACTGAATTTGGTGGTCTTAAAAGTGGATAAGTGAGGTGGTCTTAATTCTGGATCATGTAACCATTGACATAAAGAACAGAAAATTCCGTTCTTTTAAAAACTGGTCTTTAAAGCGGAGTGGTCTTAAATCCGAGGTGGTCTTTAGTAGGGATTCTACTGTACAATAACAATCAAATTAACCCAATCACGTAATGTTTGTAGGATACATGTACATGACCTTCTTAGTGCTGTAGACACCAGTCATTCTAAAATTATTTATTGTATACATTCAAGCTTACGGAACGTCGGTGGTTCTACTCATGTGCCCGTTCGTGCCTGAATTATTGCACGAAAGTGCACCTAAGGTCTTTCTCCACCAGTAAAGCTGGAACGTCGCCATATGACCTATAATGTGTCGATGTGACGTAATTTAACCCAGTCAATCAAACAAACAAACTTATTTATTGTTTTAATCAAATGTACATACCAAAAAGTGTTTGCCTGCAGGATCCCTACTGACCACCATCCCTTGTGTCAACGTTCCTTTGTGCGGAATGATAACTTGAGCGAATGATTTCCCATAGTGACCATGGCATATGTCTATGATAACTATATCATTACCTTCACGTGCCGCTATTGCACAATTACATGTTACGTGACCACATTTCCATGTTCTAGCCTGAACCTATTAGATTAAAATTTTGTCAAAAATTGTTTCTTTTAATTAACAATATAGTTAAGAAATATGAATTACTTCAGCCAACAATATTTAGCCTATACTAGTAGGCAGCTCATATAGACTGAGCAAAATGAGCAGTCTTAAATTAATACTTTAATTACTATAACATCAAAACTGCATTTTTTTTCAAATGTAAATGAACTCTTAAAACTGATTATATATCTTTGCTAAATAAATCCTAAGACCAATGGAGTTTTTTTAGCTTTTATAAAATTATATAAAAAATGTTTGATATATTGTTATAAGGCAGAGGACATGGCTTTTCCTTTTCTGTAATTTTGTCGAAATGAGAAGTATGTTACTAAATATGAGCCGCGCCATTACAAAACCAACATCGTCGGTTTGCGACCAGCATGGATCCAGACCAGCCTGCGCCTCATGCTGTTCGTTTACCGACTCTGTTACATGTAGAGAAACTGAAAGCGAACAGCATGGATCCTGATCAGACTGTGCGGATGCGCAGGCTGGTCTGGATCCATGCGTGTCGCAAACGCTTTATGTTGGTATTGTCGTGACGCAGCTCATATGTGATTACATTTACACGAGTATGTAAAAATTCTTACTTGGAACAATCGGTTAGCTGCTGTACTCTCATACATAGTAAACTCTCCAACTTTGTAGTAATCTATATAACTAAACAGACAGAAAAGTCATTTGAGCCGCGTCATGACAAAACCAACATAGTGCGCATCCGCGCAGTCTGATCAGGATTCATGCTGTTCGCTTACCAAGTCTATTACAAGTAGAGAAATTGATAGCGAAGAGCATTGAACGCACTATGTTGGTTTTGTCGTGACGCGGCTCTTTTCATGACAGTTGTTCACATATCTTACAGTTTTGGCTCTTTACAAGTTATCATAATTATAATATTCATGTTTTATATTATCTTGAACACGGGACGCATTAAGATATGTTTTTACTTACGGTGTCTATTATTAAAGTGGATATGTCAACAATTTGCACATTTTCAAAAAAAAAATAATATAATAGGAATATACCATTTGAATATTCTAATTAAATATTGCTTCTAAAATGTTTTTAAAGTTCTAAGTGGCATAACATGAACATTAATTTGATGAATAATAATACTTTGTTCTAGAACATTTTTATCTGCTGATTTGTTATATGATATATATATATTAGCAATAAAATATGATTAAACTTAATTTTATTATCTGTTATCACGCACGTAAACAAATGTGCCATGAGTATGATCTTTGACTGTACAGTCCGCATGGATAGCATCTGTTACTATATAATGACTAACTTACCTTCCTTTTTTAGTGAAATGTGTATCAAGTGTAATACAATGGGGGTCGCCAGTACAGCTACAGGTGGAGGTGTCCTTGTCCTGACTGTGGATCTGTATCGTGTTATAGATGAAAAGAATTGCAAATCTTAGACTTGTAATTTCATTGTATCACAGTTTAATATTGTTTTAAAGGCGCATATTTTCGCAAAAGCCAAATAAAACGTTAGAAATATCAATGGAAATGAAGAATTGGAATAAAATGTGTTCTTTACGTGTGTTTGCCTGTACCAGTAACTGAATTGATCCAATACACTTGTTAAGAAATTTATGAAATTATGTCTGATTAAAATGTATTAAATACTTGATGGATGCCAAGTAGAGAAAAAGCTATCGCACAGGAGGTTCAAGGCAATCAAAATTTTCTTCATTGTAAAGACGATATGAATGTTTTTAATTTGACGATTAAACAACTAATCAGAACGGCTGCTACTGTTTCATCTTCGACTGATCAAATTAAATCATGTTACTACATGTACTATCACATAATGTTTTTTTGTGCTTTCCTTTTTCTCTTTTTTTCGTGTGACCTGCCGCAACCCCGTTATAATGGAAGGGACTTAAGTCTTAGATGATTTTTGGTATCTTTATAAACTACCACATTAATATACTCATTTGTAAAATCTTTGGCTAGTTATCCGTTACTCTCATTTTTTGCATCACTGGCACATCATCACAAAAAATATCAACAACTCGACATCATCATCATAATTTGCATCAGCAGAATTTCCATCATCATCACATTTAATTAAAACAAGAAACAATAGATATACCGGTAGGTATGGAATGTTGTAGCCATTGAAAATTGGAGGAGCATCGCCCGAAAATATCTGCTGGAAATGTAAAGCCAGGTTTTTATCATGGTCTTTCTTAGGATCTCGCTGTGCTAGAATTTGAATTGGGATAACAGCCTGGTTTTTTTTAGGATCCCAATCAGTTGGTTTTAAAACTTTCGTGCAGTTAGTTGTCGTTAGACTGTTGTCTGGAATACCAATAAAACAACGTAACAGGCTTAAATTCGACAGTAAAAATATCAAATTGATATGTTCACTGTTTCAAACAGTGAAATAACAGTTTTATATTTTACTGATATATTTCTATAAACCACCGAAAAGCATGTTATGAATATAATTATTATCTTCTTTACAAACCAGCTGTGAATGAAATCTACTACAACAGATATAAGAAACAAGTATGATTTTTTTTCTCAGTCACATTAAGTCATCACAGTTCTAGGAAAACAAATATAGCTAAACATTTAATTTTGTCAATCGTAAGTTGTGTGTATTTATTAAAAAATTATAAACGGATTATCAACGAACTTTTAATCGCCTAAATAATAAACGGTATTTGTAAAGGTTTCTGTAAACATAACAAGACTGGAAAAATATGTGTGTACCATTCGATGGTCGAATGGACCAATAAACTGTGTGCAAATTTCCAGATCTTTCCCTCATCCCGTTCCCCAGAAAAATCACTTTCAATTGAGCAAAATCATTCTAAGATCTTAAAGCTGGATAAGATTCGCATAAAAATTCAATAATCAATATGAGCCGCGTCATAACAAAACCAGTGTTTGCGACCAACATGGATCCAGACCAGTCTGATCAGGACCCATGCTGTTCGTTATCAGTTTTGCTACTTGCAATAGGGTTGGTAAGCGAACAGCATGTATCCTGATTAGACTTCGCGGATGCGCAGTCTGATCTGGATTCATCCTGGTCGCAGACGAATTATGTGGTTTTGTCGTGAAGCGGCTCATTTAATTCTGAGTATACATATTCCCATTTCATTGTTTTGCGGATATTCCAATGTAAGTGATTATCTTGACCTTTGTAAGAATTGCAAATATATATGTTGTTATGTCTTTATATATTTTCACCTACGTGGAGCTCCTTTAAGGTTTAAATGAGGCAAGAGATACAGTTGTTATTTCGGGTAAGGATCTAGTATTGCAGTCCTGTCGTGATAGACCGATTCACTTTAAAGATATTTCTATTTTACAAAGTGTTCTTTGTAAATTCCGACAAAGTACGGAAACAGCCGATGTTAATCGTGTACTTACGGTTATTATTATCGAGATAAAGCTCCAATTTGCAGGTTGGTTGCGCGAGTTTGTCACAAACAAGTGGTACAGTTGACACCATGTTGACAGTTTTCGGCGGTTCTTTTGAAGTGACGGTCAAACTAGTTGGTTCGAACTGGAATTTGATAAATGCTCGACGTATACATACTAACTTCCATTTGATATTTGAATTTGACTTATAATATATACATATAACGTAGTTATGTTTTGTTTTAAACAATACACACTTAAAAAGCCGTAATAAGGAACGCACCTTTCATTACATGATTTATTTATATGCTTTTATTCAAATAAATCGTATATTCCGTAAGATTTTTTTTATAGATTTCAATTAATTTTAGCATTAAAAATATCTTCCTCAAAGATGAGCATATTATATCTTCAATTGCTTTTTTGTGACAGCTTAGTATCCTTGGGAACAAGAATTAGTAAAATTAGTAAAATTATCATTTCTACTAGTGGCGGCATGGCCGAGTGGTTAACATGTCGGACTAGTTATCTAATTATCGCCAGCCGCATGGGTTCCAACCCCGTCAGGGGCAAGTCCTTTAGCAAGAAACTTTACACTCATTGCTCAGTACTGGTTGGTTCCAGGAACGGATTCGAAAGTGTGTCTTTAAGCTTATAGCTTCTTACACAATCGAGCTAAAATAAATTCTGTAATTATCAAACTGTGCATCTATGATTTATTTCATGTTCAACAAACGAGCTTTCGTCAAAAATAAGGTTCTATATTTATGGAAAACCACAGTTTCTTGAGGTATCTGCATAAGATGAAAGAACTTCTTTACCAGCAGTTGATAGCATAAAATCTTCACGTCTAACTTCTTATATGAATATTTAAAACAATTAATAAGCTGAATTAATAACTCTTAATATTTGAGCAGCGTCACGACAAAACTAACCAATGCATTTGCAACAAGCATGGATCCAGACCAGCCTGCGCATCAGCGCAGTCTGATCAGGATCCATGCTGCTCGCTATCAGTTTCTCTACTTGTTATAGGGTCTGCAAGCGAACAGTATGGATCCTGATCAGACTGCGCGGATGCGCAGGCTGGTCTGGATCGATGCTGGTCGCAAACCCATTATGTTGGTTTTGTCGTGACGCAAGTTATTTACTAATATAAATCTTTATTTAATTTATACATGAAATATGGTGCTATATCAGTCAAATATATTTCATATTTTTTAAAAATAAATATGAAATATAAATATGAAAGTGGGAGGAGTCAAAACTCATATTTATTTTACGGGACTTCTTTCGCCATTTTGTTTGAAAAATCTGAAAATTCAAAACAAATTTTTGTCTTATTTTGTTTTGTAAACTATCTAGAATGATAGAAAACGGTCCAAGTAAGAAAATAAATCCGAACACCAATATTTTTAATTCAGTCATTAACGCTGTACAGACGTTTAAAGAGTTGTTTACGTGACGTCACAATGTAGCGCTAAATATCACGTGCAAAACAAGACAATAATTATATAACTGCGCGCTGTACATGAAATTAAATAAAAAGGTTATTTTTCGTTTTTCGTGAAATATGGTATATATTTTCACTCAACATGATAAAATGCCACATATTTTCACTCGCCGTCCCGGCTCGTGAAAATATGTGGCATTTTATAATGTTTCGTGAAAATATATTCCATATTTCACTCAAACGAAAAATATCCTCTTAATAACATACCTGCAACTGTAAATATAGAGATATTTTGTAATTTGAAGTAATTTACGTTGTGAAATGAGATATAAAAATAAAATAAGTTGAGGTTAATGTTGCATTGACAGTTTAATTACAACATAGTGCTCACCTTATTAGCAATGTGAATGTGTGTATGTTTTTCAGTTTATTTGTAACTCCCTCACGGTTCCCAATACGGGCGTGTCCTCCAGGAGAATAGATTTTGGAGCATCGTGCAAGATACAGATACAGAAAGATGCTCCCTTACCAAAGGCGTCTCCTGGTTATTTAGCATGCCAAGTGTTTAGGCGCTCATACACGGAACCTCGATGTAAAACACATCCGAAAGATTGTTTAGTAATTTAACAGTGTCAAACACAGCTTATATATTACCTTAATACCGCACCAGTACCCGTTGCTAGGTAACAACGGTCCTTTCCTGAACGGGGTAGCAGTGAAGTAAGATCGAACTCGACAGCTCAGCTTAAAAGAAAGTAATGATAACCTAATTTATTTCTTTAGAAAACATGTATATGCATTTTCCTTACTTTTGTTTGAATAAATTTAGTAACTCCTAAAAGTATCAACTTCAATGATCATAAAATGCTTATTGTGAGGCAACTGAAGTTTTCCATATGCTACAAATTAAGTTTTCCTTATTCTATAGTAAAGTGTTCCATTTTCAAACAAAGTTTTCCCTATGCTACAAATTAAGTGTTCCTTTTGCTATAATGAATAAAGTGTTCTCTTTGCTAAAAATGAAGCTTTCCCTATGCTACATTTTCAGTGTTCTTAATGCTATAATAAAGTGTTCCTTTTTTAAACATAAAGTGTTCCCTATGCTACAAGTTAAGTGTTCCTTATGGTATAATAAAAAAGTTTCTTTTTGCTAGAAATGAACTGTGCTCTGTGTCAGACATTAAATATTCCTTATGCTATAATAAATTGGTCGTTTTGCTAAGAATGAAGTGTTCCCTTTGCTGAAAATGAAGTGTTCCCTATGCGTAAATGAAATTTTGCCTATGCTATAAATGAAGATTTCCCTATGCTTAAATAAAGTGTTCCCTATGCAACAAATAAAGTTTTCCCTATACTAAAATAAAGTATTCCCTAGTCTATGCAACAAATGAAGTTTTCCCTGTGATACAAATGAAGTTGTTCGCTAGTATGCTAAACATGAAGTGTTCCCTAATGCCACAAAGACACACATTAATTATATTCTCACTTTGGAATACATGTAGGTAAATAAAAGAAAACTGAGGTATATAGGTTTCTAGTAAGCTTAATAATTATAATAAGATCTTTAAATGGAGAAATTATGCCTAACTATTAGAAATATCCTAACATAGAACAACACACCGTATTACCGGCGGCAGTGATGGCAGATCACTGCAGTGATGGCAGATATCTGCAAATTACCGATCGATACAGGTAGGTTATAAATTTGGTTGGTTTAATTATATGACACAAATACGGCCCATTTCATTGCTATAAAACTATTGTCCATTGAATGGAGATACTGTAAGGTAATTTTGGACTCGTTTTTTCCTGTTTCAGTCTATTTTGAGCAGGTTAAAAGTGAAAGCCTTAGAAAAATCCGTGAAAATGTCTGTTTTCTGTTCAAAATATCTCAAGTTTTAAGTAAATGGCAGGATTTCCTGTTATCAATATAGACGTTCATCCATTGGGGTCACGCAAGCCAAATATCTACCCCGTGAGTCTTTTCTTAAAAGTTTTACAGACGCTCAATCTTGTCCGGTCGAAGAAAAAATGCTGCCGTTGTAGGCAGATACATATTATAAATGCTGCCGTCGATGGCAGAAATACCATGAAAGTGGCTAACATTCTGACAGAAAATCAAGTTCAATCTTTTATCAATTCCTCTTTTCTTTGCGCCCTTTTAGTCAGAATTGAGACGTTAAACTATCATTTCTAATATTTTATCAAGATAGAAAAGTTATTAACCCATTACCCCATGAGCATCTTGTGAAAAATGGCTGTTTTCATTGAAAGGTCTCCCGTTACAAGTTCAAGTTGCTATAAAACTATAAAAACTGCTTCAATACTAATCAAACTTGGCACAAATGTTGACTGGACCATTGCCTTTGTAACAACATGTTCAGTCTGAAATTTCCTGTTACCATAGCAACTAGGGGACATCTCAAAATTGCCAAAAATCACTATTTTGAGTTGATTTTTTCCATCAAAATTGATTTCAAAGTGCTGCCACTTCTCAATGGATTGAGATAGAGTCAATGGCTTTTCAGCATTGGTTACACGTTACCTTATGATCGACCTGGGGCCATTTTTAGCTTCCCACAAGTCCAAAGTTTTCTTGGCGATGAGGGGGACTCAGCCCCCCTTCAAACCTCCCAAACAGAAGGGGGCACATCCCCCTTCTGGCAACCCCCTGATGTATCTTTTGGATGGGGGTGGGTGGTCGCGCCGAAAAAGTGGTCAATTTTTTAAACAACATTTATCAAACAAAAACAAGTGTTTTGGGGCCTAAATAAGGCATTTTTTTCACCATTTGAGAAAGCAAAAAAGGAGGGGGGGGTGAAAAAGGCGTAGAAAGGCGTATATCTCTGGTAATGGGTTAATAGAAACTGATGAAAAAAAACGAAATTACCCAAAAACGCGTTTTTCCATGTTAAAACAAGGCCTCACATATAATTTTGAAGAAAAAGTGCTGTTTTGTAGATTTTGATTTTTTTCATTAATGCGGTATGTGCATCGAAAAAAAGCTTATTAGCAACATGCAGTTACAATACAAAAAGTTATGATTTAGTATCACAAAATTTCACTATAAAGAAATGAACATGAAAAACTTCATTTTTCTATATTCATGCATGTGTGTCTGTCAGTTACATGCATACAATACTATATGTATCTTAAGTTTAGCAGCGCACTCCCTTTTTAAGACATAACGCCAATTGCATATTACAGCAAGTAATTTCTTTAAGTGGATATTCATTTGCTAGCATATGACATTATTTTCTCGAGGTAATAATGTTCATCGCTTTATGACAAATAAAGGCTGAAATTTACTTAATCGGCGCAGATTATAAATTATAAAATTGATGTAATAAAGGGGAGACTATTAACCTCGCAACTGGCATCAGTGTATCATAAAACAATGTATGTTAATGTAAAATGGAAAGATAATATTATTGACAGTTCAAATATTTTCCTATATTATCAAGTTCTTGAAAAACACGACAATGTGGATTCATTTCTTTAAATTTTCATGTCTGTAATAGCGTTAATTGTAGTTTGCCTTTGAATTACATTTACTATGCTAAACTATTAACAACAGTTCTAACATCACGTGCTCCCATCTAACTATATGTTTTTTTATTCATTTTAGTTGTAACCATGACAACTTATTAAGATGAACCTTTCGATGATTCATATCACTTGATAAAAATAAATCCTGTATTTATAGGAAAAAAACTAGAATTTTTTTATTTGTTATATTCTTTTTCTCTTTTTTTACCTTTCAATTCATATGAACAGTTCAAGCACACATGCATGAATATAGAAAAATGAAGTTTTTCATGTTCATTTCTCTATTTATAGTAAAATTTTGTCGTACTAAATCATCACTTTTTGTATTGTAACTGCATGTTGCTAAAAAGCTTTCACTGCCGCCGGTAATACGGTGTGAACAATACAAGAGGTCCGTTTAACTACCGGACATGCGTACAAATATAGCAAAAGTATTTGACAGTTACCGTTTCTCCCATGTGTCCGGCGAGGTATTTCTGATCTAAAACAGCATCTCGTGACGTTCCAGTCAGGTGTGTTTTCGGAATACTGGCGACGGTTTTATTGTCAAAAATCCACTCAACGTCAAATCCGACGTCGCTGCGTGATGCGTCGAAATTCACGTGACATTTGAACTCAAAAGTGTCAGGTTTAACAATAGGATTCGAAAGGGTTGGGTTGCTCAACATCTTTGGAAACATGTCTGAAAATAGTCATTCAATAATTTTTTAATGATTATTAAGGAAATTTGATAATAAATGTAGACACAGTTGAATTTCCTTTTATTGTTACACGTAACCTATACATTGATGTGGCTTAGGACAACGTTCCTATGCTTCCTATGCTTGAGCCTTAAGTGAAGACCAAGGCGTAACAATAATTCTGAAATGTAGGTTAAGTTGTAAACATCATCGTTCCTATGCTAAAACCATTAAAGGCTTTGCGGTAACCGTTAAATTTCTATGTTGTGCATGTAGGAAAGATTTTGGACAATTACATGTCTATTTGTCCTGATAAATGAGGAAAGTTGTATACATTTCCGATCGTTTTCTGTGATTTAATTAACAATGGACATTGTCTATTATGCCCTGAGCTTTTTCAGTTAGGAAACAAATATTTTGGTTCTGGTTCTGATATAAACATGTATAAAGGGATATCTAGTCATTAAGGTAATGCGTATCTCACTTTTGACACAAACAAAATGTAAATTTCAGACACATTTAGCAAATGCGCATGCGATCTACTTTTTCTGTCTGAATAGATAAATGTCGAGAGTATGCTTTAAAGTAAAATGCCACAAAGCTAAATAATAATAATAATAGGCAATTGTTTCCAAACCTTGCCTGGGTTTCGTTTGTATTTTATAATATGGTGTATTTATTTTAGTAACAAATTGTAATTTAGTGAACTTCTTTAATGTTCGATTTAGTATGATAGAATAATGAAATTGCAAGGACGAAAAATATCTTCAAATTTTTGAATATTTTCTCACCTTTACAACCTGGTTCATACCCAGTAGCTGACCATTTGTCCGGAGGACACGGTACACCAGTGCCTATGAATTAAAATGTATCAATGTATAGTGGTTTCTCAGTCAAGTAATACAAATAAGGCATCATTTGATGGAAAGCGTAAATAAAGAATCATTTGATGGAAAGTGTGAACGTTTGATTGGCTCGTTACATTTTCAATATTGTAAACTTAATTATTTTTAAAAGTATGGCTATCCCGTAAAAAGGTGTTATATCTATGAATACATAGTATTGTATAAAAACTGCGCACGCACATTCAGTGTATAATAAAGGAGAAAAAAGGCATCTTATTCTAAAAATCGTCTCATTGACACCAGAGTTATTGCAAACTATCAGAAAAATGGCTTTGCTCTGTTATTGTGTGGACTTAATGCAAGTTGTCAAAAGCCTGTTCCATGGTTTACCTGCACAATAGGCGTAGGAACATCCTCTAGTGGGCTTTAGTTCGTACACATAGAATGTTCCACAATTTTTCATTCTAATCGTGTCAGTATATTGGCAGCAGTCCACATGCTTTCCATCTGTTCCACAAACCTTACAAAATTCACATTAAGGAATTAATCATTTGTTGCTATGTCTTCTTCATTGTTTTTCATCCTTTCTTTCTCTAACGTGACCAGAGGGCTAACGTCACGTTCGACATGTCAGGTGTTCCATGGGCCAATTAATGCACTTTTTGATTTTCAACGTTATACGGGAAGGAAGATTTTTTAAATAACTACCTCTTCATGTACCATGTGTTGTACAAAACAATCTTATCAATAACTTTTGATGTTGCAGCGTCCGGTTCTCATCCCATAATGGCCAGTGTAATCAGAGAGAAATATCAATTGCAAATTGTTAGATTTAATCATCAGTCATAAGCGACAACTGATGTGACCTTTTGTACATTTCAAATGTAGGGGAGTTGGTTTGTAAGTGTGGGATTCGTGTGTACAATAAAAAAAGGATAAAATGTGGGATAAAAATGAATGATATCTCCACAATTTGTTATCATTCATAGCAAGGTGGTCTTATCACAAGGTTTTTTTCTTGATATTAAAGCGTGACTATAGTGAAAGTTAAGCATACCTTTACAGAAGAGTTAGACAATGTAAAACTTTGTACGATTCCGGCTGAACATTATCACGGCGGGGGGACCCCATTTGTATCTCAAAAATGAGCATCGGGGGTAAAATTATATTTGAATTTCCGCTGCACCAGATGTGAAGCATAACACCAGATGTGACTCTAAAAATAGGTCAATCGCAGGGTAAGTTTTCATCTTTTTAAACATTTATATAAAATTCAATACTTTTTTTATAAGAAAATCGAAATGTAATTCTACCCTCCTGACTCTCCTCTATATTACCCATTGTTGTTTTGGAGTTCTATGCAGTCTTCATCGAGATATTATTTCCGTCGTGGGTTCTGGTGTGTCCAAAACATGCAATGTGAATGAAGAAAATGTCACTAAACGGACTAAAGAAACAGAGATTTTACAAAATCTCACTACTACCGATGCTTAACATTCAGACAAATCCTGATTTAAACTTTTATTGAGATTTGGCTACAAACGAAGGGAATCGCTGCTCAAAATTGCATTTGAGCTCCATATATGCTGAAGAGATCCATAAGTGATGTAGAAAAACCATCTCCAAAACTATTGACCACATATATGAAAATATCACTTTAAGATTCCACAAGTTATAGTTATAGCGACAGACTGTTATGTGAAGAAATATCATGGCCTGGTGCGACATCGAAGGTTTCTCTTTACAGGATATGGGCCGAGAACATTGTCTGTACTCTGTAAGGAAAACCCGAGATGCCACCCAGGTTTTTACCACACCAGAGCCCACGACGGAAAGAATATCTTGATGAAGACTGCATTGAAATTCAAAACAAATATGGGAAATAAAGAGTCAGAAGGGTAGAATCACATTTTGATATTCTTTTAATTTATATAAATGTTTAAAAAGATGAACACTTACCCCGCTATTGACCTATTTTTAGAGTCACATCTGGTGTTATTCTTCACACCTGGTGCAGCGGAAATTCACATATAACTTTTAACGATGTTTGAGATACTTATGGGGTTCCACCCCGTGATTATGGTACCTATACAGGGCTTAGATGTTCTTTACCTGACGTTTACAGATGTGCATTTTGTCAGAGTAAAGAAAATATAGAAGCTTGGCTCAATTTTTCAAAATATAAGTTCAGAAAATAGACTAAACCTTTCTGCTGACTATTCCATCAGCCACACTGGGCTTTGACCCAACTAACCACAAAGGGATATGAGTTCCGCAGTGGTATGCCGCAAGGCAAGAATGGTGCATTTCTTTGCCTGTAAAAATTAAAACATTATAAATATATACAATACATCACAGTTAGAGTATTAATTCATTAAAAAAAGTGTATAATGGTGTTTTTAAACATGTAGTCTTCTCTTAATAATTGTGTATTATAACACGTTAGAATTTAATAAGGTAATAGAATGTGTAATAGTGTTACTGTATCAGCAATTCAGCATATTCTTAAAATATCTAAGCTTGTGTCTGGAGAAGCTGTAAAATGATTCAAAAGCATATATTGTCTTTCTTCAGTAAGAGATACACTATATGCTATGTGACTAGCAAAGTAAGTCAAAGTGCTTTCCATGAACCCCCTCTATAGAACTTTTTACAATACTATATGTACACAAAAACGGTAGAAGCATTTCGCATTTGCGGCAAATAAGACTATTACGAAACAATACATTTTATCAGTATTTAATTATTTCATGACATAGTTGATAACCTTATAATAATCTAATTATGATAAACGTAATTTAAAGATATACTATGCTCAATTTTGATATCAGAAAATATTAATAATTGTTACACAGACTCTATGAAAATATGAAATAAACAAGTTTGAACTTTACACAAAGTATAGGTTTGTTATGTGTAAACTCTACATATTATATATAGATGGTCACAAAATGAATATATTGCGTCATTAAAAACTGGCATTTTTTTAAAGAAAAGATCAACTTTACTTGACCTTTTACAGAGAATGCAACTTCACATACTCGTACTTAGTTTTCTCCAAGTTAAACATATTCGGTAAGAATTTCATCGATTTCAGAATAATTTTTTCTGTGAAAAATGATTTACTCAAGGAAAACCATAGCATATCTTTAAAATAACTTTTACATATACCTATTTGAACATTTTTTAGAATTAATTCTGTGGAGTGACAGTGTGGTGTAGGTATATTTACATATTTTACAGCAACGATAAACTGGATATAATGTGTGTTATTCCGTTGCCAATCGGTTATGCTCAAGATTTTGCAAAATTATTTACACATGCTTATATGACTTTAAAAGGATCTGTTTAATCGAATTACAGTCATATCAGACGAAAGATCCGGATAAAATCAGATCAAATGAAAACTAAAACCCTGCTCATAAAATGTTCTGACCTGTATTTACTTTGATTGCATTTGTAACATTTTTTTTATAAACCACTTCAAGAACAATTAAAAACACCCCCTTTTTCGCTTATGGCTGTACCACCATACTTTTACAACAATTATCTCAATGATTTTCAAGTCCTACGTGGTCACAAAAGGAAATTCTTTAAAATACAAATCTTCTTTTCTATCCATATCTTGTTATAGCAATCATGCCATCTTTACTTTTTTGTTAAACGTTATTTATTATAATTTTAGACTTTTTACGGGACGTCTATTAACATCTAGTACAATTCTATGTACTATGTACGGCCCTACGAAAAATGCTCATGCGCGAGAAAATACTACACCCCATTGATTTTTCAAAGCAACAGACCTGGGACCGCGTCGTGAAAAGATCTATTGGATATGTTTCCATATTTACCTCCAGCAAACTTATACCACCCCTTCGCTAGCGTCCTATCACACAGCAAATGCTCATAGTTCTTGTCCTTGACAAAATAGTCTACACTGCGGTATTTTTCGTCTATAACAGAATTCTGGGTGCATGGATCCACAGAGAAACCTGAAATGGAATGAGCCGCGCCGTGACAAAACCATCATAGTGGGTTTGCGGCCAGCATGAATCCAGACCAGCCTGCGCAGTCTGATCAGGATCCATACTGTTCATTCAATACTGATACTGCAGTATTGACTGATAGATCGCCGGTGGTCGCATATTGGTTTAACATGTCTGTTAAAATACATATAATTCATGTTGCCATTTCTGTGAAAAAGAACATTTGCACTGCGGCACAACGTAGCAGTTTAAATGTTTGTATGAAATTTACACAAGATAACATGGAATGACATTCAAGATAAAACAAACAAACAAATAAATAAACAAACAAACAAGCAAGAAATACGTATGTACGTACGTATAAATAAATAAATAAATAAATAAATAAATAAATAAATAAATAAATAAATAAATAAATAAATAAATAAATAAATAAAATGTTTACGCATTCAATCCATTAGACATAAACCGATGGGGAAAATGCAATTTTACACTTAAGAGATATGTTAAGGAAACCCGCGCATGTAATTTAATGGAGTAATTTTCGGCATCATGCATATTTCATTGTTATACGGGCGATGAATATTAATCGAATTACGAAAAGTTGCATAAAATAGAGAAATTTTCTCGCAAGTAAAATGTTAAAGATATATCAATATCTAATAAGCTAAAAAATCAAACCTGTAGAAAACAGCGTCAGTAAAAGTAACCCCAAATACATTTTGTTATATCAGCCACCATAGACCATAGATTATTATGCGGCAATGTTTGTTGTCTCACGCCAAAATCCTCATTATCAAAGTATGTCACAGAAGTATGAACTTGTTTCAATGAAGTTTTTCGGTCTCGAAGGAAGTGGTGATTAAAAATTGTTAGCGTCTTACGACATATCATATGATTATCAATATGATACCAACGATGTCACATTTCCTCGTTGCTGGGTAAAGTTTGCGTCAGGTCAAGTTCTGAAATGCATATCTAACTTTTTAAGTTTATTTAAAATATAAATTGTCTCTTTACGGGGACACAAACAACCCATTTTAATCTGAATTTGTAACTGTGTCAAGTTGCCTATTTTTAATCATGGACAATCAGTCTCTGAAAGTACTATTTTTGTTAGGGTTTACGTCGCATCAATATAGCAGTAAATATTCAACTTAATAATGGTGGAGGGAGACCTCATTTGTCCTTATGCATTATTATTTCAGGCACAAGTGAGAACCTGAGTAAAACCAACGATGAAGTACATGTACATGGCATAAATAAACGATCAGAAGCTTATATACAAGCACTTTAATTGTTTAAGTATCATTTACTTTGAGATTACCCAGCATACAGGCAAGGAAAAAGCGCTGTCCACCTGTCCATATGCATACTTGATCATGATGAGCTTCGTCGTCGATTAATAAAAGTATAGGGTGAACGATTCGTATGTACCATATTAGACATACATTTAAAAACTAATTAACTTTCTGCATTGCAATGAATTATTATATGAAATATTCATGTATATCTTTTTAGAAAACCTATAGCAAAAGAGAACAATTTGCTTTGTAGTGATTTTATGAAATTATTGCACTATGACAACTTAAAGATAACTCACCGATATAGAAATAAAGATGTACTTTACTCAGATGTAAACTTATTTAATTTGGTGCCATTGTACTCAAAACACCTCATTTAAGTGCGTATGACAAGGTCAAAACGTTTAAGATAAAAATATACTGAGTTTAGCTTAACTATCTTATTTAAAATGACACAGTTTCTAATGTTTTTTTAAAGCAGCATGCCTCCAGATTTACCCTAATTTTCATGAAAATTTTGAAAAAGTATTTAAATGTATAATATTGTGAAATAACCAAAAGGAAGCAATTTACACATTATCAATGGCACTTGCAATCGGCGTAAATTACCAAAAAAGTGGTTAAATATGCATAAATAGCACTAACTGTGTTAGAAATGCAGTAGAAATATAGTTGTGCATAAATACTGAAAAAATCAGTCATTTACCGCATATATCATGTAAAAGATTACTTGAACCTTGAATCATTTTGCTTTACCTAAAATCGTAGTACATTTTTCTCAAGTTTGATTTTATTGAAAAATGTGTTTTCATCTGGAGACATGCAGCTTTAACACGAATGAAATGTCAATCTCTTATCACTGTTCACAGGCACTTAATGATAAAATTTTTATTTATCTACTACAAATTTGAAAAAAAACCTGACTACGTACGTTGTGACTGACTATCCGCCGTGAAAATTATATAGAGGATATTTGTTTAGTTCGGTGTAAGATCGGAATATATTTCACCGAGTGAGCACCAAAATGTATATTTCACGAGTGGCGCAGCAACGAAAATTTAATCTAATACTAAATGAAAAGCGCGCCAAATAATAATACAACGTGACGTCATTTACGACATCACGTCATTAATTTGGTTCCCAGTACCGTGCACGCTGGTATGACACTAAAACAACGTCAATGCAAAACAGTGAAATAATCATTCACTGTTTCAAACAGTGAAATTATCAGTTTTATAATTCACTGATATATTTCTATAAACCACCGAAAAGCATGTAATAAAATCTTTTATTCATACACTTGTCAAATCAATAAAAATCTACCGACAAAATGACTTTTTTAAAAAATTGATAGATATTTACTTTTAAGTAGTATGAACAAAGTGTTTGCCATCAAGTGCCTATACTGTATATGTCACCGTTGTTAACCATTTTGTCAAAATTTCGGCGGAGTACAGTAACGTTCAAAACTTTAAGGCTTACATTATTTCAAGCGGTGCTAGCGGGCGTGAGGGATGTTGCACGTTTTCATTATCCCTCATGTACAGACTCAATCAAACCGAGTTAATTAATGCTTCCGAGGGATCACTTATTATTTTTATCAAAATATCGAAGACGATGCTAAATTTGGTTTTAGAGCTGAAAAGTTAATCAGGGGTTAGTATCTCGAAGAGCTCTATCGTTATATTTACGTTTACGAACGTGCTAACGATTGACGGAAGGTTGGTGAATGAGAGACTAGCGCGGGTATCTCGAAAGCGATATTTAAGCAATCGTTAGTTCCTTACTCGTAAGTTATAAACGATTGAATTATGTAATCATTTGAAAACCGCGAACAATATGTTAAAGCAGGAAGAAATGGTCGTAACAAGAAGAATTGCAAATGCAGAAAATTCCTATGAAACTGACGTGATTACTATTAAAAGGTAAAAACATAAAATAGAAACTGCAAGACTAGTAACTGAGGGAAAACGACTGTTTATAGAACAGCAATTGTGCAACAAAGGTTGCAAGTGGAAATCAGATATTTTAAACACTTTACTAAGTCAAAGCAAATATTCTGGCCGAGCTTTTTCTCAATACCCTCCCTCATTTTTTCAAGCTACAGCAACGTGTTGTTTCAGGGTGTAAGTATACTCTCAAGATTCAAACTTGAAAATGTTGCTTTCATGGATAAAATATTGAAATTGCAAATATCTAAATGAATGTAAATAGCGAAGATTCAGTCGTCATAGTATCTATTTTGAGTACTAGTAGTCTGTTTATTTAAACACATATAAGGACAATAAATTCAGATTCAAGTTAGTCCATAACTTTGCTTAGTATACAATGTAAACGCTTAATAAATGGATTATATAGAGGATATTTGTTTAGTTCAGTGTAAGATCGGAATATATTTCACCGAGTGAGCACCAAAATGTATATTTCACGAGTGGCGCAGCCACGAGTGAAATATGAACTTTTGGTGTTCACAAGGTGAAATATATTTCGATCTTACACTAAACTTAACAAATTTTCTTTTTATTATATGCAAAGAAACGTTTTAAAAAGACATTAAACCTAATACTGAATGAAAAGCGCGCCAAATAATAATACAACGTGACGTCATTTACGACGTCGCGTAATTAAGTTGGTTCCCAGTACTGTGCACGCTGGTATTTCACTGAAACAACGTAAGGGGCTTAAATTCAAAACAGTGAAATTATCAAATTGATAATTTCACTGTTTCAAACAATGAAATTATTAGTTTTATAATTCACTGATATATTTCTATAAAGCACCGAAAAGCATGTAAGAAATACTCGTATATGCAAATGGTCTCACCATAAATAATCTAGAATTCTTTTTTTCTTATGTAAGTTAAAAAAACGATCATGATATACCAGTGACAATGATTATTACTATGATAATGCTGCTGATGATACAACGACGACAGCGCCGATGGGTTTAGTTTTAAAGAAATATTAAGATGTTTTTCGTTTGAGTGAAATGTAGAATATTTTCACGAAACATGATAAATTTCCAAATTTTTTCACGAGCTGGAAATCTTACTTTTACTCTTTAAAAAGGAAGCTCGAAGCTTTATAAATTCGTTATAAATATTCCTGACAGGTTATATGGCCGTATATAAACGGTTGTTTGCAATATAAACCTCGTCTGGCGGCTCGGGTTATATTTACAAACAATTAACCGTTTATATAAGGTCGTGCAACCTGTCTTATATTGAAAAAATATTATTTTCATTGGATAATTACTAAGCTTGTATAATCTTCTGTTAATTTATAGATAAATTTTCATTTTGTCTTCAACAAAGGATTAAGAAAGGATTATGTATTACAACTTAAAATAAAGCAAGTCAAATATATATAACAGCTGGTGTTGGCAAGAGCAAAATATTTCAATCTGCTATGTTAAACACACAAAATTTCCATATATTTCATGCCTATCTGTTGTACTGATTTTTGCAGCGTAACGTTATGTATTTTTCATCATGTCATTAAATCATTACATAGAGGATATTTGTTTGTTTCAGTGTAAGATCGAAAAATATTTCACCGAGTGAACACCAGATGCAATATTTTCCACGAGTGGCGTAGCCACGAGTGAAAATATAATAGCTGGGGTTCACGAGTGAAATATTATTTGATCTTACATGTAAAACAAACAAATTTTCTGTTTATTTCATGATTTTTTAACGATTTTTACACCATTCTACTGATTTTTGCCGCGTAACGTCATGCTCTTATCTTCATGACGTCACCAAATAATGACGTCACAATGTTGAAGCAAAATATAATTCCATGATTATTTTTAGATTTTAGATGTTTTTCAGCACAACGTTCGTAAATATTTACGAACTACAGCTATCACGTACATTTTTTATTATGATTGACTACATTTCCGCTGAAAAAAAACATTCATTAATGATAAATATTTTATTTTTACGCCAAATATAGTTCGGCTACTGTGAAATTATATTTGGTAATCATTACTGTGAAATTATCAGAATATAATTAACCGTTATAATTCAGTAATCTACTGCAAAACATGTAATAAATCACAGATAACTTTTCGAACTATAATTCTGTAAAAAGTAACGAATTTTGTTACATTTTTAACATTATGTATGGCTACATGCAAATATTTATTTATATTGTCTTGTGCAAAATTACACATTCTAACACTATCGGAAATTTTCCTATATAGACAAAGAAGGCCGGAAGCGTGCATTATTCTACAACAATGCACTCGCCGTTCTTATTATCTCCCTGTATATTTTCACATTGAGGGCGCCATTTTGTTTAAAAATCTGATAAATAAAAACAATTTTTTGTCGAATTCATTTGTGAAAACTATCTAGAATGATAGAAAATGGTCTAACTAAGAAAATGAATCCGAACACCAATATCTTTAATTCAGTCGTTAACGCTGTACAGACGTTTAAAGTGTTGTTTACGTGACGTCACAATGTAGCGCCAAACAGCACGTGCAAAACAATCAAATCAAGTACGCTATTTTAATGTCGCAAACGAGTTAAGTTTTACATTTATTTCACTTTTAATAATTTGTATTTCGCTTGAAAAATTATAGAGTGAAATAAAATAAACAAACAAAGTTTTATCAACGTTTTCAAAATTCGTTATTCTCAAAATGTTTCTACACACGGTAGATTTAACGACAGTTTTTTCAACCCACTGGAACAGCCTTTAAAGAACGTTTCTATTGGAAACTCTGAGGCGAAAACAAATTTAACCACCAAACATAAAGTCCAACTTTATAATAATAATTATATTTTTTCTTGACGTGTTAGAATGGAAATAGATATTAATTCTTCGTGCATTATTGTATAATAATGCACGTTTTTCGTTCAAATGCTTTGTAATTAATCACTCAGGCCTATCGGCCTTCGTGATTATATTACTACGCATTTGAACTCAAACCGTGCATTATTCTACAACAATGCACTCAGAATTGATATCTATTTCCTAATTCTAACACTGTCGGAATTTTTTCTATAAAGACAAAGAAGGCCGGAAGCGTGCATTATTCTACAATGTTCAATGCACTCGCCGTTCTTATTATCTCCCTGTGTATTTTCACATTGAAGGCGCCATTTTGTTTAAAAAATCTGATAAATTAAAACAATTTTTGTCGAATTTTGTTGTGAAAACTATCTAGAATGAAAGAAAATGGTCTAACTAAGAAAATTAATCCGAACACCAATATCTTTAAAATTTTCAGTCGTTAACGCTGTACAGACGTTTAAAGTGTTGTTTACGTGACGTCACAATGTAGCGCCAAACAGCACGTGCAAAACAATCAAATCAAGTACGCTATTTTAATGTCGCAAACGAGTTTAGTTTTACATTTATTTCACTTTTAAAAATTTGTATTTCGCTTGGAAAATTATAAACTGAAATAAATAAACAAACAAAGTTGTATCAACGTTTTCAAAATTCGTTATTTTCAAAATGTTTCTACACACGGTAGATTTAACGACAGTTTTTTTTCAACCCACTGGAACGGCCTTTAAAGAACGTTTCTATTGGAAACTCTTAGGCGAAAACAAATTCAACCACCAAACAAAAAGTCCAACGTTATAATAATAATTATATTTTTTCTTGACGTGTTAGAATGGAAATAGATATCAATTCTTCGTGCATTATTGTATAATAATGCACGTTTTTCGTTCAAATGCTTTGTAATTAATCACTCAGGCCTATCGGCCTTCGTGATTATATTACTACGCATTTGAACTCAAACCGTGCATTATTCTACAACAATGCACTCAAAATTGATATCTATTTCCTAATTACAAAGTTTATTTCTTTCGATGCTTCAGTTATGATATGATTTATTTCATCTGCATTTAAATATACATCTTTATGTAAACTAAAAGAGCTCTTACATATGTTTGATATGTGAGAAAAGAAATAAAATATCATATTTATGTAGGTTCATCATTTTTATCAATAAGTTGATATAATTCTCATTTTTTGTGTATTTTAAAAGCGAAGTATTCTTCCTTTTGTGCCAAAGTGATAGTTACGAGAGCTATACGACACCTTCAACGCATCCGTTAATAATTGGGCATTTTAACGATTTTTCGTTAATTACGAGAGTTTCGAGATACCAGTGAAAAGAAAAGAGGCTTGTAACGACAGTCGTTATGCTTCGAGATACTGACCCCAGATCAGCTGTTATATATAGACACGGATAGGGCATACATTAATATAAATCCGCGGTATAGATTAGTTTCTATCGTATACAGTATGCATATATGGATATCAATAAGACATTAAAATTTTTGTATAAAGTCGAATAATTGTTTTTAGTAGTTTTCAACCCCATATATTGATTTAGAGGGATTTGATCTGACCAATTCTCACCGTTGTATTTTATTATGAAACACAAGGTGGGGTCCAAAAAAACATTTGTTTTTATCCATTTTCATGATTTAATCTAGTTTAAATCTGATTGTATGATTAAAGGTAATAGTGTCAATGTTAAGCAGATATTTATTGTTTATTTGCAATTGTTATTTTCAGCTGCCTTGCTTGTGATTTTCGGCAAAAATCGTCGGATACGTTTAAATGATTCGCAACTTAAATATTCGACCCATGTTTTTTGTCCAATTGAGTAATTCTTAGCTCGTTAAACGAAAGAAAGCAATATCTTAACAGCTTAAGCGGAAAGTTTACTGTTCTTTGTTTTTAAATTGAATCGAGGCATTTTTCACTTGTTTAAGGAAGGTCTTGTTTGAGGGAAATAATGCAGTAATTTTGGAACGTATGGCCCTGTACTAGTGGCTGTAGCCAAAAGTTCTAGTGGTACTGTATAATATGAAAAAGGCAAAGCATCAAAGCGAGCTCGATGTACTTTTTACGTGAAATAGTATGAAATAATCGCTCATTTTTATTTCAAATGCAGTAACGAGTGCGTGTGACGTCACACGTACTGTGTTAAATATGGCTCCGCCCCTGTCGTGAAAAGAATAACGAGTTTTGAAAACGTTGATAAACTTTGTTTATTTTATTTCACTCTATAATTTTTCAAGCGAAATAAAGATTATTTAAAGTGAAATAAATGTAAAACTTAAAACGTTTGCGACATTAAAATAGCGTACTTGATTTGTTTGTTTTGCACGTGCTGTTTGGCCCTACATTGTGACGTCACGTAAACAATACTTTAAACGTCTGTACAGTGTTAACGACTGAATAAAAGATATTGGTGTTCGGATTCATTTTCTTAGTTAGACCATTTCTTTCATTCTAGATAGTTTTCACAACAAAATTCGAAAAAAAAAAGTTTTTATTTATCACAGATTTCAAATAAAATGGCGCCTTCGATTTTCATTTTTTATACACAGCTTCCGTTATTCTGGTTCCCTGTCCAATTATGGTTCCCATAGACGTGCGCGGGTGACCAGTCTACACATTCGTTTTCAGTCAGAATTCCTCAGTTTTTATCGTTATCTTTAAATTCGAAAGGTTGCGATGTGTCCAATTCGGTACTTCGGACGAAAGTTTTCAAAACCATCACTTAGCAGGTACTCGCGTTACCGTAAAGCTCGCTTTGGGAGCAGGCCCTTCGGGCCAGCTCGTCGAGCTCGCTATTAGTCACGTATGGCTAGCCCAGACACACTGTGTTGGCTGGCGGTACGGCACTTTTCAAAATTATATGGAAGTTGAAATTAAATGTGTTAAATTGTGTCATTAAAAAAGGATTTTAACTATTAAAGAAACAGCAGTTGTCTTTGTATATTTACTTTTGAGAGTATAATCCCCGTCCTACTAAACACTGCTAAGGAGCCACAAAGGACTACTAGGGAGGCACAAAGGACCTGAAAATAATCCCCATGGGGGTATAGATGGATACCGAAAATAAGTTATTTTCACGAAAGTAAAATCGCGGCTACAAAAATTAGATTTACTTTTGAAATAGTGCATTTATCTGTTTAAATAATTATGTTAGTTATATATTTATGCATTCTTTTAGGGGTGTCATCGATTCAATCGATATTTGTGTATTAACGATCTTTGTTATCTGATTCGATATCGATTCCATTTTTTAAATATCGGTTATCGAATGCACATATATTTCTAGCTAAAGAGACTTCAGCGACCAGGTTTTATAGAACTGATTATATGATAGACCTGTTTACTGTCGCAAAACGTCAAAATAAAAGCGACATATAAAGTTATGGAAGCCAGAAACATTTTTTTCTAAAATGAAAACAGAAATCAATGCCAAAGTTACCTCCCAGTGTCTGTAACGAATGCTGCCTAATTTCGTTGTAATCTCGCAAGTCTGCTAAGTGGATGTCAAGACCTCTCAATTTAGATTTTAAAAAGGGAAAATGTCAAGAAAAATTTGCCAGTGTTTCTTTGTAAAAATTATGATTACAAAATGTTAAACTTTAATAATTATTCAGGTTCTAAACACTATAATTTGCCAATTAAACCGGCTTAATTGGAACGGCAAGGACGGGATTTAGCATGATCAGTAACTACGTAATAGCAACAACAAAAGTAAAATGGAAAAGGCTTTAAACTTAATAGTTACTAGTCATTAGTTTTCATTTATAGCTATATGATAAAAAAAGAAACAAATTGTTCAGTTTTCATAATTTTCATCTTTTTTGCATTTCTGCTTTGTCAGTGTCCATAGGAACCATTTAAAAAGACTTGAAAGCTAAAATTTAGCCTGGCAATCGATAAATCGCTGTATCGACGATAATTCATTACCGATATATCGATACAAAAATCCTTATCGATGACACCTCTACATTCTTTGAATGGTTTAACAGCACATTTAAATTTCAGAACCAAAAAAAATATTTTAAAAAGTGAAGTTTGAGCTGAAAATACCATCGTATGACAGTAAGAAAAAGATCGGGTCTAAGAAAATAGATTCATTTTTGATATAATGTATTAAAAATGTTTTTTTGTTGTTGATAAATGATTTGTATGAATGAAATGATAAATTATAGATATATTTTAAAAAGTTTGAGCCGAAAATATATACCATCATACAAAAATACCTCAAATTGCCGTGTAAAGCGATAATAAGATCGTGTCTACGAAAATAAGATTCATTTTTGATATAATTGTATTAAAAATGCATTTTTGTTGTTATTAAATGATTTGTATGAATGAAATAATAAAGAATGAAATGTTTTGTAATGAAATATTAAATCTTATTTTCGTAGACCCGATCTTATTTTCGCTTTTCACGGCAATTTAAGCTATTTTCTTATGTATGTATTTTCGGCTCAAACTTTTTTAGATATTTTTTGGGTTCTGAAATTTTATTTTGCTGTAATTCATTAAAAGAATGCATAAATATCGTAATTATTTAAACAGTTAAATGCACTATTTCAAAAATAAATCTTGTTTTGGTAGCTGCGATCTTATTTTCGCGAAAATAGGTTATTTTCGGTATTCATCTACATTGTATACCGGTCCCCATGCTTCAATTACTGAAAGTTTGCATGTTCCATGAAATGCATTCTAAAATTCTACTGTCAGTACCTGGATAGGCTTTAATTACTTAAGGCTAATTAATTGATTGTGCTTTTATGTTAGATATTTATCTTCTGTATTCAAAAATTATACAATTGTTTTTGCTTTTCACCGTTTTTTTTCAATGTTCTTTTTATTTATTTATTTATTTATATATATTTTTTTATTTATTTATACTCCAATCATGCCGTTATAAAAAAGCTTCTTTTGCCGTTATGATTATTTATTTGATCCATGTGCTTAATTATAAAAACATGATTTAATAATTCATCTTTCATACAAATAAAACAACAAATCATAAGCATAAAAAATGATTTTATAACTTATAACATGCTACTTTGACACTTTTATTGAGATAACAATGCTTGCATTGCTTTAATTCATTTTTTTACAAAATGACAGAGCATCTTTATAAAAGTGAACACACAAGGACAAATGCGGGGACTTGGTTAAAATCCTCGTTTAAAGTCACAAAATAACGTTTGCATTTTTGACTCTCATATAATTTTGAAAAGTGCCGTACAGCTAGACAATACAGTGTGTGCTGGCTAGTTGTATGTGACTCACATATGGCTAGAACTTTTGGCTAGCCATATGGGCGAAAAGGAAAGAAAATCCTTGCTTTGATTTGAATTTTTTAGAAAATATCATTATTTTACAGAATTATCTTTAGGGGTAAACATCCAATAAACGGTACCACTGAAATATGCTATGGAGGTATTTTGGCGCATCGGGCCCAACAGAGTGCAAAATCTTAAATAAAACAATAAAATAAGATTAGCAATGCATTTTCTTAATTTGCATTAGCATGATTGTGCTGAATAAAGTAATATTTGGAAACTATAGAAATCAATTAAAAGCAATAATTTCTTTATTATAAGCATTGTATTGTAGTAATACCTTTCATATCTCCGTTGCACTGATGAACTTTTGCGCAACAGATAATTTTTTTTTATGCCACCGCAGCATCTGCGATGCGGTGGCATACAGCGATTCACCTGTGTGTGCGTGTGTGTGTGTGTTTGTTTGTTTGTGTGTGTGTGTGTTATATAGATTATATAGTGAACTTAAAAAATCTTCTTGTGAAAAACCACTTGTCCAATTTCAACCAAACTTGGCAGGATTGATCCTTGGGTGAAGGGCTTCCAAAGTTGTTAAAAGAATTTAATTCCATGCAGAAATCTGGTTGCCATGGCAACCAAAAGAAATTATAAGAATAAATTAAAAAAATCTTCTTGTAAAGACCCAAAAGGCCTAGAGCTTAGATATTTTGCATAAGGCATTGTATGGTAGACCTCTACCAAGATTGTTCAAATTATAGCCCTGGGGTCAAAATCGGCCCCGCCCCAGCGGTCATTGATTTTCACTATATGTACATATAGTAAAAACTTAAAATACCTTTTTGTAAAGACCCAAAAGGCCTAGAGCTTAGATATTTTGCATAAGGCATTGTCTGGTAGACTTCTACCAATATTGTTCAAATTATAGCCCTGGGGTCAAAATCGGCCCTGCCCCGGGGTCATGGATTTTCACTATATGTACATATAGTAAATATTTAAAATACCTTCTTGTAAAGACCCAAAAGGCCTAGAGCTTAGATATTTTGCATAAGGCATTGTCTGATAGACCTCTACCCAGATTGTTCAAATTATAGCCCTTGGGTCAAAATCGGCCCAGCCCCGGGGGTCATTGATTTTCCTCATATTTACATAGTAAAAACTTATAGTAAAAACCTTAAAAAAATTTCTACAAGCAATTGACAAATGCTAGAGGTTAGATACTTTGCATTAAACATTGTGAAGTGAACCTCTAGCAAGAATGTTCAAATAATAGCCCTGGGGTCAAAATTACCTCCGCCCTGGGGTCATTGATTTTCAATATATACATATAGTAAAAAATAAAAAAAATCTTATTGTCTGAAGGTACAAGGCTTAGAGCTTTAATATTTTGTTAAATGATATCATGTATAGGTACTCTACCAAAAGTTGTTCAAATTTTGCCTCTAGTGTCAAAATTAAAAGTGAACTTTGATATCAGCTGACCTAGATTTTTGACAAAGTGTATTACATGTTGTCCTTTGATTGCAGTCATTGAAGATTTTAGGCTGTGTGAAATATGACCTTCACCCACCAACATTCACTAGACTCAAGTGCATTGAACATATTCCTACTCTTGATCTTTTATTGAGTTAAAGTAGATTTAAACACTAATCTGATAATAAGAGTTTAGATATGCCAGTTATGACAATCTTCAATTGTATAGAAACAAAAAACTACACTACTATTAGTGTTGTATTAATGCTGAGTGGCATAGCATTTTTTCTCAAATGCAATCTTGTTTTTTTTTCAAAACTAGCAAACAATGTTCTTTTTTTTATATTGAATTTGTATTAATATATGCTAAATAAAGTGATATTTTTAAATTACAGAATCAAATAAAAGCATTTTTGTAATATAAGCATTCATTGTATTGTTGTAATAACTTTCATTTATTTATTTAATTTTTTTTTCAACGTTTTAATTTAGGATGTGTCCTTTATAAAAATCTCCGTTGCTTTAAATTATACATGTATCTCCGTTGGCCTTGGATAAGTCCATTTTCATATAATCTTTCAAACAATATTTAATTCCACTTTTTTAGCTCACCTGTCACAAAGTGACAGGGTGAGCTTTTGTGATCGCTTTTCGTCCGTCGTCCGTCCGTCGTCCGTCCGTCCGTCCGTAAACTTTTACTTTAAATGACATCTCCTCATAAACCACTAAGCCAATTTCATCCAAACTTCACAGGAATGTTCCTTTGGTGGTCACCTTTAAAAATTGTTCAAAGAATTTAATTCCATGCAAAACTCTGGTTGCCATGGCAACCGAAAGAAAAAACTTTAAATATCTTCTTTTAAAAAACCATAAGAGCTAGAGCTTAGATATTTGGCATGAAACATCTTCTAGTGAGTGTCTACCAAGTTTGTTCAAATAAAAGCCCTGGGGTCAAAATTGCCCCGCCCCAGGGGGTCATTGATTTCCCTATATGCATATAGTAAAAACTTAAAAATCTTCTTTTAAAGAACCAAAGAGCTAGAGTTAAGATATTTAGCATGAAACATGTTCTAATGGGTGTCTACCAAGTTTGTTCAAATAAAAGCCCTGGGGTGAAAATTGGCCCCGCCCCGGGGGGTCATTGATTTTCCCCTATATGCATATAGTAAAAACTTAAAAAATCTTCTTTTAAAAGAACTCAAAGAGCTAGAGCTTAGATATTTGGCATGAAACATCTTCTAGTGAGTGTCTACCAAGTTTGTTCAAATAAAAGCCCTGAGGTCAAAATTGGCCCCGCCCGGGGGTCATTGATTTTCCCTATATGCATATAGTAAAAACTTAAAAAATCTTCTTTTAAAGAACCCAAAGAGCTAGAGCTAAGATATTTAGCATGAAAACATGTTCTAATGGGTGTCTACCAAGTTTGTTCAAATAAACGCCCTGGGGTGAAAATTGGCCCCGCCCCGGGGGTCATTGATTTTCCCTATATGCATATAGTAAAAACTTAAAAAAATCTTCTTTTAAGAACTCAAAGAGCTAGAGCTTAGATATTTGGCATGAAACATCTTCTAGTGAGTGTCTACCAAGTTTGTTCAAATAAAGGCCCTGGAGTTTTAAACTGGCCCCGCTCCGGTGGCCTATATACAGGTGAGCGACTTCAGGGCCATCATGGCCCTCTTGTTTAATTATAAAACAGACTTTCATTAAACCACTTCAAGTTCAGTAAATATCTTTAATGATTTTATTCTTCAAATTACTTTTATTAAGGACAAACATTTTTTTTTATTTCGTTGCGCCAAAAAAAAAAAAAAGAGAAAAAAAAATGGCACTCAGAGGATAAGTCCATTTTGCCATGATAAATTTTTTTAAAACATTATAAGTCGAAAATTGTCTATTTGAATATTAGAATTACATTAACTATAGTTTACTAATTGTGATTTATAAACATACTAAAAATATACTTAAGTATACTAAAAATCTCCGTTGCACAGACAAAATGTCCAATTTGCTTTACATCATCAAAATTGCAGATTTTTTTTTATACGATTCAGGTTTTTTAGCTCACCTGAGCATGCGCAGGGTGAGCTTTTAGGATCGATGATTGTCCGTCGTCCGTCCACATTTAGTTGTTAACACTCTAGCGGTCGCATTTTTCCCTCAATCATCATCATACTTGGTCAGGATGCTTATCTAAGTGATAGCTCGGATGAGTTCGAACATGGGTCATCTCGGATGAAAAACTAGGTCACAAGAGCTAGAAAAATCTTGTTAACACTCTAGTGGCTACTGGTATGATCCAAATATCCTGTAAATTGGTCTGAAACTTTGTTTTGATGATTTCTAAGTCAAGTTAGAACATGGGTCATCTCGGATGAAAAACTAGGTCACACCGCCCTTATATTGAAAAACCTTGTTAACACTCTAGTGGTCACATTTTTGACTCAATTATTATCAAACTTGGTCAGGATGCTTGTCTAGGTAATTGCTTGGATGAGTTTGAAATCGCATGTGAAACTAGGTCACCGGAGCTAAAAATAGAAAAATCTTGTTAACACTCTAGTTGCTACTGTTTTAATCCAAGTATCCTGGAAATTGGTCTGAAAGTTTGTTTTGATGATTTCTAGGTCAAGTTTGAATATGGGTCACCTGGGTAAAAAACTAGGTCACACTGCTCAAATATGGATAATCCTTGTTAACACTGTAGTGGTCACATTTTTGACTCACCTGTCATGAAACTTGGTCAGAATGCTTGCCTAGGTAATTGTTCGGATGAGTTTGATGGGTCAGGTGAGCGATCTTGGGCCATCATGGCCCTCTTGTATACTGGTTTATTTTATTTATTTATTTATTCAAAAAACCTTAATAACCTTAATTTTATTCAATATCTTATATTCTCCATTGCATATTTTAGTGGTACCCTCCAATAAACAGTCTCATGATCTTGACACACCTCTTTTCGAACTAAATTAACACAATCAGGGTAGTTTAGCTCAATGTAATGATGTGTGTGTTCCACTTCAACATATATAAATGCTTAATAAACAGAACCAGTTAGAAATCAAAATAATTCCTTTTACCTACATGTAGTAAGTGTTAATAATGTAGTACTATTTTTTTATCTTTTAGAATTAGTATAATACTATACAGAAGACAAGATGGGGATTTTCGGAACAGATGTGGTTAAGTTTAAAAATCAAGACTATTCTAAACTAAAGAAGGATTGTCAGTCAAAAGGTGATCTTTTCTTTGACCCAGAATTTCCTGCCCAAGATAAGGCTTTGTTTTATACTGCTGGAAAATTGGCTGGAGTTACATGGAAAAGGCCTAAGGTATGAAGAGCTTTTAACTACTGTACTAGTTTGCATTGGCATATTACCTTGATCTATGTGAAGTAACTGAAGTTGAACAAAATATTTCCTGGTTGATAGTTGTCCAGTGATTTTTTTACAAACTCATCAGTGTGAGTCGTAGGACTCGCTGGGCTATAAATCTATGAGTCCCAAAATTTAGCCGACAAATCCAAGTTACAAGGCTTAATATTGCTTTAGTGATATGAAAGGTATAAATTAACAATGGAATGAAGAAAAAATGAATTTGATTTCTACATTAATTACAATGCTTCTGAAAACTGTCAAATAAATTTAATAAGTTTATTTCCATTTATTTAGTTTGAGGTTAATCAAAACTTCATTTTCCTTAATATTTTTATGCTTATCTATAGTATAGCACATTATTATTTCTCATCTGTAGAAGATTTGCAGACATAGAATATGATTAACATAACTTGAACACAATTTGGTATTTACATGTATTACCAAATGCCTGTCAGACAAAACTCCCTACTCAGATAAAGTATGCATCCAAAAGATGCACATTATTTGAAACTTTGCATCCTTAGCAAATTCAATGAGTTCTGGACTCAGGATGCAGAGGTAAAAAAAAACACGGAGTTGTACATGAAATTTCATATCTTATTAACCACTTAAATTATTATTAAAGATAGATATTTTGTTAACCATAATAAATACTGAGTCACCACTCACCAACCCATTTTGTTTTTACTGACCAGTGTCCCTTTTCCACTGACTTTTTTTCCCCAAGTTAAAAGCAAATTTTCTGACTTTTTGTTTATTGAAAAAAATACCAGATAAGATTTTTTCTTTCAAATTAATCATGGTAAACTTAAATTTCCTGGAACTGTGCTGTATTTTATTGCTTGCACTTGAAATTTTATGTTTTTTTTTTTATTTTTAATAACAATTTTCAGGATATTTGCGAAAATCCAAAATTGTTTGTAGCAGGAACTAGCTCGGGAGATGTATCACAGGGTCGCCTTGGAAACTGCTGGTTCGTAGCAGCTTCCTCATGCCTGGCGTTACACAAGGAGCTTTGTGACCAAGTTATTCCTTCCGATCAAGAATGGGACGAGAACAAGCCAGACGAATATTGTGGCATTTTTCGGTTTAGGTTATGGCGTTACGGGAAATGGACGGAGGTAGTCATTGACGATCAGTTGCCAACTTTAAACGGAGAGCTGGTTTTCATACACTCCCAGTCAAAAAATGAATTCTGGAGTGCCCTGCTTGAAAAAGCGTATGCCAAGTAAGTTGAAATAATTTATTTACCCTTTTTCTCCCTCTTTATCCCATAATTATCCCCTTGTGGATACATAGGTAGGCATACATGCCATAATGATAACAAACATCCCAGACACTAGGGATTGTCCCAGAAATCTGGGCATCTGTTATGTAGTTGTCCCAGGCAAAATTTTTGTCCTGATAAAAATAGAGATAAAAACTATATTTATACTATAAATATAGTTTTTATCTCTATTTTTATCAGGACAAAAATTTTATAGCGTGAACTTTACTACAATTTTATCCCTTCTTATTTGCATGTTATTATTAATTATTTTAAGAAATTGATATCAAAAATATTGTCCCCAGGCAGTATAGTAATACACAAGAAATGTTGACACTAATCCTTTAAATGGTGCATCCATTTGGCCTCTAATCAACAATAATTTAGATCAATTAAGAGAGTGCAGCTTACTGCCCATACATGTACATGTCAAGATCTGTAAGAACTAGTAAGGGTTAATTTGTTATTGCTTTCTGGCAAATATTGACTCCTTTAATACTGTTGAACACAAACTGAAGTAGGAAATGTTTTAGCTTTTCTAACCAAACAAAATAGTGGATTGTCATACTTATTCTATGTCTGATTGAATGATAAATTGTTGATTATTTTGACATTTAGTCTCTTTGATTTATCGTAATGTTTGCAAGTTGAAAATATTTGTTAACTAAGTTGTAACCCACTATGCAAATTTCACTTCAGAAACAATTTTCTTGCTAAACTCAGTGACCACACCCTTTCTCCTACCCTCAATCTTGAATAAAAGCTGTTCTGGAAGGCAGTCTATAAGTTATAGCTTGTAAAGAATGATGATTTTTACTGTCAATCAGTCTGTCCATTTATCTCTGCCAGTAATTTTTAGGGCCATTTCAGGGCTGCAATTCAGCCCAATTCCCCTCCTCAGAAAGTAAGCCTTTTTCCCCTACTTCTGCAAAAAAAAATCCCCTCCAAAAGTGAAAAAAATAAAAAATTTAGTGATCTATGTTTATACACAATAGTGAGACAGAGTAGGACATCAAAATTGTGGTATTATATCTCAATTTGACAAAAAATAGGCAGTTTTATCCGTTTCTAACTTTTCCATTTTCCCCTCTTATAAGAAACTTAATTTAGTTAATTTGAAGAAAGACACATTTCACATAATTTGAATTCTACTTCTCACATTAGTTTTGGTGCAAAGTGTATTTAGAGTTTTGACAGCTTGTTTTTCTGTGTATAGGCTGTTTGGCTGCTATGAATGTTTAGATGGTGGAGATCTGGGTGAAGCTCTCGAGGATTTTACGGGTGGAGTATCTGAACAGATGAACATGGCAGACATTGGTGTTGTGGATAATGCGGAAGAAATGAACAAATTTTTTGACCGATTGAAGAAAGAGGTTGAACGAAAGTCTTTACTTGCTGCATCCATACCTGTGAGTGGTAAACTTCAATTTTAGAGTTTTGTGAAGTAACCTATACGCCCATGCATTTATGTATCTGTATTTCTTTTGCCTAGAATTTGGGACAGGTCAATAATATTTTTACAGTGTTAAGTACCTATAACGGCATGCTTTTATGTAACTGTATTTCTTTTGCCTAAAATTAACTGACTTTAGGGCAAATAAATCATACTTTTACAGTGTAAAGTAATAATTTCCAAGTTCAAAATAAGAAAATGATAATAAGAAAAGTGCAAAGTCACTTCCCCACATGAAAGTTATTAAATTTGCTGTATCTGTTAGTAATAGTTACCAAATTTTACAAATATTTACCTCTTTTGCCAAAAGTTGGTCTAAATTCTACATGTATGTAATATAATTGACAAAATATGAAACAAATCGATATATAGTGAACAGCTGATTTACTTGAATTGTCATATTCTCTTATATGTTACTATAGAAGCAATATGCTTTTTATCAGTTTTCATGAAGATGATGATATATAAATTATGAGAGATTTTAGGATGGAAGCCAGGGGAGGTAAAAATTGCTATGTGAAAAACATCTATATGCATGCCATGTAATGCCTTTAATAAGTGAAACATTATATTTTTGACAAAAAAATTCTGTTAATTTGAGTAAAATAGAGACTATAATTTGGACTCTTTTTTCCTTTTTAATTTTAACCGAGACTTACATGTAAGTCGCTTTGTTTTACAGGCCGAGTCCAGTGAAGAAATGGAAGCGTCCACTGCTATGGGTTTAGTTAAAGGTCATGCCTATGGTATAACAGCTGTGAAAAGCATCAATCTGGAATCAGGAATGTTCAACTTCTTAAACAAGAATAAGCTGCAGATGATTCGTCTGAGAAACCCCTGGGGACAGGGTGAATGGACCGGAGCGTTTAGTGATAAGTATGTGCAGGTTTTCTTTTTAGACCTTTTTACAACAAAGTAATTACAGACTTTGAAGTACATGTCTTATTTGTATAATTTTGAGAGTATAGAACCCCGTCCCCCCCTCTTCACCAATTACAGTAGAACTTCTATGAGTCGAACTTTGATTTGTCGAAGTAAAATGAAAGTCCCATTTTTTCCCCCCTATATATTCCTTATAAAAACCTTTATATGGTCGAAATATTGTGTCGAATTTTTCGATGTGTAGAACTTTTTTAGAGGTCCGTATAGAATAATTAAAGTACAATTTACCGCAAATAAGTCAAAGTCCTTCGCTTATTTTGACAACTCCATTCTCGAGACTTTTTTCACACCTTTTCTAGCTGCGAAGATGATTTCCGATCAACTTGTATGACAGGTGTTAATTACATAGCCTTGTGTTCAAACAGCCTTTGTTTGCGTTTAAATGTGTGATAAAATATTTTAATTGTTACCATTCAAATTGCTGTAGTGGTATTTGAAAGTAAACAATAAGAACTACTTTCATTTGAGAACTTCCGTGACCAGGTGTTGGGTGATAATCACACGGGGATATATTTACTATAAGCTGGGTTAGTGATCTCCCTTTCATTTTGTTACGCCTTTTGTAACTTGCTTGTATACATAAACAGCTCAAAATTTTGTCATCAAAGTGAGACCTATTCATGAGTCGAAGTCCCAATGTGTCGAAGTTTTTATGCAAGTCCCTTCAACTTCAACTTACCGAAGTTCTACTATATCTTAAAGTACAGTCTAACTTGGCCATGCGACCACATGTATTAAGCGACTTTTGTCTTAAACGACCACTTTAAATTCCCCCCGATCATTTTCTCTCTATATCTTTAATGTATTAAGCAACTTTTGCTCAACGCAACCAGCGACCGCTAATTAGTCACCTAATTGAGATCAATCTTTTCATTAAGCAACCACTTTTACCTGTCAAGTAATTGTGTTTTTAGAGAACGCCGCCTCGTAAAGTCACAAGTGTCAAAAATCAAACACAACAAATGAATGTGTGAAAAACTCTATTTCCCAAACCGTTTTAGCGTATGCAAATGAAGTTTAGTATATGTGTGACGTGTATTATCCAATAATATCGAATAAACAATGCAACGCTCCGCCCCTACTGAGATGGTGTATATGTTTCGCTTGTTGACATTTAGACTGCATTAAATTGACCTTGAACTTGATCAGCAATTAAATTAATCGTAACAATTAGATGTAGTTTGTTTATTTCAAATGAAAAAAATGCACAACAAAAAGTATCTTCACTACATTATAATAGGGTTTTCATGTTGGAGTAAAGGAAAAACAACGGTGAAGTTAAAAAATTCTGAAAAAAATGTCAAACATGTACGTAATGGATCAAAACTGTTTTGTAAATTTATTTTTTATATTAGGATCCATTTAGATTATCGGAACGTACTAATTATTTAACATTTATATAAAAATGAAGTTGAAAAACATTCCCACCGCATAAGAAAGATGTCATTTATAAATTTTGACTTTTATTATATCATGCTTTGTCTTAAGAGACCGTTTCATTAAGCGACTGTTTTGGGTGTTTCCCTTGCGCGGTCGCTTAATACAAGTTTGACTGTATATTCTTAAGCTTATGTGTCAACAAAAATGCAACAATAAATGCATTATTATTGAAATAAATGCATTATAACTTACACAGAAGCTTGACAGTGCATTTGATATATATTAAGCAAATCATGAAGCTAGGGGCAAATGTCCATTCATTCATTTCTAGACAGGGGGAAATTCCCTGGGAGCTTAAATATCCACATACCAAATCTGAATACAAGTGACAGATCAAAGCTACTTTATAGTAGCTGTCACTCTGTACATGACTAAAACATTGTCAGGCAGTGGTGCAGATATAAGCAAGCAGAGTCTAATAGTTAACATGTTAGACTAGTAATGGAAGGTTTGCTAGCTGTGTTGATTCAGTCGGGCGTTGTTTCACTCGGAAGAACTTTACACTCAATGGTATAGTACTTATTTGTTACAGGAACAGGTTTGAGAGTGCATGACTATCTGTTAGCTGATAGTTTCCTACACAAAAAAAACTAAAAGAAATTCTGTATTACTTTAAACTAAGAGATTTCTTTTTTAGATTTTAAAATTTTACTTGTACATTCTTGACTTTTTATTGTTTATATTCTATCAGTGGTCACAGATAGGTAAACAATAAAAAATTAACTTTTTGTTTCAGTGATCCAGAATGGAAAAAGATTCCTCAAACTGAAAGAGAAAAAGCTGGCATAGTGTTTGAAGAAGACGGAGAGTTTTGGTAATTAAAGAATGGTCTTGTTATGGTTTATTATAGTGTAGTTATATGCTGGACAGAGATTTCAAGTCTTAAATGCATAATTTGTCTCCAACAAAAAAAAGTTTTTCACCTTGTTAGAGTGCACATATTTATTTTATAATGTTGTAAAATGGCTTTAAAAAATTAGATACTTACCATAAGAAACATCTTACAGCAAATACATCTCTGTCAAAGGTTTTTGACAAATTAAACTTGTTTATTTAAAATCTTATCAATTGTATAATTTTGTAAAAACAAAAAAGAAGAAATTGCTAACTGAGGCAAATGTTAAACGATTCATTGAACATAAAGGACCAAATATACAGGTTTTTGCACAATTGGAATTGCTTGCCTTTTGTCATGCTTAGTACATTGAATTTGGGAAACCAATTCCTTAAACCTATGAGATTTTGCTTAAACTTAAATGACAATCAACCCTTATGTGTAACGCAAGAGAAGGAATCTTGCTCAAATTTTTTTAACAAATTATGGCCCTTTTTGGTTAAGTTTTTTCACTTTTGATCTAATGTAGATATTTTTGTTGGAAATGCAAAATTTCCCAAACGCCGGTAATTTTGGCAGATTTTGCTTAACTTATGGGACTAACTTAATGTGTAGATTGGTAGTAAAGGAAGAATTTGTTCATGGACCAAATTTAACAGAATTACTAAAGCATCTTATGTATGGATTTTTTCACTTAACATGCTAGAAATTTTGTATCGCCTCCTTTAACTGGGAGACTTTTTTTAGACATAAAGTCGAACAACCTTAGCGTGTTTTTATGGTTGTAAAAATGGAATTTTTAGCTGCGAAACTTATTTACAGAAATGTTAATGATTTTTTCCTATAAAGGTAGCAAATTTTATGAATGCAACTAATTTATAAAGAGATCTTAAATTTCCCAAAAACAACTTTATGTGAGAAAAAAAAAGAAGCTGCAAAATTATTTGCCTAAGTTTAGGCAATGAGAAAAATATTTCCAGAGTCAACTATTAAGAAGTGGGGCACCAACCTATGACACATTTTTTTAAAACTATAAGGGGAGCGGTGGCCTTGTGGTTAAGGTGTCTGCCTCTCAACCCAGGGGTCATTGGTTTGAGGCCCAAATCGGGTTACGACCATGTATATTCATATGACACCAGTACTGGTTGGTTCCAGGAAGCGGACTCACAAGTGATTAATATAAGTTGCAAGAACTTGTTTCGCAATCAAGCTTAAATAAATATGTTTAAACCAAAACTAAAAATGTTTGCATTATTTAGGCTTGATGGGCCTTTTAAAATGTTACTACAGGTAATAACAGGCCTATGCCACCCAGCTAGCCAGCATGTCTGTGTTGATTAATTATTATATCTTGTTTTCAGAGAAAATATGATATACACAAAAAAATTTATTGTTTATAGAAATAGTAAGATATCCTGTTTGTAGAGGAATTGTTGTATCTTGTTCGTGTAGAATATACAATATCCTGTTGTTATAGAAAGTATAATATATTGTATGTAAAGTAAATGTGATATTTTGTTTGTAAAGAAGTGTGCTATCTTATTTGTAGAAGAATTCTGATATTTTAATTGTAGAAGAATTATTATATCTTTTTTGCAGAAGAATTCTGATATCTTAATTGTAGAAAAATTATGATATGAGCCGCGTCATGACAAAACCAACATAATGTGTTTGCGATCGGCATGGATCCAGACCTGCCTGCGCCTCTGCGCAGTCTGATCAGGATCCATGCTGTTCGCTTACAAACTCTTTTACAAATAGAGAAACTGATAGCGAATAGCATGGATCCTGATCAGACTGCGTGGATGCGCAGGCTGGTCTGGAACCATGCTGGTCGCAAACACATTACGTTGGTTTTGTCATGACATGGCTCAATTATATTTAATTTTTTTTTTTTTTTCAGGATGACATTTGATGATTTCTGTCACCATTTCATTAATGTTTCTTACTGTCGAGTTGTTAACACATCAATGTTCAGTTTATCTAAAACCTGGCATGAAGGGATTGCACATAGTGCCTGGAAAAAACCAGATCTTGCCGGCGGCTGCCTGAACAACAAAGACACCTTCCTTAAAAATCCCCAGGTATGTAGCATGAGATAAAAGCACTTAATATTTTATTTTGAGCTCCACTTTTGAAGAACAATAAATTGAACTGTTGTCAGGACCCTCTTATTGGCAGTGGTATTTGGGTTTGCATCCATTTTCTCAGGAACTATAAAGGCTATTTGGTTTAAACTTGGTATTCAGTGCATCTTAATTAATTATCATAAAAAGATAGACACTATTTCAAAAAGGTACTTAATCCTAAAATATTTTTAGCAAAAGTTATGCCCCTTTTTCAACTTTTTGCCTTGGTAAATCTTTTTGGTAATGTCCATGTTAAAATTGTTCACTTCAAACTTGGTGTTCGTGTTCAAACTGTTAAAATTATTCACTTCAAACTTGGTATACATGTTCAGACTGTTAAGCTTATGCACTTTAAACTTGGTATACATGCTCTCTTGTTCACTATCAAAATGTGATACCATTACAGAAGGGCAGATAATCCTAAAATTCAGTTTTGCAGAATTAAGCCTTTATTAACTGTCCGTCACTGAAAGTGGAGTATGCTGTCTACTGACAGGTATTGTCTAAAGATAGTGTATTTAGGGCTGTTAATATGTTTGTGTGCTACAGTAATGGTTTATTTTCCCATGTGACATGTGATAAAGGTTTTACTATTGTGCCCATACGTGTGCCTGATGTAAACTTTTAAAGGTTATATTTTGGTTTTCTAGTATTGCCAGTATTCAACATGTACAGTTTAATGGGTACCGTTAAATTCCTAATAAACGCCCCTCCCCTAATAAAGCACCCCAGGTCTTTTAATAATGAAAATAATCTACTCATCAGTGCTGAACTCATAATTAAATACATAATATTATTCAAATCATTCATTTTATTTTATAGTAAACACAAATATGTATAATATGAACTATAAAACCTTTATACTTTTTAATGTTATTACCAACACTTGCTAACACTAAATGTATTTACAGTGATTTTTGGATTTAGGAAAAATGTATTTTAATGATAGCCCCCCTTTTGGAAAATGTTTAGCCCCCTGGGGCGTTTAATAGGAATTTTACGGTATTTAAATTTAATGTTGACAGCATATTAATGTATTTTATAATCAACATAACTGTTGCATTCTTCTGATAATAATGCGAAGTTACAGTAACCACTTTATGGTAGTTTGACTGTATGTTAGAGAAATTTAACTGTGCTTCTAGGTGTTTTGTGTGTTTTGGTGTTTGTTATATGTAAGGGTGTATTTAGACTGTGTTTTGATAATTTTACTATGTATTTAGGTGTTTTCATTGTATGTGTTCCGGTGTTTATATTTCTGTGTATTTAGACTGTATTTATGTGTTTTTACTGTGTTTAAGTGTTTATTATAAATTTAAATATTAAGAAAGGATATTTTTTTGAGTGAAATATGGAATATATTTTCATAAAGCATGATAAAAGGCCATAAAAATATGTGGCATTTTATCATGTTGAGTGAAAATATATACCATATTTCATGAAAAAAGAAAAAATATACTTTTTATTTGATATCATTATCATAATAAATTATTAAGAAATCCCTTTGCTTGCTACGCAACTGCAATTGTACAGCGCGCAATAATATATCTTTTATTTATAGACGCGTCTTGTTTTGCACGCTTTTTTGGCGCTGCATTGTGACCTCACGTAAACAACATTTTAAACATCTGTACAGCGTTAATGTCGGCAGACTGAATAAAGATATTGGTGTTCGGATTTATTGTCTTAGACCATTTTCTATCATTCTAGATAGTTTTCAAAACAAAATTCAACAAAAAATGTTTTTTATTTATCAGATAATTTAAACAAAATGGCGAAAGTAGTCCCTTAACACAATTATGAATTTTGACTCCGCCCACTTTCATATTTATATTTCATATTTGTTTTTTAGCTCACCTTGCACAAAGTGCAGGTGAGCTTTTAGGATGGCCAACCAAATGGCGTCCGTCGTCAGTCGTCCGTCCACATTTTAAATATTCTAAGGACATCTTCTATGATACCGCAAGGCCAATGTTAATGAAACTTGGCAGGAATACTCTTTGTATGAAGCTCTATCAAGATTGTTCAAAGAATTCCATTTCATGCAGAACTCTGGTTGCCATGGCAACCGAAAGAAAAATCTTTAAATATCTTCTTTTAAAGAACCGTAAGAGCTAGAGCTTAGATTTTAAGCATGAAGCATCTTCTAATGAGTGTCTACCAAGTTTGTTCAAATAAAAGCCCTAGGGTCAAAAATGGCCCCGCCCCAGGGGGTCATTGATTTTCCCTAAAAGGATATAGTAAAAACTTAAAAAATCTTCTTTTAAAGAACCCAAAGAGCTAGAGCTAAGATATTTGGCATGAAACATCTTCTAGTGAGTGTCTACCAAGTTTGTTCAAATAAAAGCCCTGGGGTCAAAATTGGCCCTGACCCGGGGGGTCATTGATTTTCCCTATATGCATGATAGTAAAAACTTAAAAAATCTCCTTTTAAAGAACTGTAAAAGCTAGAGCTTAGATATTTGGCATGAAACATCTTCTAGTGAATGTCTACCAAGTTTGTTCAAATAAAAGCTCTCGGGTCAAAATTGGCCCCGCCCAAGGGGGTCATTGATTTTCCCTATATGCATATAGTAAAAACTTAAAAAATCTTCTTTTAAAGAACCCAAAGAGCTAGAGCTAAGATATTTAGCATGAAACATTTTCTAATGAGTGTCTACCAATTTTGTTCAAATAAAAGCCCTGAGGTCAAAATTGGCCCTGCCCCAGGGGGTCATAGATTTTCCCTATATGCATATAGTAAAAACTTAAAAAATCTTCTTTTAAAGAACTCAAAGAGCTAGAGCTAAGATATTTGACATGAAATATCTTCTAGTGAGTGTCTACCAAATTTGTTCAAATAAAAGCCCTGGGGTCAAATTTGGCCCTGGCTAGGGTGGGGGGGTCTTTGTTATTTCCTATATGTGTATAGTAAAAACTTAAAAAAAAATCTTGTAGAAACCCTTAAGAGCAAGAGCTTAGATATTTGGCATGAAACATCTTTAAGTAAATGTCTACCAAGTTTGTTCAAATAAAAGCCCTGGGGTCAAAATTGGCCCCGTCCCAGGGGGTCATAGATTTTCCCTATATGCATATAGTAAAAACTTAAAAAATCTCCTTTTAAAGAACCCAAAGAGCTAGAGCTAAGATATTTAGCATGAAACATCTTCTAATGAGTGTCTACCAAGTTTGTTCAAATAAAAGCCCTGGGGTCAAAATTGGCCCCGCCCCAGGGGGTCATTGATTTTCCCTATATGCATATAGTAAAAACTTAAAAAATCTTCTTTTAAAGAACTCAAAGAGCTAGAGCTAAGATATTTAGCATGAAACATGTTCTAATGGGTGTCTACCAAGTATGTTGAAATAAAAGCCCTGGGATCAAAACTGGCCCCGCTCCGGGGGTCATTGATTTTCCTTATATGTGTTTAGCAAAAACTTAAAAATCTTCTTTGAAAAAACCCAAATAGCTTGAGTTTAGATATTATACATGAAACATCTTTAAGTAAATATCTACAAAGTTTGTTCAAATTAAAGCCCGGGGGTCAAAACTGGCCCTGCCCCAGGGGTGTCATTGTTTTTAACTATATGTGTATAGTAAAAACTTAAAAAATCTTCTTTTAAAAAACCAATGAGCTAGAACTTAGATGTTTAGCAAGAAACATCTTCTTATGGGTGTCTACCAAGTCTGTTCAAATAAAAGCCCTTGGGTAAAAATTGGCCCGGGGGGGGGGGGGGGGGGCTATATACAGGTGAGCAACCTCAGGGCCATCATGGCCCTCTTGTTACAAATATGAAATATATTTGACTGATATAGCACCATATTTCATGGGTAATATTAAATAATAGGTTGTATCTTAACCATATTTTGGTGTTTTTACAGTTTGTGTTTTCGATCACAGAGGATGAAGAAGATTGTATGATGCAATTAATGCAGAAAAGTGTAAGAAGTCAACAAGGCAGTGGAAATACTACCATAGGTTTTACAATTATGAAGGTATAATATTGTGTAATTATTAGGTATTTATGATTTCAACCTTTAACCTGCTGGAACCAAATGTAATACGGGTGTGGATAGTCGGATAAGTGACGATCCGATCCACGATTCATCCGTTATGATACACAAATCCAACCACAAATCTTTTGTTATCAATACACCCATAAAAACATGAACATTAGTTTTGAAAACATGTTTACATTAAACATATATGCAAATACAGTCTATTCCACTTATAACGAGATCCGTTTTAACAAGGTACCCCTTATAACGTACATTCTACTGTGTCCCGGCCTTTTTCCTTCTATTTCCTTTCATTTTATATTGCTTATAACGAGATCGGTTTAGCGAGATACTGGTTACATTTTTTAGCTCGACTTTTCTATGAAAAGGGGAGCTATCCTACTCGCCCCGGCGTCGGCGTTGGCGTCACACCTTGGTTAAGTTTTTCGTACCACCCCACTTTATTTCAGAAGTATTACAAGTATGGCTTTGAAACTTACCATACTTGTTCACCATCATAACCTCCATCTACAGACAAGAGTACATAACTCTGTCAAGGTTTTTGACAGAATTATGGCCCTTTTTTGACTTAGAAAGTGTATTGAGCTTGGTTAAGTTTTTTGTACCACCTCACTTTATTTCAAAACCATTGGAGGTATTGCTTTGAAACTGACCATACTTGTTTACCATCACGACCTTCATCAACAGACAAGAGGACATAACTCTGTCAAGGTTTTTGACAGAATTATGCCCCTTTTTGACTTAGAAAATACATTGAATATGGGTAAAATCCACTTATTGCCTTAACCCTTTGAGATATTGCTTTGAAACTTTTAATGCTATTTCACATCATTACCCCCATCTGTACGCAAGAGAAGGTAACTCTGTCAAGGATTTGTTTTAAAAATTAAGGCCTTTTATCGACTTAGAATCTTGGTTAAGTTTTTAGTACCAGTCCACTTTTTGACTGAACTGTTTGAGATATTAATTTGAAAGTTGGAATACTTGTTTACAATCATGATTCCCAAACATGTCCAGGAGAAGGTAATTCTGTCAAAGATTTTATTTGAATTATGGCCCTTAACTGTCAATGTTTTGTATTATAGGCAAGCACTAAAAAACTTAAAAAATCTAAAAAAATTCATTCCTATCCACTTGTTCACTTTACCATAAATTATGTCATAATAAAAATAATTCTTCACTAAATATCTTAATGCTCATGGCCATTGTTCACTTTAAAAATACAGAGATTCTTGTATTTCCTTTTACTGCAAAAACTTTTTTTATTGGCAAGCAATAAAAAAGTCGAGCGCGCTGTCTTACGGACAGCTCTTGTTTAAATAACTTGTCCCCTACCGGTTTAACCGGAGGGGACTTTAGGTTTACCCTCCGTCCGTCCGTCTGTCTGTCTGTCCGTCTGTCTGTCCGTCTGTCTGTCTGTCCGTCAGTCCGTCAGTCCGTCCGTCCACAAAACTGGATCCCGCGATAACGCAAAAAGTACTGAAAATATTTTTATGAAACTTGATATATGGATAGATGGCAGTATGGAGATTATGCACGTCTTTTTTTTTTCTTCCTATGTTGAAAATTCTGGTTGCTATGGCAACAAATAGTCTGAAAATATGGCAAATTTAACACATAAACTGGATCCAGTGATAACTCAAAAAGTACTGAAAATATTTTTATGAAACTTGAAATATGGGTAGATGGCAGTCTGGAGATTATGCACATCTTTTTCTTTTCTTCCTATGTTGAAAATTCTGGTTGCTATGGCAACAAATAGCCTGAATTTCAAGATTTCTGATTTAAATTTTTCAGCTTTTTCACTATAAGTTCTTTATTTCTTAAGGTGTTTACTTCAAACTTTAAATATAAGTTTCTGGTCATCAACCACATCATATGTGACAAGGTTTATAACTCTAGCACAAAAAATATCAGTATTACCTCCCTTGAACTTAGATTTTTTAGGGGAAAAAATGTTGTCTTTTTTAAATAACTTCTTTATTTCCTAATGTATCTACTTCAAACTTCATATATATGTTTCTTATTATCACTCGACATTTTTGAGAAGGTTAAATACTCTAGCAAGACTATTTCCAGAATTATGTCCCCCTTTAACTTAGATTTTTTTAAATATTAACAAATAGTCTGAAAATATGGCAAATTTAACACATAAACTGGATCCAGTGATAACTCAAAAAGTACTGAAAATATTTTTATGAAACTTGAAATATGGGTAGATGGCAGTCTGGAGATTATGCACATCTTTTTCTTTTCTTCCTATGTTGAAAATTCTGGTTGCTATGGCAACAAATAGCCTGAATTTCAAGATTTCTGATTTAAATTTTTCAGCTTTTTCACTATATGTTCTTTATTTCTTAAGGTGTTTACTTCAAACTTTAAATATAAGTTTCTGGTCATCAACCACATCATATGTGACAAGGTTTATAACTCTAGCACAAAAAATATCAGTATTACCTCCCTTGAACTTAGATTTTTTAGGGGAAAAAATGTTGTCTTTTTTAAATAACTTCTTTATTTCCTAATGTATCTACTTCAAACTTCATATATATGTTTCTTATTATCACTCGACATTTTTGAGAAGGTTAAATACTCTAGCAAGACTATTTCCAGAATTATGTCCCCCTTTAACTTAGATTTTTTTCGAGAAACTGGTATTTTCACTCCAACTTCTTCATTCCTTATAGGATTTACTTTAAAATCCCACATCGTAATAATATGACAAGGTTGTATAAACATAATTTCCTTACTAAGCATGGAAACTTAACACATTACTGTGATATAGACAAACTTATTTTATTATGTTTTGTGGTTGATATTTTCAAATACAGACTTCATCCTCAAATTCATTATAAATGGCAATACACAGGAGTGTATGACAATTAAAGAACTTTTTGAGGGACCGGTAGGGGACTACTGTATTGCCCGCAATACTATCAAATGCTTGTTACATACATAAATTTGCCCTCCCATCGTTTTTTTTTTAAATTTAACAAGGTCACTTCATTGGCACTTCGTCTGCATCAGTTTGTCACCTTGAGATAAACAATGGTGACCAAAAACAAAGGTCAATAAAGGGTGAAAATAATTGAGCAATTTGCGATCAAATGTGTCAGCCTTGTTTTGTCAGTGCTCCAGGCTAAATTGTCCTGTAGGTGACGAAATGTCATAACGAAACAATTTTATTGAGTGATTAGCACAAAGGAAGCGGCTAATATCTTGCAGTGTTATTTGGTGTTTGTGAGAAATACACTGCGTGACTTTTGAAAACAAAATCTACATATTAATAAAAACCCACGTGGTTGGATGTAGTATGTGTTTTCATATTTATTGTATAAATTCTATGATAGCTACTTAGCTAGATATATTTATATACATGTATATTTAAATAAAACAAAAACTTATGAGTGAAAAGAGTAACCTCCCATTTTATACTCTTCAAAAAGGATGTACGTGATAGCAAAAGAAGAAATAAATGATGCTCGACGGTGTGGGATTTCTCAATTTGTTCTGTCTTGGTTATAATGAGACCCGATTATAACGAGGAATCATGTGAAGTCCGGACAATCTTGTTGTATCCGGAGTGCACTGAATAGTATACACTAGGTTTAAAGGTTGAAAAGGAGTCGAACCAACATATAATTCCACAAGCAAAATTTACTTCCAAAGTTTGGAAATACTTTGGTATTTCAATTGAAAATGAGATAAAAGCAGTTTGTTAAACATGCCATGGCGAACTGACTTATATCGGTGGTACAACAAACATCTTTAATTAATGGCTTAATAAAGTATTTGAGGTCTTCCTCCACCTGTCAAGCTGAAAAGTTGCCATATGACCTTAACAGTGTTGATGCGGTTTAAAAAACAAAACTGGCAGTGAAACGGATTAACTGTAATGATCTTAGTTTGTAATTTTTGCAGGTTGAAGAAAATCGTCATCATCGGATACATGATTACACATACCAAGAAGTCATCAAGAACACTGTCTTCCGAGATAGTCGCTCAATCTTCCAGAAACTTAAACTGGACAAAGGACGGTATCTGATTCTAGCTTGTACTTTCGAAGCAGGTGTTGAGCAAGGGTTCTTGTTTAGAATTTACACTGGGGCTGCTAATGAGTTTAAGTAAGTAATATTGTAATATAGTTTGTAAGGTAAAAATTATTGTACCATTTGTACTTCTGAATATTAATTACTTAACTTGATTGGTTTGTAAATGTGTAGTCATGTTTTCTGACAAATTCAGCTCGCATTAAACAGAAAAGTTTTTTGCTGAAAATTTACAGTACAATTTTTAGCTCACCTGAGGACAATGTCCTCAAGGTGATCTTTTGTGATGGCCCATTGTCTGTCGTCCATCGTCTGTCCGTGCGTCAACAATTTCTTTAAAGAAATTCTCCTCCTAAACCACATGACCGAATTTGATGAAACTTTGCAGGAATGTTTCTTGTATAAAGCTCTACCAAAGTTGTTCACATGAACAACCAAAATATTTTTTTACAAAAAATCTCAAAAAGTCTTCTGTAAAAAACGGAAAGAGCTAGAGCTTAGAGATTTGGCATGAAATATCTTCTAGTGGATGTTTACCAAGTTTGTTGAAATAAAAGCCCTGGGGTAAAAATTGGCCCCCCCCCCCAGGGGTCATTGATTTTCCAAATATGTATAAAGTAAAAACTTAAAAATTCTTTTTGTGAAAATCCAAAAGAGCTAGAGCTTAGATATTTGGCATGAAACATCTTCTAGTGGATGTCTACCAAGTTTCTTCAAATGAAACCCCTAGGGTCAAAATTGACCCCCGACCCAGTGTGTCATTGCCAAATATGTCCTTATATATTCATTAGTATTCAAACTCACAGGATTTTCTGGAAAGCTTATCATCACCATTCAAAGATCGAACTATATACACAATAATGATAAGTTTAGGCAGGTGTAACGTTTTAAAAATTTAAAACCATTCACATATACTTATTCTTTAGACGTTAAATCAACTCGATTGTCTATGTTTATATAAATGAAGTTTTTAGCTCGACTTTTCTATGAAAAGGGGAGCTATCCTACTCGCCCCGGCGTCGGCGTCGGCGTTAGCGTTGGCGTCACACCTTGGTTAAGTTTTTCGTACCACCCCACTTTATTTCAGAAGTATTACAAGTATGGCTTTGAAACTTACCATACTTGTTCACCATCATAACCTCCATCTACAGACAAGAGTACATAACTCTGTCAAGGTTTTTGACAGAATTATGGCCCTTTTTTTACTTAGAAAGTGTATTGAGCTTGGTTAAGTTTTTTGTACCACCTCACTTTATTTCAAAACCATTGGAGGTATTGCTTTGAAACTGACCATACTTGTTTACCATCACGACCTTCATCAACAGACAAGAGGACATAACTCTGTCAAGGTTTTTGACAGAATTATGCCCCTTTTTGACTTAGAAAATACATTGAATATGGGTAAAATCCACTTATTGCCTTAACCCTTTGAGATATTGCTTTAAACTTTTAATGCTATTTCACATCATTACCCCCATCTGTACGCAAGAGAAGGTAACTCTGTCAAGGATTTGTTTTAAAAATTAAGGCCTTTTATCGACTTAGAATCTTGGTTAAGTTTTTAGTACCAGTCCACTTTTTGACTGAACTGTTTTGAGATATTAATTTGAAAGTTGGAATACTTGTTTACAATCATGATTCCCAAACATGTCCAGGAGAAGGTAATTCTGTCAAAGATTTTATTTGAATTATGGCCCTTAACTGTCAATGTTTTGTATTATAGGCAAGCACTAAAAAAGTTTTTTTTTCTTTTCTTACCAGCCCTCTTTTGACTTAAACATTTCAAACTTTGCTGCAGTGTTCAAGGGTATCACACAATTCAGTAAAATAATTCTTCACTAAATATCTTAATGCTCATGGCCATTGTTCACTTTAAAAATACAGAGATTCTTGTATTGCCTTTTACTGCAAAAACTTTTTTTATTGGCAAGCAATAAAAAAGTCGAGCGCGCTGTCTTACGGACAGCTCTTGTTCTATTAACAGTGACTTAACAGGTCCATGGGGCTGGGCGATTTGTTTGATGTTCTGTATTTGTATTATATTGTTTGTACTATATACATGTATCGCAAGTCACTATAATAAATAATTTTTCCTTCTTCTTCATACAAAAATCTGTACTAAAGGGAGTTAATTATCCTGATATTTCTTACACTTTGAGGAATATAATATACTTATTGTCTTTCCTTAATATTAATACAATTTGTTTTGTGAATTTGTTATTACTTTTTTTTACTGTCAGCTTTTTAGCTCAACTATAAGGAGAATAGGGAGAGCTATTGAACTCACCTAGGCGCCCGTGTCACACTTTGGTTAAGTTTTTGCATACTTTTGCAAAATTTAAATCTAGAATTTGGTTAGTATCTCTATTTGTCAGGAATAATTGCAGGAATAATTTTAACAGGAGTGTAAGGAAAAAATATTTAACTCATTATTTTTTTTACTCAATTATTCGAAGAATATGGAGAGCTATTGTACTCACCTGGCATTGGCGTCAGTGTCACCGTCACACTTTGGTGAAGTTTTTGCTTGCAAGTTGGTATCTCCAAAACTACTGAAGAGAATGGATGGAAACTGCTTACACTTATTTGAGAGTATAATATGAGGTCACTGTTGTTGCCCCATAACTCTGACACGGATTTTGACAGAATTATGGCCCTTTTTTTAACTTAGAAATTTTTACATCTTCAGACTCTTGTTTCACTTTTAAGCACTGAAAATAGTCAAGTAAACTGTCCTACTAACAGCTTTTGTTATTTTCTATCATTTTAAGTTTTATCAGTTCCGACTGTGAGCATACTATATTTGTTTTGTTTATCTTTAGGGAGCTGCACCATGATAAGCCTCAGAGAAGTTTCTGGAACTGCTGTGCTAAACAACCTGTAATGTTAACTCAGATTAAAGTCCTCAAAGCTGAAGGCCTTGAGAAGCAGGAGAGAGATGGTAAGTGTACTCAGTCTGATTAAAATCTTAGTTCCTTAGTTTTTGTTTTCTTTTTTTTCAGTTTGGTTTTATGTCACACTAACACAGTAGAGGCCATATGGCAAATATTCAGCTTTACTGACCTCCGGTGCCCCTCCAAGGCACAAACGGGCCCCTGGGTAGAATGATTTACTTTTGCAGTTAACTATTATTTAAAATTTAATAGGATTATGTCAGCTTTGTTGGATGAGAAATGTCCCTTATAATTTCATTTTAGATACATATGGTCATCTATTTGTGTCTATATAGCTAGTTTACGGAACCTTGAAGGTTCTATGCAGGTGCCAGTTTTGCACTGGAAGGGAAATCTGCCAAATCACCTATACTGTGTTGGTGCAAAATAAAAGCCCCCCATAAAAAGAAAATATATTTGTATCTACTGACCATTACATGAAATTGTCAATTGGCTTCCTAACACAAATATATTTTTATTCCAAAATTGTACTAAGCCTGTGCTTGTAAGAACTTTATACCCCACACTATTAAATATAAGATCTTTTAGAATTTTATTTTTATGATGATACCACTTGCCAGTCACCGCTGTAAGTTTCAAGCCACGAAAACGTCTTCCAATTTTTTCATGTGAGAAAGCTATCCAGCTAGCTTATGGAATTTTGGTAGTTCTACTCAATTGCCCTTCTATATCTGAAATAATGCACAGAGGGGCACCTAAAATCTTCCTCCACCAGTAAAACTGGAAAGTTGCTATATGACTTAATAAATATACTATGTTTGTGCAACATAAAACTCGATAAAAAAAAAGAAGAAAAAAAGATTTTCATGATATATATGTATTTATGCTAAAAAAAATGACTGAAAAAAGTTTTCCCACTTGTCAGTATGAAAACATGATGTTTTTATATTGAAATTTCAGGTGCTGATCCATATTGTATCATATCATGTGAGGGACAGAAAGTGACTACAAATGTTCAAACTGACACCTGTAACCCGGAGTGGAAACAAGGAGCCATCTTCTTTAGAAAAAATCCCCTCAAAAATCCCATTAAAGTTCAGGTCTGTATATTACAGTGCTTTCATTGAGTATGGAAGTTTTATGATATTATGATCCAGGAATTTTTTTAGGATTTTGGGAACATGACCCATACCCAAGGGGCCATCGAATTGGGAATTTCAGTGGTGTTTTGTTAAAAATTTGGAAAAAATGCATGATTGAAATTTTAACATGATTCAATGGATGCAAACAATTACTGTCTAGGATGGCATCTTCAAATATTTAAGCACTATTACAGTTAAGGAGCCCTTATTTGCAAAGATTTTAGAATTTTTATTCAATATTTTTATTTTGTTACTTTCAATTGGAAATTTTTTCCTGTGAATTGGGAAAATGATATACTATTTTCAATTGGGAATATGACCCAATAACGGCTATGAAATAAGCCCAAAAAAAAAAAATCCCTGTATCATATGATGGGACTGAATTTTTGTACCGTTTTATGAAAGTCTGGATCAATATCTTGTATGCAGGATATCAGATCATTAGCTCACTCCTGTTTTTGCAGAACAGTAATTTTAATTAATTATGCAAAATGACCCAAAATTGAAAATTGAAAAGTCTGATAAATTATGGCATAAAAAATTGATTTTGATTTTGTTCTAAGATTGTCTTTTTTATCATTTTTTGCATAACGTTTTGATTACAAATTTCATATTGATGTTTTTTTTAAGACTTTTGGACTTCAATTAAGCTGTAAATAAGCCGCGTCACGACAAAACCAACATAATGGGTTTGCGACCAGCATGGATCCAGACCAGCCTGCGCATCCGCACAGTCTGATCAGGATCCATGCTGTTCGCTTACAAACCCTATAACAAGTAGAGAAACTGTTAGCAGCTCAAATATATTGTGTTTTGAAATATTATTATTTTGACTAGGTTTACATTTTTAATATGAATTTTTAATTCTAATTTTAGAAATATACTTTCAAGACATTTTTGTTAATGATCTTATATAAAGACAATTTAAAGAATAGTGATGGTCTATTGGATTAGCTAACAATTTAATTTTTTTAAGGAAAATAAAGATTTAAGTGATATTTTACATGTTATGTGCAATTAATAACTGATTTTGAATAATTTATCACCATATGTTTACTACACAACTAACTGAGGGCTGATTTTGCATAATTTGACCTCTATTTAGTAAATTACTTGGATTGTAAGTGCAATTTGCAAGGTGTAAATTAATTTCTTTATTCACTACACAATATTTTACTTTCAAATACATTTTCAAAATGTTCATGAGATTAAGCATAAATCTGGAGGCATGCTGCTTTAACTTTTTTTCAAACAAACAAGCACATGGTCACCTAGTAATTAGTGGCAGGACAGACCAGGATGATCATTTTGAATTTGGTAAACTTTTTAATATGTTTGTGTTGACTTCAAATATTTTTTTACAAAAACTGCCCCAAAATGTTCTTTTTATTAGCTTGACTATTCAATAAGAATAAGTAGAGCTATTTTAGTCACCCAAGTGTCGGCGTAACCACTTATGTTAAAAAATTTGTGACACCTCAAATATTTTGACCATGGACATATGGCTTTGAAACTTTGCACACTTATTCACCATTATGACCCCAACCTGTGGACAGCAGAAGGTAACTCTATCAAGCATTTTGACAGAATTATGCCTCTTTTTCAACTTAGAATTTATGTTAAAGTTTTTGTAATACCTCAAATATTTTCAAAGTCCATTTACATATGGCTTTGAAACTGTGCACACTTGGTCACCATCATGCCCCCAATCTGTAGACCAGAGGTGAAAATATATCAAGCATTTGACAGAATGCCCCTTTTTGACTTAGAATTTACATTAAAGTTTGCATACCACCTCTGATATTTTCATATTCCATTGACATCTGGCTTTGAAACAAGTTAAAATTTTATACACTTCTTTGAAAGCATTATAGGACTCTCTCCCCAAGGATTATAACTGTATCATGGAGTTAAAGAAAAAAAAATTGTCCTTCTGTTAACTTAGAATTTTTCATTATCAAGGTTCTTTTACTATCAAGCACTAAGAATTTAGTCGAGCGTGCTGTCCTACCAACAGCTCTTGTTTAGATATCAGAAAGTTGAATAGTCTTGAACACAAGGTACGGACTTGGGAATTTTTTTATTTTTTTTTTTTTTTTTTTAAAATGATATAAATATCAGCAAAAAATAGATTATGAAATATGTTGTTTACTTCCCTATGTTTTTGTTTCTTTTTCTTTTTTTAGGTCTGAACTTTTCACAGTATTTTAAGATTTGACTTTATATTCTATTTTCAGATCTGGAATAATAACATATTACGGGATTCATACATGGGCAAACATTTGTTTATCAGTGCTGATGAATGTACCAGGTCGGTCCAGTCAGTGGGACTTGTAGGGCGTGGCAAGCAGGGGGACCAGATACGGTCTGGTAAACTCGTGGTCGAGATTACTCAGACAAAAAACCTCTCTGCCATATAGACACGATGATCAAGTTGTTTTATCTTAAAGGTAGCTTGCCATTTTTGACAACAGGCTGTTTAATTCTCAATATTCAAGGAATACTATAACAATATACTTTAGACAGAAGTTAATGGATCGAAAATATTTTTTTATAAAAAAAATCTGACATCATTAAATTTAGTTATGAAAGCATTTTGCTTGAAGATGTTAATTGGATATCAATTAAAGGGTTTAGGAATATAAATGAATTGTTTTGATATAATTGTGTTTTTATATAGTTTTACTACCTATAAGAGAATTTTAGATATGATGCAATAAGATATAGATCTGATAAAGTTTTTTTTAGACAAAGATCAAATTTATATATAGTTGATATATAAAGATTTGTGTATATTTATAATCAATATTATGAGATAAAGGTAGATGTAGGTTTCATGTCAAATGATTTATGAATTTGTGCAATGAAAAAAAAAATAAAAAAATACCGCAGTTATTTAAAAACAAGTTATGAATGTAATTATATCATACATATAAAGTTTTCTGATTATCCACTTTTCATAGAATTTATAAAATTTTAGCAAACTGTTGAATGCATTAGTCATTTGTAACCATAGACCATGAGCCCCTCCTACCCATCTGCTCAACCCCAAAGAAAATGGAATCATCACTTTGAAATTACCAAAGTGATGAAAATTTAAATCATGCAGAGTAAATCAGATAAAATGAAATTCCCTGTAGTAATAATTCACGCTGCAGGTAAGACTACACTACTACTTTTTGGTTGAAAACAACAAAACCAGAACATTGTAGGGACAAGTTAAAAGTAAAAAGCAAAGGTCATCACTTCCTTTGATTATCCCCATAACCTTTCAGAGGGTAGGTGAGTGGGATTCACAGGGAGTGGATGAGGTGTACTGAGTTACTACAAATGACTAATGCATAAGGTTACATCATTTTTGATGGCATATGAAGATATTTTATTATTAAACTCACATACTTTAATCTGCTGATATTTGCCTTAGTATTTTTACATTGATATTCACATTCTTGTAAGGTATTTATTTAGTATAGTTAGTTATTCAATAGTTGGTGGAAGTAATTGTAAAGTAAACACTTTATTACACTGTTAATTTTTTATTATTATGTATTTTATATGCATGCTGTTAGCATAAACTTGGTGAAATTGTATAGCTCTTTATTGGGGTTGTTTAATGGTCTTTTTAAATTGTATTATTTTTAGCTATTGAAACTTACTTTTTTAACCATTTTAGAAGCAGTGATGTTATTCAGTGACTCTTTAATAGATTGGTACATCAGGATTACTCTTCTGTTGTTTTTTTTTCAGATTTATTGTTAATGTAAAGAAGAAATTCCAATTTTTGTTTAAGACTCTAAATATCAATTTAGAGAAAAATAAAATTTTGATATAAAAATCCATACATTACTTAATAGTTAAACAATGGAAAAAAGAAGGAACTAATGTTTTAACCTTTTTACTTCCATATTCAAGTCTTGGTTTGTTATTCAATCTAGTCTTCCCTCATTAATTTAACATTCATATATCAGCACTTAATTTAATAATATGGTAAGTTCATGTTTTTGATTCTTCATGCATTATCTGTATAATTTGGTTTACTACTTTATTTGCTAGCTTTAGACTTTTTATGTTGATGATAATGTTGTTGATGATACTGGTGATTTATTAATACTCAGAACTAGTGATTTGACTGCTTTTATTAAGTTTTTGCGCATTTTCTTTCTTAGAAGGAAATCAATTTTTTCTGTTCAATTTTTATTTGTAAAGTTTTTGATTATAAGGTAAAATCTTTTGTTAATAAAAAACTTATAACATCTTTGGTTATAAAGACTTTGATTATAATGTAAAATCTTTCTTTTATAATAACTTTGATCATAAAGTCTTTGATTATAAGGTAAAATCTTTTGTTACAATATCTTTGGTAATAAAGTTTTTGATTGTAGTAACATAAAATCTTTTATTATGATATTTTTGGTTATAAAGTCTTTGATTATAAGATAAAACTTTTGTTGTGATATTTTTGGTATCATAAAGAAAATTACCATATCATTTAATTTGATTATTTTTTTTATTGAAAACATAAAATTTTCATAAGAACTATGCTTGTAATGTCAAATCATTTAGTTTGATGTTTGTCTCCTTCTTTGTTGTGTTTTGTTTTATTTGCTTTTAGTAATGTTGGTGTTTAATGTTGCATGAAATTTGAGCCGCGCCACGACAAAACCAACATAGTGCGTTTGCGACCAGCATGGATCCAGATCAGACTGCGCATCAGCGCAGTCTGATCAGGATCCGTGCTGTTTGCTTACAAACCCTATAACAAGTAGAGAAACTGATAGCGAACAGCATGGATCCTGATCAGACTGGTCTGGATCCATGCTGGTCGCAAACGCACTATGTTGGATTTGTCGTGACGCAGCTCATTTTATTTTGATAAACATCACAAAAATCCTATAACTTTCTGATATTTTTCTACTGTCATGTGTTTTCTACTGTTTCAAATATTTTTTTGTATATATAAAGAAATGATTTTCACACATAAAGAAATCAAATCCGACATCTCTAGAAACATGTGTATATTGCCACAAAATTTGCCTCTTTATTGTTTTGTGTAAATTTTTTTGTCACATTTTAGCAGGTATAAATTAAAATTTTAACACATATTTACTGTCCATTGTTACGTCCATGGAATTTTGTATCTTTATTGATTATGATAGTCAACTTGTACATCAAAATCTGAGAAGATAATTATTTAACTTAAAAACAAAATCCTTTAATTTTAACCCCTTCTACTTGCATTGTCAACTGCTCACAAACAGTATCACAAACATAACCATGTGTTCTTTTGTGCAAACCAGGTCAACTAGTGACTATGAATTATCTCAGTATAGCAGTCGGATAACAATTTAACCAATTTACATAAAACTGTAAACACTGGAAAGGTCCATTGATATTGAGTTAGTCATAAATGTAAGTTGTACAATAAGTTTGTGTTGATGTAACAATACAAGTAAAATGGCTGCAATTTGTGGCGGGAAAATAAGAATAAGAAATATATGATTATTTATAGATTATTTTTATATTGAAATTTTTAAATTGATCTGAAACAGTTATAGATCTAATGTTCTGATTTTTTATCATTTGATAGTAAGAAGTGATTGATGGAAATGTATATTTATAATGCAATTGTTGTATATAAATGTTATGCCTTAATTTTCAAATATTTATCATGATTGATACATTTAAATTAAAATGCATTGTTAATCACATCATTGAAAAATTTAAATCCAGATTTTGGCCAGTATGTCCAGCTATTTCAGTATCTATAATGACTGCATTGTAATATGAATGTAAGGGAAAATAAGAATTTATGTTTTACCGCGAATATTCAAGGAATAAGAACACCCCATATTTGGCATTGGTGGATGTGGGTGTCACTGTCACACTTTGGTGAAAGTTTTATGTGCAAGTTGTTATCTCAAAAAATACTAAAGGAAATGGGTTAAAACATCACACACTTATTCAAAAATATATTAAGTCACTAGCGAAAAGCCATAACACTAACTAACTTAGACTTCAACAGAATTATAACCCTTTTTTAAACTTAGAAAATTCTACATTTTTCAGGCTCTTGTTTTACTATCAAGCACTGAGAATAGTTGAGTATGCTGTCCTTTTGACAGCCCTTGTTTGTTTTATCAATGTTTCTTCAGTGGCATGTTAGAGATTTTCATGACCGACCTGATGGTGCTACTTGAAAATTTGATTGCATATCTCATCACCTCAGTGCAGTAATGGGTTAACTACTATTGACACTAAATAGGACTTAACCAGTTACTGCACTAAGGTGACAATATTCTCCATTTTTCTGTGATTGTTCAAGACTGCTCAATATCATCTACAAATTATAAGTGATAACAGGTAATGGAGGTCTGGTTGTTAAGGTGCTTGCCAACGGGTGTTGTTGGTTTGAGTTGTAGCGGGGTCACGATCGTGATTCCTCGTCTGACTCCAGTACTGCTTTGTTCTTTTTAATATACTCAAGAGTGCTTCAAAAATACTTCAAGCTTTCATAACAATGTGGTGAAAATTAGTATGTTTTAACCATGCTTACTACAGTGGTGTCAGTACAATGCAAAGAATGTGCTTTTCCATGAATTGTAAAATTAAATTGAACCAAATTAGGCATTAAACATGTATGGACACAAGGCACTTTTTGTGCATGAATGGACAAAAGTTCCCTCTGAACATGTATGGAAAAAAAGTACTTTGATATTTTTGAAAAAAAGAAAATCCGAAAAAAGTTATGACATTACCATTTTGAGATTTTTAGGATATATTCATTGTTGATGGAGTGTTAATTCATATTTATAAATCCTCATCCTACAAGCATGAAATATACATGAAACAAGTGCAGACTAACCTAAACCAGCACTTCATGTAGTCTGATCATGGTCTGCACTGTTCATTGTATATTCAGTCTGCAGTTTTTTGAAATTTTCCCTAAAAAAGATGAATGGTTTTTATCCAGATTTGAAGGTGGGGAATTCCATTTAAGATAACTAGTGGGGTTAGGGTTAATTAAGATATGACCTTATGTAATTATCATCTTTGTTATCCATATGAATTTTGCTGGGGTTTTCAATGTCTGAGTCATTACTGTGTGTTGAATTATTGACTAAGGGTTTATATTTTTGTGTTTTTTTTTTATCTAATTTATTTTTTTAATATTATTTTTGCTTTTTTTTTATTGTTCATGCTTTTGCATAGATTTTTTATTTTTTTGCAATTATGATTTATTCATGTAACCATATGTAAGGCTGTTACAAATTTATTGAAATTTTAGAAAATGTCAGTTAAAACTTTGTCACAGGTGATAAAATGCAAGGAAAATGTATATCAAGTTGAAGAAACTGAAAAGTTTCTTTTTTTTTTAATGATATTTTTGGGATAACAAGTCAATAATGGTCATTGTGTAAAGGGAATTGGAGAAGAGATTAAGGTTTAATTATTTCATGGGATTATTTTTTAAAGCTATTCATAGTACATTTTTCTTGATAAATCCATTTTTTTTTATAAAACTATACAGATATCGGGTTTTTAGCTCGACTTTTCTATGAAAAGGGGAGCTATCCTACTCGCCCCGGCGTCGGCGTTGGCGTCACACCTTGGTTAAGTTTTTCGTACCACCCCACTTTATTTCAGAAGTATTACAAGTATGGCTTTGAAACTTACCATACTTGTTCACCATCATAACCTCCATCTACAGACAAGAGTACATAACTCTGTCAAGGTTTTTGACAGAATTATGGCCCTTTTTTGACTTAGAAAGTGTATTGAGCTTGGTTAAGTTTTTTGTACCACCTCACTTTATTTCAAAACCATTGGAGGTATTGCTTTGAAACTGACCATACTTGTTTACCATCACGACCTTCATCAACAGACAAGAGGACATAACTCTGTCAAGGTTTTTGACAGAATTATGCCCCTTTTTGACTTAGAAAATACATTGAATATGGGTAAAATCCACTTATTGCCTTAACCCCTTTGAGATATTGCTTTGAAACTTTTAATGCTATTTCACATCATTACCCCCATCTGTACGCAAGAGAAGGTAACTCTGTCAAGGATTTGTTTTAAAAATTAAGGCCTTTTATCGACTTAGAATCTTGGTTAAGTTTTTAGTACCAGTCCACTTTTTGACTGAACTGTTTGAGATATTAATTTGAAAGTTGGAATACTTGTTTACAATCATGATTCCCAAACATGTCCAGGAGAAGGTAATTCTGTCAAAGATTTTATTTGAATTATGGCCCTTAACTGTCAATGTTTTGTATTATAGGCAAGCACTGAAAAACTTAAAAAATCTAAAAAAATTCATTCCTATCCACTTGTTCACTTTACCATAAATTATGTCATATAAACATTGCTGTAATATTCAAGGGTATCAAACAACTAGTTATTTTTCTCTTTTTGTACTTGAAATTAAAATCAGTAGTATATGCATATTTCACATTTTATCTCGCCTATTTGATTGGTGGACAAGTTACACAATTCAGTAAAATAATTCTTCACTAAATATCTTAATGCTCATGGCCATTGTTCACTTTAAAAATACAGAGATTCTTGTATTGCCTTTTACTGCAAAAACTTTTTTTATTGGCAAGCAATAAAAAAGTCGAGCGCGCTGTCTTACGGACAGCTCTTGTTATGATTATATTTATTGACTACTGAATGACAGTATTTTTAAAAGAAAGAAAGAAAAAAAACAAGTTACTATTGTATATTTGGTATTGAGGAAATAATTGATTAAAGTTGGTTCTGTTATGTAACCTACAGTTTATTACGCAAAAATTTACAAATGGAACTGAACAACTTTACACTAAGTGTTGACTACTCAAAGATAGGTATTTTATGTGAGGGATTTATATTTAAATCACCTAACTTATTTATAGGTGAAACTTTATCTTGATGGTCTTATGGCCAAATTGTATACCTGTTAATCTAGGGATCCTGATTTCAAGCCATATAAGGGTCAAGGCCATGTTTCCTTAAAATGACATTAATGGTTTGTTTCAGAAAGCAAACTTGAAGCAAACTTAACCGCCTCTGTGGTCGATGGGTTAGAGTCGATGACTTCTAATCCAGTTACCTCTCTGGTGGGGGTTCGATCCCTGGGAGATGCTTTGGTAGTTAAGCGCGGAGGAAGATAGTTACTGGTGTAACTCTCCAGGAACGATGGTTAGGAAACTACCTGCCTATATGAATGAAATACTGTTGAGAAAAGGGGTAAAATGAAACAAACAAACAAACAGAAAGCAAACTTAAGAGAGAATACAAAAAGTTTAAATCTTTTGATAAATATATATATATAAACATTTAATCTAAATCAAACTTTATGGGTGTGGTTTGTTTAAATGTCAGAGACAAAAGGGTTAAGTTTACTAAATCTAAGTCATCCTACTGTTTTGTATTGTTTGAACACACACTGTTATGTTTTATCTGTAGGATAATTGCACAAAATACACCACATTATCTGCTTTTATATTATTTTTATGTAGGTCCCATATTTAACTACCTATTGATACTACATTGTATTTTGTTATTTTATCGCATATAAAGCATATTTCATGTGTTCACATTATATATATTTTATGAAATAAATACAGTTGCTTACAGTTAACAAACTATTGTTATTTCTTATTTTAGAACAAAATATTTCAAGTCCTTTGAATACATAATGAACTGATGGGGAGATTTTCTCTACCAATTGAAACCTTAAACTTGCAAATTGTGATCATCTTGAAAGAAATGTGAAAAGCTGACATTCAGTGTACAATTACTTGAATGTATTAATATGTACAATGACACTAATTGTTCCCCCATTAAATGTTCTTGTGTTAATATGTACAAAGACGTTGATGGTTCCCGTTAATATGTACAAAGACGTTGATGGTTCCCGTTAATATGTACAAAGACGTTGATGGTTCCCCCATTCAATGTACTTGTGTTAATATGTACAAATACGTTGATCGTTCCCCCATTCAATGTACTTGTGTTAATATGTACAAATACGTTGATCGTTCCCTCATTCAATGTACTTGTGTTAATATGTACACAGACGTTGATGGTTCCCCCATTCAATGTACTTGTGTTAATATGTACAAAGACGTTGATGGTTCCCCCATTCAGTGTACTAGTGTTAATATGTACAAAGACGTTGCTGGTTCCCCCATTCAATGTACTTGTGTTAATATGTACAAAGACGTTGATGGTTCCCCATTCAATGTACTTGTGTTAATATGTACAAAGAAGTTGATGGTTCCCCATTCAATGTACTTGTGTTCATATGTACAAAGAAGTTGATGGTTCCCCATTCAATGTACTTGTGTTCATATGTACAAAGAAGTTGATGGTCCCCCATTCAATGTACTTGTGTTAATATGTTCAAAGAAAGTTGATGGTTCTCCCCATTCGACGTTGATGGTTCCCCATTCAACTGTACTTGTGGTTATATGTACAAAGACGTTTTTGGTTCCCATTCAATGTACTTGTGTTAATATGTACAAAGACGTTGATGGTTTTCCCCCATTCAATGTACTTGTGTTTAATATGTACAAAGAAGTTGATGGTTCCCCATTCAATGTACTTGTGTTAATATGTACAAAGACGTTGATGGTTCCCCCATTCAATGTATCTTGGGTTAATATGTACAAAGAAGTTGATGGTTCCCCATTCAATGTACTTGTGTTAATATGTACAAAGACGTTGATGGTTCCCCCATTCAATGTACTTGTGTTAATATGTACAAAGACGTTGATGGTTCCCCATTCAATGTAGTTGGGTTAATATGTACAAAGAAGTTGATGGTTCCCCATTCAATGTACTTGTGTTAATATGTACAAAGACGTTGATGGTTCCCCATTCAATGTAGTTGGGTTAATATGTACAAAGAAGTTGATGGTTCCCCATTCAATGTACTTGTGTTAATATGTACAAAGACGTTGATGGTCCCCCCATTCAATGTACTTGTGTTAATATGTACAAAGACGTTGACTGTTCCCCCATTCAATGTACTTGTGTTAATATGTACAAAGACGTTGACTGTTCCCCCGATCATTGCACTTGTATCAAAATACACAAAGAGGTTGATGGTTCCGCATTAAAAGGAACTTGTACTGTAAAATGCAAGGAGGTTGGTGTTTCTCCCATTCCCTATACTTGTATTAAAAACTGAAAGAGGTTGATGGTCCCCACATTTATAGTACCTTTATTAAGATGCAGAAAGATGTTAATAATTCCACGTGATTGTACATTACAATTATATGTTGATAATTTCAAATTCATTGCACGTTGAGATTCCCTATCATTGCACATGTGTAAAAAGTACACTCAAAGATTGATGGTTCCCTTATTCACTACACTTGTACAGAAAAGCTCAAAGAAGTTGATGGCTCCCTATTCATTGTACTTCTATTAAGATATAGACAGATGTTAATGTTTCCTAATTCATTGTATTTGTATTGAAATATACAAATGGTTTAATTGTTTCCCGGTTAATTGGACTTGTATTGAAATAAACAAAAAGGTTAATGGTTCTCCATTCATTACAAAAGGTTGAATCTTGCTAGCCCAAAATTCAACTCCAGCTCGACATTTGGCCTTTGCTACTTTCTAATTTAGCTATAAATATTGTATTTTGAATAGAAGGAATAATTAAAAGCGCGCGATATACATGTACATGTGATCTTTAAAGCTTCATGCCTCCAGACAAGCCAAAATATTTCAAGGAAATCGAACTTGAGAAATTTGTACTAAAATTTTTAATAAAAGTAAAAATATTCAAGTAATAACTTACATGTTACTTTTGATTTATGGTTGTTTTTGAAGTATTTATCACACTATTTCTACTGCGTGACTAACGCATATTTTAACTAACGTGGATTTTAAGTGCCATTTGCAATGTGAAAATTGTTCACTTAACAATATTGTATTTTTAGATATGCTCGATACTTTGCATGAATATGAAGTCGTGCTGCTATAAAATTAAAAGTACATACTTAATATCTTCCTTTTTAACGTGCTTTTTTAAATAGCCACTAAGCATTGAATTCGCAACACCAATTGTTTTGGCTGTCCACTTCAGTCAAATTGAGTGGGTCGAGTAGGCAGGAAGGCGTATAAGGATACCTCAATTCTTTTCCTGAATACATAATGTCTAATTTCTTAAACTGGTCAGGCTGACATTTAGGTACACGTATATGTACTTAAAGATAATTTGAGCCGCGTCATGACAAAACCAACATAATAGGTTTGCGACCAGCATGGATCCAGACCAGCCTGCGCATCCACGCAGTCTGATCAGGATCCATGCTGTTCGCTATCAGTTTCTCTACTTGTTATAAAGTTGTAAGCGAACAGCTTGGATCCTGATCAGACTGCGCGGATGCGCAGGCTGGTCTAGATCCATGCTGGTCGCAAACCCATTATGTTGGTTTTCTCGTGACACGGCTCATTTATCTGTCAGCTTCTTTATTCAATTGCATTAAGGAAATCATTAAATACTCTTAAGTATGCTTAAAGTGTATCTTTGAAATTCTGAAAGCAGCGCACTCCACTGGTACTTTAACATTGTTTTTATCCTGGTATTTAAAAAGGGCTTCCTGTTATTATTTTAACCAGAAAAGTGAGTGAAATGTTGCAATATATACAAATGTACAAAAATGTATTTACCTTTCTTTGTGTTCACTTTAAAGTAAGGAAAAATGTCACTTCCTTAATTTCATTTTAGTTTGCACCAGTGGTATTTATTCAGATGAAAGGGTAAAGTACAAATTTGATTTGTAAAATACGAAAATGATACATTCAGTTAAAAGACCTAATCGAATTAATATGTTTAATACAATTGATCCATTGAAATAAGTGCTAGTATGCTCTTAGATTTACTAAGACCTATAAAGAGCCTATAATAAAAAACTATATTTAAACAATTTTGTCGTTATTGAGATGATCCGGACTTAACCGAAATTAGTTTATTATTCTTATACTTTTCACGTCGTCCCCTCAGTAGGTTCAATGTTCCAGTTATTTAAGCGTAAAGTCTCAATTGTTTCATGTTGTCAAGTAACGAACAATCAGTCTTAAATAGTCATGATACCGCCACAGCGGCGCAGCTCATAAAACGCAACGTATGTTGAAATTTTATGACTCAAACATGGATCTTATCAAAAATGTTATAATACTAAAGCTAAAAGCCATTTGAACATTGGATTCTTGAGAAATCAAGTTTCAACGGTTAGTAGTCGCAACGATTACTTACTCGAAAACGTCGCCATCAAAGCGTCCTGAAAACGCCGCCATCAAAGCGTCCTGAAAACGGCGCCATCAAAGCGCCCGGAAAACGGCTCCATCAACAATTCGGAAACAGTTGATATGATAAAAGAAACCTCATGCAACTATCTAGCTATTTAAGTGGCACAGACGTTTTTATGACAGTTGAATCAACGGCAGTCAACCGGCTAGAAAAAAGCGTACGATGTCAACATTCTCCGTCATTAAGCCGCTTGGAAAAACAAATGTGCCAAACATTTCATGTCTGGTCGAACATTTTACGGGACTTTGTACAATATTCTGACTAAACGATTGCATAATCTAGTTTCCGTTTTCAATTACCTATAAATTTTATTTATTCAAAAGCAAATCATAAAACGAATAAACTGTAGTAAAACATAAATAGAAGGAAATTTGGGAATAATAAACAACGGTCAATGCAGACATGTACTGTAAAGTATGTTTATTTTAGTACATGTATTTGTTTATGTCCAACTTCTAATTCAATAATTCACGTTTTTCATTTGCATATACATATATTTTTCTTACCCGATTTGTACAAGTCTTTAAGAATGCAAAATGAAATAAGTACATGTACTTATCATACTGCACTTATGTCAAAGGTACATACATATACATTCGAGAATAGGTAACTATCATAAGGAAACGCCTGGTTAAAATGCAACAATGTCGTTATAGTTCAGTCTGGCCAATAGAAAAATATCTACAGAGTTTCCGTCAATGAAATAAGATGGGCTTATCTACAAAGTGCTAATCCTGAATGCAATGCAAGAATTCTATTGGTCACTTTGACTGGTGTACTCTATTGTCCATTTGGTATATTAATAGACAACATTAGGTAACTTATTGTAGCGGCATTGCCAGGATGTGAAGCATAGGCGGTGCAGGTAGGGCTATTATCAGATTTTTCCTGAAAAATGTTTGCTTTTCTAGAGAAAAACAATCTAGCTTTTAAATGGATTTCTTTTATGCATTATTTTTGAATTTCTGTCAAAACTTTTCCTGAAAAAATGTTTGCTTTTCAGAATAACAACTTAGCTATCAGATAGATTGCGACTTCTGTGTTTCGTCGATATTTATTTATGCATAAATAACTTTATTGCTTTTGATATTTGGTACACCCTAGTCATTTACGAAACTACTATTGGTACATGAATCTGAAATAAGCCGACAACTTTTTATGAGGTAACGCCCATTTCGTAACTGATGCACCGAGACAGCATATGTAACTTCATAACAACTGTCAGAATCACAATTTATCTACATTCTTTGAATAATAACACCAGTAGATAAGTAAACGTCTCAGGTATACAGTATTTAGAAATAATTGTTTACTATTTGTAAATTACAATCTCTATATTTTTGACGCATCTATAATATCATCGACGTTTTCGAAATATTTAGTCAAAGTAGACAATTCTACCACCCACTCTTCACAATAAGTCCTTTACTTTGTTATTTTTCATGTTGGCTCTTTATTGTTAAGTAATTGCTTCTTCTTACTAAGTTCTTTTTTACAATTTAGTATTTTCTTTCTTTTTTGTTTTTCGTTAATTATCTTATGTTCATGTTTTTCAAGTTGAATGGGATTGTACATTTCGGTAATTTATCATTCATACGACTCTTTGTTCAGCGAGTGGCGTTGTATTTAGTAATATGTTTAAATTAAATATATAATTTGATATTACAGTTTCATTGACCGATTTATCCGTCATACATTGTTTTTTTCAGTGTCTATTTCGGGTTTAGTGCTATGTGATCTTGTATTGCCTTTAAATTTATATACAGTTTATACATATACATATATATGTAACACGATTTCATACGTTAAAATTTATCATTACTTCAGAGTTTTTCACCCTTTAAATATAATAATTGAGCCGCGTCACGACAAAACCAACAAAATGGGTTTGCGACCAGCATGGATCCAGATCAGCCTGCGCATCCGCGCAGTCTGATCAGGATCCATGCTGTTCGCTATTAGTTTCTCTACTTGTAATATGGTTTGTAAGCGAACAGCATGAATCCTGATCAGACTGCGCGGATGCGCAGACTGGCCTATATCCATGCTGGTCGCAAACGCACTATGTTGGTTTTGTCGTGACGCGGCTCAATTATGATTCAGTCATAATTCAGTTAAATTGCTTTCATATATTTAACTTCTTTTCTTTCTAAATATAAATAACCTACCTTTTCTTTCGCGGATAACATCCATTTCAAAGATCTCAGGGAACTTATACACTTTTCAGGATAAGCTGTACACATATATATGTTTTGCTGTATTAAATATAGATCATATCCGGAACTTGGCACATATGTTTTTTTCCATCTTCAACGGGGGTACATAGTACATACACACTTATTCCGTAAGCTTCATGGTGCTCTAGTGTTCAATTAAAAAAACGTGCCATTTCCGATTTATTTAGCATAGCATTAATTAGTGCAACACCAGGAATTGGAATGGAAAATGTAAACGTTTGTTTTTATCCCTGGATTAGCAGGACACTTACCAAATATTTTTAATTCCGCAGTTATTCTATTTTGGAATAACTTTGCTTAACCAATCTGTTCTATTTATTATTTATTGTAGACGTTAATTATGGACGACGATATTGCGGTCGTCGGGATCGGATGTCGGTTCCCCGGAGCAGACAACATTGATGAATTTTGGCGGGTGCTTGTTAATGAAGAGAACCACATAATTGATATACCGGAAGAACGCTGGAATAACGCGGCGTTCTATAGTGATGACAAAGATGAACCGGGCAAACATTACGTGAAAAAAGCTGCTTTTATAAATCAGTAAGATATGATAATGAACATTATTACTGTTCACTTTACTTTTATTTAGTTTCGTCCATTGTTTTATCTTTTAGGGCACACGCTATTTTTTGCTTGGGAACCATACGCCGCTTTTCATGGAATGGCACGAATTTGTCCTATTGAAGTTTCCATGATAACCAAATGAACACATGCTAAATGCTAAATTTTGCTTAATCCGGTCCTAGGGGTGACTTGCACTTTCTAGTACTGTACATGAAATTGAGTCTGCAACATTTTAAATTTGCAAATTTGGCCGTTCTTTTGACATTCTTTATTTCTCTTTATTTTAGTACACATGTACTGTATCCACTTCATAAATGAAACTTTTCTTAATATCTTTATTAATTTTAAAATTACGTTGATATAGAAATTTCAACGTTACTTTTGGTATATTCTACACTCTTTGGCATTGTCATGGGGGCCAAATGAGTACCGAAATCAATAATGTAAGAATTAACGCAATGTTCCACCAGTATCAAATACTTTTTTGTTACATTTTTCAATCTTTTCGTGGTAAGCTAAACGCCGGAAATGTTTCCTATATTTCATATATCATTTATATTTTTAACAATATGTGTACATATATTTTTTAACTTCACTTCAAGTGTTTTGTGTTTGACAAATAAAATAATAAAAATAATAGAAATCAACAACCGTATTTGGATCAGAATTATTGTGTATATATGTTATAAAGCATATCATAAAGACAGCTAAGTATAAATTAAGACATTTTTAATCATTTTGTGGTACTTATTCGTAAATAGTTTTGATGAATGGGACAACAAATTGTTCGGTATAAGTGATAACGAGGCTGGGCAAATGGACCCCCAACAACGTTACGTTTTAGAATGCACACATATGGCAATGGAGGATGGTGGGATAACCAGAAAACAGATGAACGGATCAAGCACAGGGGTTTACATAGGTACACTGTCTCACTGTCTCAGTAAAATAACGGTTCTGATGTTTTTTTAATTGAATGTCACTTAATTATTGCCTTATATCTTTCAATAATTTCTTACTGTCACTTCATGATAAACCCTTTATCGTTCAGTAATTAATTAATGTCACGTAATGATTACCTAAAATCATTTAATAATTACTTAATGTCACTAAATGATTACCTAAAATCATTTAATTATCAATTAATGCCACTTAATGATTACCTAAAGTCATTTGATCATTATTCAATATCACCTAACGATAACCTAACGTCATTTAATAATATTCTATATCACTTACACTTAATGATCAACTTATCATTAATAATTACTTAATGTTATTTTATGATAACCTTAAACCATTCAATAATTACTTAATGTCACTTTATGATAACCTTAAACCATTCAATAATTACTTAATGTCACTTTATGATAACCTTAAAGCATTACTTAATGTCATCTTAATGATTACTTTGCATCATTCAATAATTAATTAATGTTCACTTAATGATGATTTTATATCATTTAACAATTACTTAATGTCACTTAATGATTACCTTATATCATTTAATATTTACTCCATGTCACTTAATGATTAACTTATGTTACTTTATAACTACTTAATGCCACATAATAATAACTTCCTGTTTTAATTTAAGACATATTATTTAAACAGATTAATGCCTAAAGGGTAAGGATGTAATATAAAATATCTATGTCTTGCATATAACTTTTTTATATAACTATATTTCAAGTACAAACATACGTATATATAAAATATGTAATTAATTGATCAGGCGCTATGGGTGCGGACTACAAAACATTGTTTGAATTCGACCACACGGAAAGCACAAACTATACGGCAACTGGGGCAAGTGGCACTATTTTATCATCACGTGTTTCGTATGTGTACAATTTGCAAGGTCCCTGTATGGTTGTAGATACAGCATGTTCATCCTCAATGATTGCAATACATCTTGGATGCCAAGCTATTCGTACAGGTAATCATTTAGTCTAAAATGCTTTTAATCTAAATCAATAATACGAATACAGGTAGTTTGCGCAAACAAAGCTTACTTTTATAAATATATGTGTTCAAATTATAGATGTATCTTAGACATACATGTAGTATACTTTCGAGTTATAGACATTTAATTCCACAAAGGCAAAAACCTCATTTTCAACAACAAAGTTCAATAAGTGTATGTAGTTGGTTAGACAAACGTTTTGCGCGTACGATTAAGATCGATTATCAAAAACCAAAAACCCGGAAACTTGAGAGATCTAAATATGTGGGTTATTCATTTTTGACACGGTCTTTAAGCTTCTCTAATGCTACATGTTCTGCTATATACTACATAAGGCAATCGACCAGTACACCGATACAGTACATTGTTCTCTCATAAACATAGCTGTTGTACAAGACACTTTTACATCGTTAATTCGTTATTTTTTTGCTTTATTCTCATTTTTAAATTAGGTGACTGTGAAATGGCAATTTGTGGTGGTGTTAATAACATTTTATCACCCGGGATATTCCAAACACTCAGTAGAGCAAAAATGTTGTCCCCAACATGCCAGTGTCAAGCATTTTGCGATACTGCGGATGGTTATGCACGAGGTGAAGGATGTGGAATAGTGATTCTGAAGCCCTATCTAAAGGTACACTTGAGTTAATATTTTTTATATAAAATGAAAATTGTCCAACCACATCTTTATATACCACGTATTTCTATAGTTTTCGTCTGATATCGTCTTTTATTCTTTAAAACATGCCTTTAACAAAACGTCATATTTGCACAAAGGCTCTACAAGACAGAAACAAAATATGGGGAATTGTACAAACCGGGACAAACCAGGATGGCTACACGGCACAACCGATTACTGCACCATCAGCAGTTCAACAAGAAAAGCTTTTACACAAGCTCTACAGTCAGTATAACGTCGATCCATCAACACTGCAATATTTCGAATGTCATGGTAATTTATTTTTTTATTTAGCTTTTGCTCAATATGAGTAGGCCATGTGTATGCCATTACACACAGAATCTAATTATTTATATATTACACACACATATTCTTTTAATCTTTTTGACTATGATTATGTTTGTATATAGCTTCTTTTTAACATCTTTTATAAATATTTTTGATACTGCTAATGAATGCTTATAGACGTCAGAGTTAATGTCACTTTTTGTGTGTGTGTTGGATGTTTCTAACTCCAGAATTTAAAATTTTCGTGTTAAAATGTTGAATTTTGGTTAAGCCGGTGCTAGAGGGCGTGGACGGTAACTTGCATTTTCCAGTACCGTCCACGATCAGGCTCAATCAAACCAAGCCTGCTACATTGTCAATTTTGCGTTTTTGGACTTTCTTTATGGATTCTGTTTTTCTCTTTTTTGGGGGTTTCGGTTTTATTAAAATTATTATCGACTAACAATATATAGGCAAGTTCGTTTCGTTTTATCGTCGATTAATTGTATTTTAATTGTTTCAAGGTTTTAAGTCAAAAATGTTTAACAATCTATGCTATTTATTGTATTACATACATCTGTATTTTTCTAGGAACGGGCACACCAGTGGGGGATCCAACAGAATTAAATGCAATAGGACGTTTTTTGACAACATTTGTGTCCTCAAATGAAGACACAAGCCTTCGTACAAGTAAAAGAATCAGCAATACAACCTATACCGGCCGTTCAAAAATTAATTATGAAACTGGAGAAGCTGACGGAAACCATTATAATAATTTACCCACTGATTCACTAAGCAAATCCAATAGAAAAATTCTAATTGGGTCAGTCAAAACCAATATTGGGCATTTAGAGTCAGCTGCTGGTATTGCTGGACTTATAAAGACACTTCTCATGATGAAAAATGGTAAGTTCGTTCCGAGTTTACACGTCAAGAAAGACAAATCAAACATTAATCGGAATATTGATTTTGACCGATACGGAATTGAAATTGCATTATCACTCGAAGATTGGTGTCCAAACTCGGAGGGGAAAAGGGTTGCATGTGTCAACTCATTTGGTTTTGGTGGTTCAAATTCTCATGCTATTGTTACACAGAATAACGCTTCGTCTCACGCTGAGTCAGACAAGGAGACCTTTGACAGGTATAATGTTATTTGTGTCACAAGTGCTAGCAAGAAAGCACTGAAACTTACCATGCAAACTTTAGACGAAGATTTATCTGCTGGGAAATTTAGCTTACAAGACGTATCATACACATCGGTACATCACCGGGATCACTACACTTACCGAACATTACTATCAGGAAGAAATATTGACGAGGTCAGGACAAGCCTAATACAAAAAATTGAGTCCATGAATATTGTTGAGAGAAAGAATAAATGTAGAATAATATTCGTATTTTGTGGAGTCGGAACAACCTGGGAAGGAATGTGCCGAGAAATGATGGAAGTAGAGCCTGTCTTCAGAAACACAGTAATTAAAATCGACACCATTTTGACAAAACTTGTAGGCTGGTCAATCTCAGAACGTTTTCGCACTATGACAGATTATAGCGATCCTTTGTTAAACCACGTTTCCTTATTCTGCATGCAAGTCGCTCTATTTCAGCTCTGGGGAAGCTTTGGTATTGTACCTGATGCAATAATAGGTCAGTCCACAGGGGAGGTTTCCGCTGCTTATGCCTCGGGGATGTTGACACTAGAAGGCGCTATCAAAGTGATTTATATCAGGTCCACTGCTTTGGCTTCTATTAAGATGGGTAAGATGATAGTTGTTTCTAATTACAAACTTGAAAAGATTAAACAATTATGTGAGAAGTACAAACATAATGTTGAAATTGCAGTATACAATAGCCCAAAATCATGCACCCTGTCAGGCAGCTCTGAGACTATTGACAAAATAACACGAAATCTTGAAGTCGTCAACGAAAAGGAAAAGTCTTGTATTCGTATTATGGAGCTGTCATCACCTTGTGGTTATCACAGTCGCATTGTTGAGCCAATTGCAAGTCATGTCGAGAAACAATTATGTGAAATCGACACAGGGAAGAATACAATAGATCACTATTCAACCGTTACTGGATATATATCTACACATGACGAGTTCAAAACTGGGTTATATTGGTCCAACAACATTCGAAAACCTGTTAAATTTATGCAAGCGTTGGAAAACTCAATTCAAGACGATGCCATGAATGTTTTTGTAGAAATAGGACCTAGTCCAGTTCTTCACTATCATGTCAATGATATTTTTACATCTAAAGATGAAGTTATGTGTATTCCATCTATGGTAAAGAAAAACGAAAGCAAATGCTTGTATTCTTCCCTGAGTACTCTTTTTGAGCTAGGAATCGAAATTGATTGGACACATATTTGTAGTGACGGAAATTTAGTACCTGTTCTCCATTATATCCAAAATAGAAGAAGGCAATTACACATTCCTTTAAAACATCAGGCAATGTTAAAAGGTTTTGATACCTTTCCTGATTCACATATGTTCGTTAAATGTAATGGAGTTGAAAAATCAAAGTTTCTGATAACCTTTGATCAAAAGTCAACACCTTTCGTTTACGATCACCTTTTCTCAGGAACATGCATTGTTCCTGGTGCTACATATATTGAAGCAGCTATAGAGATAGGACAAAGAATAATTAAGACAAGTCCATATGAACTGAACATTTCAGCAGAATTTGTATGTCCTCTTAAAGCTGAAATAGGAAGGTCACTAAAAGCAGATGTCATCCTAAGAGAACAAATAGGGCAGACGGGTTTCAGCTACCAAATCACAACAGATGGAAATATATTGAGTCGGGGATATATAAAAAAGAACACACAAAAAGGAATTGAAAAGATAGATATTTCCCCTATCAAAAGAAGATGTACAATATACAAAACCAGTGATGAGTGTTATCAATATCTCAAAAGAATGTATTTCTCGTATGGGAAATCTCTAAGAATCATCAAAAGAACTTGGTCTTCGGAAACGGAATGCTTTGCAGAATTTGAGTTGCCGACTGATATCATAAATACACAAAGTAAGCAGATGAACATCCACCCTGGCATCATTGACGGGATGTTTCAAATGGTTGTGGTCATACACCACCGGGCAATAGAAAATTATCATGGGGACTCCCCGCCATTTTTCCCTAAGGAAGTCGCTTCATTTATTTTGAAGAGACCTGTAACAAGTCGAGTATTTGCCTACGCTCGTTTGATGGAAAAATTACAAACAGGACACACATATAACTTTCTTTTAGTTTGTCCGGATGGTAACGTCATTGCTGAGATTCAAGATTTCTTCTGCAGATCAATGGATAAACCAGAAATTAAATCAACTCAAAGTAGATGTCTTAGGATTGAATGGTGCAAATTAAATCTAGATAACACAAGTGATTTAGATAAACCAACTAACACTAAAGACCATTGTTACGTAATTGGGTCCAATCGATTCATCAAAAACTTCAAAAAGACGGAGGATAATGTGAATACATTAGATCTTTCGTGGAAGCTAAATATTACGGTTTGCAATGACATTTTACCAGGAATTTTAAAGGCGACCGCCGTTGTTTTTGCACCTTTTCAACATGTTAAAGACTATGATTCTGATAGTTTGATACTATTTGATATATCAAGACATGCAATGCTATCGTTATCTCAAATAATAAAACTTATGAGTGAAAACGACTGCAAATGCCCGCTTTACATAGTAACAGAAAATGTTATCAGTGACCAAAAGGAAAATAGTTCAACTAGAAATGTGCTTGGAGCTGAGCTCTGGGGAATGGCACGATCGGCTGTAAGCGAAAAGGCTTATATAGATATTCGTCTCGTAGATATGAGCGTTACAGGTGAAAATATCATTGCTCTGAGGAGAATAATGGAAAAGCATACAGGAAACAACAATGAATATATGATAGATCGGGGAAATGTGTACATATGTGAGGTTTTGGATTTGCCATTAGACGAAAGGACAAGCGCAAGGAGAGAGATTTCTTACCACTTTCAATACTTTCAAGGCATTGTAAAGCTTAAGTCGGAAGATTGGAATTGCTTAAAAAATCCATGGTATGAAATTGACTTTGACAAAGATGATTTTCAAAGAAACACAAAACAAAGGTGTCATGTAAAAGTTCGCCTGAAAGCATTTTCACTACATAACTCTGCCTTTTACCCGATATGCTCTGTTGACGATACCAGCGCCACTGATGTCTGGGCAAATACAAATAAAGGGTTTCAAACAACATGTCTTGAATGTGTTGGTTTAATAACACATGAAGAGGAAAACGGCCAGTTCAAATCCTCTGACGAAGTGGTGGTTTGCTGTCCTGTAGACGTCAAATCATATGTATATGTACCAAAGGAATTTATACTTGGCATTGAAAAGCTTAACATGTATGTACCGGGATTGCTTACGGAGGCAGTTGTCATATGGAATGTACTTAAAAAGACAAAGTATAATGACGATGTGACTTTTATTATTGATGGAGAAAAGTACGCTTGGAAGGCACTCCTAATGCACATTTTTGCAATTATTAAAGGAACAAACCTCATCATTAAACAGACAGACTATCTGAATTCATCTGAAAAGAATGGAACTTCCACATCGCAGGTTATTGTTTTACTTTCAACCGTTGTACAACAGCATGTTGAAAGGATTCCAAAACATTTTCCTAAGTTGAAGCAAATCATCAGTTTGAACAATAGTCTACCTAGGTCTGTAAAACTGTGGATAGAGAAACATATTCTTGAATGCCCTATTGACGTTCTAAAATTGGAAGATTTTTTTCATTCTCAAGCTCTTAAGGAGTCATTACCAAACATTTTCAACATTTTACAGTCCTTCAAAATGTGTACAAGCGCCACATTGAACTCAAACATTTCAAATGATGTCGATAGAGAACAAAATGAAAATTTGTTGACACTGCCACATGAGTCAATGCAGTTAAGTAGTTTTCACAATAGTACCCAGTCTGTGAATCCAATTCCACTGAAAGTTTTTCAGTCTGACATAGTTATGAAAAACGCATGTTATGTTGTAGTAGGGGGAAATACTGGACTAGGATTGGAAATAACAAATCATTTAGCAGAACTAGGTGCAGGATATATTGCAACGTTTTCTCGGCGACCTCCTTCAGACGAGACAAGGATTCATATTAAAAGCGTTGAGGCCAAACACAACAACAAAATTATTCCAGTTCAATGCGATGTTACAGATGTTCAGTCTGTTTATCAAGCATTTGAATATCTTCAAAAAGCAGTTGATAATGTTCCTATCAAAGGTGTTTTTCAAGGAGCAGGCATACGATGTGATGTATTGCTAAAACATATGTCAGAAAAAGACATGAACAAAACTTTAGCACCTAAAATTCTTGGTACATGGAACTTACACTTTGCCACATTACAAATGCCTCTGGATTTTTTTGTCATGCAGTCTTCGATTGTATCCATCATTGGAAATCAAGGACAATGCAGTTATGCTGCTGGAAACTCATTTATGGATTCCTTTGCCAGATACAGAAGAAGTCTTGGATTATGTGGACAGAGTATAAACTGGAGTGCGTTGTCAGTTGGAATGGCATCATACGACAAAAATCTCCAATTATATTTAGAAAACAAGGGAGTCTATTGCTTAAGTAAAACAGAAATTAAGACATGCTTTCTACAGGCTTTGGTGGAAAATCCAGTACAAATCATATTCGGGAGAATAGACTGGAAAAGACTTTTGAAGGACCCTGATTCAAATATGATTTCTCAAAAGTATGCAAGGATCATGGAACAAAATAGTCCCGAAACTGCTAATGTTTCTGAGAGTAAGCGAAATATCCTCAACACTTGGACGGATTTAGACCCAAAGCATAAGCTTGATGCATTACTAGACCTCGTTAAGACAAAAGTAGCAAACACTTTTGTAATAGAATATAGTTCACTTAAGCAAGACACTCTATTTGCTTCGCTCGGAATCGATTCTATGATTGTGATGAGTTTTGCAAATTCTATTTTTGATGCTACCGGAGTGAAAGTTTCAACCGGAAACATGTATGCTGCTTCTGCTACCATTGGAACCATTACTGAGTATATTATGCATCACATTGAAAACATTTCAAGAGAATCTGACAAAAGTGGACACAAAAATGTATCTGCTCATGAAAATGAAGAAACGTTTTTTGATGGTAGTATAACCTTTATGAAACAAAGTATTCTAGATGATACTGATAAGGACCCTAAGAGTCCAGATTTGTTACGCCAGGTGGCTTGGGAATATAAGGAAGATACGTTTTTAGTTTGTCGTTTCAAACATGCCTTGGCGCAAGTTCTGAGAAAGAATTCAGATCTCCGCCGGATCTACAGGAAACAAAGTAATGGTTCATATAACAGCATTGTTCAAAAGATAGAAGAAATTGATGTTGATGTAAAAGAAATAGATTATGATAGTGAAGAATTTACAAAAGATTGCAGAGATAAAATGTATATAGATATAACTCGTGAAATACCTGTTGTTTTGAAGGTTGCACATAAGCAAGGAAGAACCCGTGTAATTATGTTTTTACATGGCGTTGTGGCCGATCTCCCTGGAATTATGACAATTGTTAAAGAGATATCACAGTTCCTTAGTTCTTCCTACGAAAACACATACGATGTCGATTCAACTTTTGAGCCAGCCGAAATAGTTCGAACCATTCTTAAACCTCGCATGAATGATTTAAAGAAATACTGGAGAAATCTTTTGTCTGAAGATATACAACCATTTTCACTTGGAGACATAAGATTAATATTAGATCGGAATAAATGGAAAAATATATCAAACGATTTGCTATCTGACTTGGTTAGTGGCATCACAGATTACATTCATGCTGAAAATGTTACCTTGTACAATTTTGTAACATCTGTTTACTTCTATCTGCTGAATGAAATCGTCGGTAATGATATTATACCGCTCATCACAAACGCTGATATGAGAATTCATATGCCACAACTACGTGCAGGAGTAACTAGATGTGTCAATGAAATACCTGTTATAGGTGATCTCAGGAGGAACAAGACGACGGTGAGGAACTACGTCAAGTTAAGTGCAGCTAACTTTAATGAAATGACAGAACACAGCGCCTACCCTTATCAACTTATCGAAAAAGAATTCCAGTCAGAAGATTTAAGGCGACATATCTGGAGACATAGACTTATTATGAACGACATGACCGCCATGAATAAGGTGACCCAAAACTATGGCCTGAACGAGAAAGACGTGCATTTCTTTTACAAAAGACATTCATATGAGACAGCATTATCGGTTGTTTACGATATGAACGAAAAGATTATTTCGCTGCAGTTTGGATATAATTCTGGTGTGCTCAGCGACAATTTTGCAGCTCATTTGTCAGGGCGTCTTATAACCTTATTGAAACTGTTCATAGAGAACCCGGACATGTCATTACAGGAAGTCCGGAGGAAAAACCCTTGTTCATTTGAAAATGTTCGTTAGCCATTAAAAGATAAAGATACAGCCCTAAACTGTACAGGTAACTATCTCTTTATTCCATTTATTGTAATGCATAACAGTTATTAATTTCAAAAATAAAACAATACTTTCTAATATATCCTTAGTCTTGTCAACGTGCATGTGGTTGTTTTCTACCATTAATTGACATTTGCCTTATAAGTTGTTTAATGATTAACATAATGACTTATGCTTCTCCTGTTTACAGGAATAAATATTTATCACATTTTAAATATTAAAATTGTAGATAAAACAAGTGAGATACTATTGTTACAGTTTAATTCTTAAATACTTTTGTTTGAAAACCTTGCTTTCTTATTTGCGTCTTGAAAGTCAACATTTAATGCACACTTTTGAGGGGAATCACAAATTCATATAATTTCAGAGCGACAGACACAACACAACGAGTGAGACTGGGACATAACATACCTAAATATTTAAAGACCTTTTCACATAATATACAAATGTATATTGTACTCTTCTACATAATCCCAGCAGTTCCATATTGTTGTCCATTTGTATTGACACTTGCTTTAAAATTAAAACATGAGGCTGTCTTTGTTCCATGTACAACGACTTACTTATCTCATTTGTTAGAAGAGATTCGCTAAAGCTTTCGGATTTTGTATATACATGTTTTTGTATATATTACTTAGACTGAAATACCAACTTTGCGTGTGTGAATATGTAAATAAACCACAATCGCCTTTTGTCTTATGAAATAGTTGCACAATATGATTATTAATATGGCAAAGTATGTTGTATTTATCTAGATATATATAATTAGAATTTATTTTTATTATGTTTTCTTTCATTTTAAATCATACATGAAAGTGATTTACACATTGTAGAAACAAGTAAATATTTTGATCAACTCATTATTTTTTTATATGAGTATGAATGTTGTCCAATGCTTCTTGTTCTGTAAGATCATTGTTTGCAACACCTATGACTAGTGTTTGAATGGGAGGTAGTGAAACATGTGACCATTTTATTTATTTATTTAATTCGCATCTGCAATTTTCAACTATTGGTTAACATTTTCATCACCTTTCTAGCACTTTGTTTACTCCATTTATAATTTATTTACTTCGGCAATCATTACTTTTTTCACATTTTGTTTACCCTTTTTTCATGTTCACAAAACAATATTCATGAAATATTGTTAAAGTATAGTTATCAATATTTCATATTTGTTGTAAAGTGACATTATGTCCATCCAATGGTTAATAGTGACTGAACAGGTGAAAGATAACATTAGTTTTCATTTGCCATAATTCCTTTCAATTTGATTTTAGTATTTTTTTACATAAACAATAAATAACTCACGTGGCCGAAGGAAATTTCTGAAAGTGTCCATTGGAATTTAACTTCAGCGTTCAGTTTATAAAAAAAGGTGGGACAATCTTTAGACAGATTTATATTTTATCATAATCATATTCCGTCACTCACCATTTTTGACAGTCAATCTTTTGTAATATATAGTCAATTCAGCTCCACTTGACAATGAAAACATGAGCAAAAGGTAATGATCGTTTATAATTACTGACATATAAAATGCGACGCCTATGACAAAATTATTACTATAAAGGATTTTGGGACAGGATTATATGCCCTATAACCTGTTTTGGCATACCCGAGCGCAGCGAGGTTTATTGCAGTATGCCACTTTTATACGGGTAAACCTGTCAACAATCATGGATACGAATCTAGATACGCGAATGCAGCTGGTCTAGCCAGAGAAAAAATTATGTTTTTTGTGTGGCGCGGCTTATATAAATTTATTATAACGTCCGATTATCACCATGAGCGACGTACGAACGTGTAGTATTAATAATGTACCTAGAAAGCAGACTTCGTTCTTATACATGCATTTCCTCTAATAGCCACACGACATTTATGACTATTTTGTTGTCATGTTTCGTCTTTTTTATCCTTATTTCATTGACAAATCACAAAATAATTTGTTGTTTTTGTCATAAAGTTTTATTGTTTGGTTTGTAATCATTTGAAAATTACCACTAATACATGTATTACATTTTGTATTAGCATGTGCCAATGATTTCAAGAAAACTAAATTTTATAAAATTAGTATATATTTACTGCAGTCACTTTCAAATTATATGTATGTGCACACGATAGTGTTTTGACAAATGGCATGGCTTGTCATGAAAGGTTTAATATATGGATGTACAAGGTTATTTGACCATCAAACGAACGGCATCTGGGAACATTTGATATAAAATTGAATAAGTTAACTTGAAATGTATTAATCTTTTATACATTACACTTCAATGATATATTTATTACACCTGTTTGAAAATGTGCTCTTAAACTATATTTTTAATTTTATTGTTAAAAATATAGATTTTTTAAAAATATTTTGTATGTTTGGCAATATTATTATAGAAATAAACATATTTTCTTCAATAAAACAGCTCTTTTTGTTTGATATTTACCTTTATACATTGGACTCATAGACATAAAAGGTAATGATAAATAAAGAAATAAAGAAAGAAATAAAGAAATAAACAAACAAACACAGTTAATTCTTTTACCTTACAAATAATAAAACAAATAAACATTAAGAAACGGTTTGATTGCCTGTTTGTATGAATACATACGATGCTGCATTATTATTCATTTTACAGATAACGAGTTATCAAGCTTGCCTCATATCAAGCATATTGTTAGTATCCAAGTACGTTATTTTCTTAGTCGGACTGAAACACAGGCTATTAGACAAAACGTAATATCACAACAAACGTTTGAATAGCTGATAACATTCCAAATCCACAAATAAATCATTACACTTTCACAACGTATAATATTTTCCTTGATTTAATACAATATCGCAATATATACGAGCATATTAAAGGGACTCCACTAAGGCTTTTTTTACATGACGGGACTAGAAATAATTACTTTGAGTTTTTGTTTACTTTGATGAAGGTCTAGACCAATAACTTGTATGCAAGATTTCAGGTTATCCACTTAATATGTTTTTTCCAGAATATTAATCTAATGTGACGAATGATTTAAAATTAAAAAGTGTTGTAACGCTTTTCAATTAAATTGGCTAAGAAAAGCACATAAATACGATTTTTAATATATATTTCTAGGTATATTTTCTAGTTACCTTTTGCATATTTTCATGTTGTAAGTGTCCCATGTGGTTTATGTTAGAATTTCAAATTTTATGTTTTTAAACTTTTAAACCTCAGTTAACTTCCTTTAAACCCACTAGTGGCCTTATCATAGTTTGATATAACTCGTCACTGCTTAAAGACCAAATAGAAAAGCTCCAAGTTAGAAACAGCCAGGAGTCACATTCGATTAATCAGGATTCTACTTAGATCGTGACGTAATGTATCTATGCTTGAACTAAATGCCTTGAAATTCAATATAGTATTGTGCAATATTGTCATATTAATTCAAAATCCAATTTAAAACATTAAGATAATTTCCTGATTTTAATTGTTTCTCATAAAATAGGAACCAACGTACTTTCTTGCATGATATGTTTAAAAATTGTATTGACACGCTCATTGAAATAATATTCGTAACCATAGAAATTCAATCAACAAGTACTACTTTTATATAAAAGGAGATAAAATGATTTTTCACATATTTTCGATATACGTTTATCATAAAATAAGTTTCAACATTACATTTTACTTTATGTTTCTAGGATAAATGTTTATTTGTAAGTTGATATCTATTTTAAATAGCAGCATTCGAATGAACATTGACGTGAACACGTAAAATTATTATTCCTTAATGACGTTACAAAACCAAAATAACAATAACAAAACTAATCAGTGGTATCAGCTTTCCTGTAAACATTTATTACAATAACTTTTACAGTAAAAGTACATTTACTTCCCGTTTCAGTGCGATGTATTGTAAAGTCACACTTATCATGTGCAGACAATTGAAATCATTGTAAAAAAAGATATATTTGTAACAATATAATTACCGGTATATTGTCATGCAAACATATTAGTATATCAGCTCTGGAAAGCCATTATAAAAATACACGTATTTTGAAAAGAAATTAGTGGGCCGCCAAAATTAAGGTTGGAGGTCTGTTACAGAACATTTTAGTAAGTTGATTTGCATGAATCATGACCTAAACAAATTTAATTAAAATATAAGTTGTCAACATCCTACCTTTTCACCTATCTTTCCTTTAAAGTGATTTTTTTACTCTTAGCAGATGTGTCTATTTTATTTCTTTGCCTTTGTAAAAATATAAGAGCCCTTAACCAACTGAATGCTGGATAGACGTTTTCTTTTACAATTACCTTATAATTGAATATTGCCTGTCAATATATATAATCATTTTTGGGAACGCATAGATGGAAAGCTGACAGCATATCACGAAATTGATCTTATACGAATAGTTTAAAACCTGCACACTTTCTCGACGTTATCTTTTATACAGTGAACTGAGATCACTAACCTGAGATCCTTTACATGTCAGTTAAAGCAGAAGTAGGTCAAGTAATCACATTCAAACTCATATCTGGTCCTTAAATGACATGACGCATTAGAGTATTAGATGCGAGTTAATTAAAGCACGATGTGATTGATAACGCCAATGGTATAATTTACCACTATATAACTCTGTTTAAGGAATACAATTTGATGTTATATAGCAAATATCTTATCTCTTGAATTCTTTGATGACATAATGCCGCTGTTATTAACATCTCCATGACTAGTGCCGTATGCACACATTTGAGTTTTTTTCTGAAGTCAAAATTTAATACCATTGTGTTCAAATTGGCGCCATAACTCGCATATACCAATGCAGTCGATTAACAGATTAAGTAAAAACCAGCATGCGAAACTTTCAATTAAGTCGAGTTTTGTTTATTATGTTGGTTAAGAAAAAGCAGACAACGAAGGAGAACGGATGACAGGCAGCAAATAAGCAAAAATGCTCGCCTTTAGGCACTATGTTATCAAGGTATTAAAACAACATTAATTTAGTTTTCTAATAGTGATATCCCAATTAAATACAAAACGTAAATAAAATTATGATTTTTATTCTGTTCAAAATAATTTATATGAGCGTGTCAAAGGCAGAATTAGGGCATTGAGATAATAATAACATTCATATTTTCTCTGACACTTTGAACATTAACATAAACATTTGATGCTCATATACATTCATTTCTTTATTCAGTCAGGTACGATACGATGTTTGATTTTGGTAGAACACAATTTATGTAATATTCTTCAAGTCATATTGCATCTTAATAAATATGAAATATTAATACTTCTCTATAAGCATATTTAACAAACAAATACAGCCAAATACACATGAATAACATTTTATTTTTATGTCCCTAACAATACCTCTATAACGAACGCTGAATTGAAAAAGTTAATGTTTGTCTGTTGATTTATACTTGAATAATACACCAGTTCATTCGATGCTTGTTTTGATTTCGATTTATGTTAACTTTATATCGTCTGATGAATTGGATATCTTGTTGTTATCCTGACCAGTATCTGTGTTCAGTTTACCATTATCTTGTGCTGCTTCATTTTGAACGTCACACACTGCTTCAGAGATATGTCCCAGATCTCCATGTTGGTTTGCTGTGTCTGTGTCTGTGTGTAACCTTTATCCAAGTTAATACCGTTAGTACCCCCGGCTTCACCATTTTGTAGATTTGTTCAGACGTTTGGACAATCTGTGTTCTCCGTTGAGATAAACACATTAATATTATTTAGATTGTTACTCTCCAGTTTATCATTTTCTTGTGTTGCTTCATTTAGAACGTCACATACCGTTTCAGAGATATGTCCCCGATCTTCATGTGAATTCGGTGTGTCTTTGATTTCCAAGTCGTAACATTTTTCCATACTTATACTACCCTTGGCTTCACAATCTGGTAGATTTGTTGAGATGTTTTGGCAATCTGTGTTCTCCGTTGAGATTAAACCATCAATATTATTTGGATTGTTACTCTCCAGTTTACCATTTGCTTCTGTTGCTTCATTTTGAACGTCACATACCGTTTTAGAGATATGTTCCTTGTCTTCTTGTGAGTTTGGTATGTCTTTGATATCCAGATCGTAACTTTTTTCCAAACTTATAGTACCCTCGGCACCACCATCAGGCTGATTTGTTGAGACGTTTTGACAAGCTGTGTTCTCTGTTGAGATGAAAACATCAATAATGTTGGGATTGGTACCTTTTAATATTTCGTCATAACCCTGCTCAATCTTGTTTATCGTACTACATCCAAGATCTGTTGTATTAACCGCAATTTCTTTGGAGTCTTTTATCATTAAAGATTGCGATGGGGTTTCATTTGAATACGATTGTCTTGATTCTAGTTTGATGCATGACTCATTTTCTGTCAATGAAGTGGAATGTATACTTTTTCGAGATTCCGTTTTCGAAACTTCTATGCTTTCTAATTGTTCACTTGGATTTAAAGCATGATTGTCATTAAGCGCATCATGTTTGTTTACAGGCTTGGGGTCATCTTTAATGCGTGTATTATTTGGTAACCATGGAAATGTCATTAACGTCGGTAACCATAACAAAGAAGTGATAATACAAATTCCTGTTGTAGTAATTGTTATCAAAAATAAAGTGCCAAAAAAGAATGATGATGCATTCAGCAGTGCAAGTATAGCAATAAGTTGTCCAAATAAAATGAGACCAATGTTTTGAATAGCAATACTTAGTTTCTTGTAATATCCTTTCATGGTTTCATTTGCATTTTTGTGATTGGAATGGCCAATATGAACAAGTACTTCGATACAATAGCAGGCACTGATAACAAGAAACAGCATTGTTACCTGACAGATATATTTACTATAAAATGTGGACAAACCCAATATGCAAACAATCATATAAGCATAGCAGAAAGGTGCAAAAAGCATATTACATATACCTTGGCTAAACATTAGAGACATAAAGAACAAAACACACATCTGTACGGCAAAAAATGTGAACATGTCCCAAAGTGGTCGCATAAAATCGTCAATTAATATGAAATCAGGCGAGTTCATGATAATGCATCTTTCATCTGGAAACACTGAATGACAAAGACCATTATATTTTATTTCTAAAATATTGTTGAACCTGTCTAATATATCCGTTAAAAATTGTTTACTTTTTTCTGTTGAACTTGTGGAAATGGTTTTAAATCTAAAATAAAACCTGGATGCTATTATTTTGTTCCCCATAGCATTAAACTTAAGGTCATTAGACACAAACGGATATATCGGGATAAGACTATTTGATACATATGTTGATATGTTTTTCTCCAGAAAAAACGAATTTTTATTATCGTCAGGAACTAGGTCATACCAAAGTAGAGCAGAATGTACTGAAAAACTGGTCTGTGATTTTAAAGTCTCCATCAATGTTAAGACAATTAATCGTGCATCTGTAAAACCACGCGGATGAGCTACAGCAACCTGCACTTCTAACTCTTTTTCAAAATATTCGTTGACAATTTTATTCCATTCATAGAAATATGAGCCAGCACGGACCTCATCAGCCTGAATAACATCACCTTTAACATTATAAAGTAAGGCATTTAAAGCAAAAGCAAAAATGATAATACAAGATAAGATAGCTGTAAATTTCACAAGCGGTGTTGGTAGTAGATAAGACATGCAGTTTCTGAAAAATCGCTGTATTTTACTTTCTGTATCAGATCTTTTGGTCGCCTTACTTCCTGTACAACACCGACGTAAACAACAATTCTTATCCTTTAACTCATCGGCTGTAAGCAATTTGGCGCATGTGCAATAATGCCTTCCGATATCAACTCTGCGCTCATGAAGGGCAACGCAGGCCGTGAAGAGAATGAAATGATTCAAATAGTTAAACACCAAGGTTGTAACTGAAATATTATAAAATATAATAAAGTAATCAGACAATATAAACTAAAGGTTAATCGTCAATATCATTTAATATTACGTGGGTAAATTCGCATTTTATTATAAGACATTTTTGTAAGAAGAAGAACCTCTTTAGAGTGTATTTGAGGATTGACGAATTACAGTATACAATCGTTTTTCAAATACATGTATAAAAATAATAAGAACATCAAAATCATCCTTGAGAAATAGTCAAATTTTTAATTATTTTCTTTATTTATGCCACACCATCACAAAAAGACGACAATATTCTATGTGAACCGAGTTATTCATTTTACAGTGATTCACTGGTTTCTAACAATTTAACTCACCGGTATAAATACTGACTAAATGCACTACAGAGAAACTTGAGAGCACTCCAACGACAAAAGGCAGCGTGTGACATAACAAAGTTGTTGTTACAGGTACAATTGACTTTTTGACTGCATAACTAACACGTCTTTTACCATCTTCTAGATGAACGACATCTGATACACGTGATAATGTTGTCGTTAAGTTAATACTCTGATGACCTATATTATTGGTGATATGATTAGTGAAAAAATACTAAGGACATATTTCAGCAATGAGGCTAGTGGTATGGAAATATAAAGTTTTGGATTGGAACGGCAGTCAGTAATTAAATATAATCGATTTACACAAGTCTTTTAATAATCAATAAGATTTATTTTCAAAAACGTTAAAGCATGATACGCAACCACTTGATAGAAATGTAGATCTACAAGTACAAGAATAACGAATATATTATTTAAGTCTTAGTTTTAAAGATATTTTGTGATAATTCTGGTTTTATCAATCTGCCTTGAACAATGTTGAACAAAGGAATCATAGTTATGCCAGTAACGACACGGTAGTAGTATGTTTAATAGCCATTCAGTATAGTTGGCATTAGATCTGCCTTATTCAACGATAAGTGCTTCCAGATCAGCCAGACTATTTCAAGAAAATCAAACTCAGACAAATGTATTTAGATTTTAAGAAAAGTAAAAAGATACAAGATCGTAATAATAGTTTTTCATGTTATGTGCGATTAATGACTGACTTTGCAGTATATATCATCATTTTTCTTTTTCATAACTAACGCAGTAAGGGCTAATTCTGCATATAATTTTACCTTTGTTGTTAATTTCATGGATTGTCAGTGCCTAAAATTTCTTTCCTTTCTTTTCTTATGTATACATTTTTAAAATGTTCATGAAAATGAACATGAATCTGGCATACTGCTATAAGAAAAACTTTGTAATTAGCAGAGGGGTCATTGAGAGGAACATACACTTACCGAGAATGAAGAACGGAACTATACCAGCTATATCTGTGTACATCACGCCACTGAAAGCAAGTGCTCCCCATGCTCCAGCTATACTAATTGGCGTGATCAGGATACCAAACCTGCCAATGTTGGATCTGTTTGTAAGATTGTTACCACCAGAAAAAATGAAACCAAAATAAACAACATATAGAGTAAATACAAGAGAGAAATAGTTGACATCATTCTCGGAATCTTTGCTTAGTTCTTCGAAAAATGAGCCAGAGTGAGCAAACACAAATAACAATTCGCCATGTAATTTTTTCTTCGGAAATATTTGCATCTCCTTTATGAAGTTATTAATCCAGATTTTAGCATCGGTAGTCGGTTTTAGATAGAATCTGAATCTTAGAAAAGTTGCAGTGGCTATATAGTTTTGTTTAAGTGTATAATTTGCAACATTTTTAATACGATACCCGCCTTTCCCATATCCAGTTTTATCAAGTTTGATTTTTTCATTTAACTTGACTTCTTCTAATATGTCCTCTCCGTCAATAACACATGATGCATTACGACGAGAACATACATCACTGTACGCGATTCGATTTCCCTTCACTGAGCCTGAATTAACTTTGATATCTTTTACATAGTTAAGAATTAAGTTGATTTGTCCAGTTAAAGAACTATTTATCAAATTTCCATGATCTGATCTCCAAATAATAAGTTCAGCGTACATTTGTGGCCGAATGCTTTGAAAGGGATAGAATTCTGTCTGATTTTGTTCCCCGAATACTTTTACGAGCATATCCATATTTCTGCGTGTTTGAGTTTTATCTGATAAATATATTTCCTCATTGTTGATCGAACGAAAGTAAATTAGTCCCAGTCCAAGGAAAGCGTTGCAAAGCAGGCTTATGATACAAACCTTCCAGGCATGGCAAGCAATTTTATAGCCAACAACTTCAAAACCGTTTTCTATTTTTTTCTTTAAGTTACACATTTCTGCCAAAGTCTTTCATGCGCTATACTGCTATTTGGTGATATGCTCGTTTATCTGTAAACATGTGTAATATGAATGTCAACATTATTGTACATGTAGCAATCATTGTTTCAAAAATATTTATATCAAAAGATGATTTAAAATTGAAATGCATAAAACTTTAATGTATTTTTGCTACAGGATTAAATAGATTTTAATATCAAAATCAACAGTATCTATTCATTCAATCTAGATAAACATTTAAAATAATAATAATTTTCGTTTTATTTGAAATAACTTACCAAATACTATTCCGAGAAATCATAACATAATGGATTTAAGATAAAATGCGTGCTACACGGAAAATCTACAGGAAAGGACGAAAATAACCAAACGATTGGCTACTTTACTTTTCCTTATGCTCGATTAAATTCCGTTAAATTTTCATCGAGGAAGTACTAATGGGACATCTATTTTAAGGAAAATCGTTTTTTGTTTAACACGTGTTGTTAAGGTACATGTTTCTTTAAAGTACTTGATACTATAAATAATTAAAATAATAAAAAATAACTGCGTCTCAATTGCATAGAGGGATTTGTTGCTAAGATACATGTATGTTTCTATACAGTACATGCGACATAAAAATAAAAGTTAAAAAAAAATAACTTGGTCCCTTTTTGCATTTAATAAAATGGCTAAAGTTACGCAATGTCATTTTTTGCATTCAGTATTATGATAAATGAGAATGATATAGGAATGATAATGATTGGTTAATGTTTTAGATGGGGCTGGGGCAACTTTTGCCAACATTATTGGGAACATATGTGATATGATAAAGAATTTTTTTAGGTCATGTATAAATAATCCAAATATGATCATGTGCAAATGTTGAATTCAGTTTCATGATTAATTTAATAAGCAGAGACGTATAAACTGGGCACTGTAGGCATTAGAATGCAATGCATTGCACTGCGAATTATCAATATTTGTATAATATATTGTATGCCTTTCATTTGTTGCCTCATCATAAAAAAAAATGAAATAAGTTATTCGTCATATTGCAACGTTTAATAATAAGAACAGTTTTATTAAACCGATCACGGGTCATATTTAATGACATGATGAATCATTATAATGTAAATAAAGTTTAATGAAATGAAAATTATCAAAAATTGAATTGAATATTTGGCATCAAACAATGAACGAGTTAAGGGAGTTACCACAATAACTGTAATGAAACATTTACTTATAGATTTATCTTTTCTTGATGGCATGGAAGAATTAAGAGTTATTTTAGACGTCTATGAGTACAAAATAATTGCATGGACGTTGATGTTCATATAAACTGTCGCTTGAGATAAAAATAAAGTACCAAAATGTATAAAAAATATTTTAACGTAGTAATTCAAATTTGTGATAACTGTTTATCTGTAATATTTATATGCACCATTAATTGTAGATGTTTTAGATGTGACAAAACAGAAGAATGTTGCAATGCTGTACATTTGTCTTTAATGCGCCGATATTAATTCGTGATCAATTCAATATACTGATGTATTGTGTGGCAATATTGACCTGAGACATTTGAATATTCAATGATCATTTTTGGTAATCATCGGATTCCAAAGAAAATCTTACGGATTTTAAAGTGTATTATTTTAAAGTTATAAATGGTACATAAATATAATCAAAGATGTTATATTTTCGATCCTTGAAGATCGTTCAACACGACATTATTGTTGTGTATGCATGTTATGTAGTATTTTTAGTTTCTTCTATTGGCCTTTTTCAACTTTGGTGGTTCCAGTATTTCTTCTAGTTGCCTGCTTTTTAAATTTGTCTTTTGACATTTTATCTGTGATATGTAGGCTTCATAACTTTAGATCCCCTTTCAAAATTCGTTTTATTTAGTTTTGCCCCTTGTTTTCTATTTTTTCTTTTTTTAATTGGGGACCATACGCCGTTTTTCATGGAATTGCACTTACATGTCACATTGAAGGTTTCAAGATAACCACCTTATGAACACATCCGCGAAAGTTTCTTAATACAAAATTTCACCATTTTCATGCTTAAATGTTTAATTCTGCGTAAGCCAGTGCTAGGGGGCTTAGACGGTAACTTGCACTTTCCAGTATCGTCCATGAACAGGCTCATTCAAACCGAGTCTGCAACATTTTCAATTTTATCGTTTGGGCGTTCTTTACAGATTCCGTTTTTCTCTATTTTACTATGACTAAAAGATATTTACAAGACACCTGAAAAATAGCTTCCCTGACAGTAGGTTAAGGTTTTCGGTTTCGAATCTTAATGAAATATTAATTTATATACAGTTGACTCTCAACAAGTCAAAATCGCTTTACTCAAAATTCCGCCTTAGTCGAATAATTTCTAAAGTCCCGTCAAATTTCCTTCTTTATCTTTGTATTTTAACTCCGCTTAGGTCAAATTTTGACTTACCGAGACTCCTGTTTAGTCGAAAAGAAAATTTGGTCCCGTCAATTAAAGTCCACATATTTTCATCTCAATTAGTCGAAGTTGTGATAACAGCCGACTGATCAAAGGTCGGCGACATCAAGTAAGATGTTGTCACTCGTGATTTACACGTTTCATAGTAATTTTTAATTGCCGGTCATCATGTATTATTAACACGTCGTAAAAAGTGTCTTTAATCCGTTTCAACGACTTAATTGGTTTTAACAGTTAGATAACTAAATTAAAAATTAAATTACATTTCTTTAAAAAAAGTTGACTCGTGCCCAGTCTGACGGGTGTTAGTCAAATAACAGCCTAGTCAAATAACAAGCCTAGGCATTGATGTGTATTATCAACGTAAAATGATATTTGTATAATTAATGTTCCGTCATATTGCATACATTAATTTGTACTTCCGGTTCACGATAGTTGCTAATTTCGTTTTCGTCCGATGATCAATTAAATCAAATATAATTGTGTGTTAATGTTTCACTATTAATAAACATGTATTAAATTTTGAATGATATATTTTTGTTCATTTATAATTTGTAGTTGATAGTAATTTACCGTCATTTCAATGGTTAAATATTGCAGCATTGCCGCTAACAACAATAAGAAACCTACTTCTTTGCACATTCAATCAGGTACATGTATATACATGTACGAAGTCAACGTAATGGCGGTAGTTCCACGTAACTCGAATTCCGTTTCTCTCGAAGTAAAATACATGTACCTAGTTCCTTGGATTTCGAGTTACCGAGAGTCAACTGTATTTCCCTTTTTATATAATTTGCGAAACTTGACAACTGTGATAACCTTTTGTACGAAAAAAAATGAAATATTACATAAAAATGTATATATCAAAGTTATGAAATAAAAAAGGGAAAATAAAAAACCAAATGAATTAAGCAATTAATTAATAATAATAATTCCTCAAGATATGCTGTACATGTGTATAATTAAAAAATGTTAAAGAAATCTCAAAAAAGTTTGTTGAGGATTCGGACTTGCAACCTCGTCATTACTTTGCCATCGTATTTACTTTCATAGACAATCAGGCAGTAATTTAATTTATTAATTAAAGTGTCGCGAACTATACTATCATTAAAAATTAATTGGTTAACCGTGAAAAATTACAGAAAGTAATGAATTCCATACAGTTTATCAGTCTCAGGTCAATATTGCCAAACAAATATGTCCTGTAAAATATATATTTTAATAGCTTGTACGGTTCTACACAACTGTATGATGGAATATGTTGTTTTAATGCAATAAAATATTTGTAGTTGTAGTTGTAATATTTTCATTTAATCTAATTACACGTTACCAATGCTAAATCTCTGTAACTTTTCCTTCGTCTCTTTCAATAACACTACCATAATAAATTGAAAATTAGTTATAACAAAGTCAATGACTTTAAACTTTACGATTTATCAGTTATACTGGGAAACAGTATTAGTTAAGAATAAGGTATTAAACTATTGAGTGCATGTAATAATACACCCATAAACACTTTCAATATGAACTACGACGGTTACTACGTTAATAACCGAGGTATATGTATAGGATATCGACCGAGTACGAGGTCTTTCTGTTTAGGAAAGACCTGGTCACGAATTTCATGTGACACCGAGAGCGCGTAGCGCTCGAGGTGTTTCATGAAATTCGTGACCAGTTCTTTCCTAAACAGAAAGATCGATGTACGAGGCCGATATCCAACTTACACACCGTTAAACTATTGGCTTGAGCTGCATTTGATGTAATGCACAAAGATTACTTTTAACACAGCGCATATACAAGTAAGCTTTTATTAACGTTCTGTTTAATTATATAATTTGCATTTAACTCTGCTTTCCCTTTAAAATAATAATAAAAAAGCTAAGTGTGTAATTTGTCAATAATAAAGTCAATGGGTCTGTAATGGAAGGTATGTAAAAGAATGAATAATTATGTTGATAGTATTTCGTATCAGACATTGTTGTTTCTAGGACATTTGCTGCCGGACAGTTGCCCCCTCGGACGTTTGCTTCCTTTTTTTATTGCTATGGCGACTTGTCATATGTCAGAGGGCATCTCTTGTATAATTTTTAAGTATGTAATTTAACAATGGAAACGTTCTATTTTATTTATTTATGGATGTTATTTTGTTTTCACAAATTTGCGCGAAAGTTTGTGTATTGAAGCACAACTGAATTTTGACAATAGGAGATGAAGTTTGGTATCAATTTAACAATGGAATATTTCAACTTTTTTAAAACGGGGGGGGGGGGGGGGTGGCAAATGTACGCCCCTTCCAAGGATATGAAGGGGGAAAATGTCCACCACAGCAAACTTCCGAGGGGGCAAATGTCCGGATACCCAGGAGACTACGAAAGACTTGCATATGCATAGTGTTGTCTGAGATACATGATCCGATATTATATTTTATATAGCAGATTATAAATTGTTATCGAATAAAACATGATCGGTCAGCATATAAATTTGTATACTAAATCACCTATAACTTTATTAACATTTCTTTTAATCAAGAATTTTTTTAATAATACAGTTTTACCGTTTCTATCGGTATTTGAAATTATAATGGTAGATGTGCCGATTGTAGACCAATCCACTTTAAGTACTTGTATAAGCATGATACTATATAGCAAGTTTTGGAGTATATTTATACAAAATTCTTTTAACGTTGTTGTGTAGCATTCTTTTAGACTAAGTCCTTGCTTCGAAGGTTTTCAGGACATATCTGTTTTGATTTTTCGCCGGTTGAATAGAACGGCAATGCTGCCAACTCAAATAGAGCAAATAGAGGGGGAGGGGATAAACGGGGATTTAACAATCTGAGTGATCCCGCGGTTGGGACTTCGCTATTAACAGTGGGTTGCTGCGGTTTCGAATGCAAAGTATATTCAAATGGGCGTTATTTTAATCACAAATTCGTGTGAAACGGACATATTCTCGTTATATTTTTTCGATATGAATTTTCGGTACAATTTTTATGTACTTTGGATTTTCTAGAACGTTTAAGATGTTTTAAATGAATTTGAAGCGTCTATTTTTGTTACATTGTGAACTTAATGACAGAAGATCCGCTTACATTAATATTACTTTGAAAAAATCTGGTACCCTGTCCATAATTTTATTCAAATATTTGATATAGGGATGTTGGAATAATTGCTAAGTGCATTCATTAAACATCCAGATTTTGTAAGTCATAGACAGGAATGTTATGACAATCATATACATTTATTTTCATTTTCTATTGCATATCATGTTGTCTTTGTATGCGCATAGGCAGGTCTATTTTTTCACGTGTTTTTCATGACCGGGTCTGTTTGACTAGAGCAGACCTGTGCACGTGCAAAAAATAGACCTCATAACGGACTTTCTTTTGTTTAACAGATCTATCCGAAAAATATAGACCTGTGACAAACAATAGAGGAGGTGTGTAATGAATGATAAAATACCAGTTGTTTCCCTTAAACAAACTCGATATCTCTTGATCTAAAACAATACAAATTGTACTAGTTTGTTGTATATAAATGTCCGATTTCAAAATTGATTATACCAATGCTTAGCTTCGTTACAGTATATTCTTCAACACATCTTTTGACATCAAAGTATTTTAATGAACTGTTAAACCGACCATATGTCTGACCATTTTACATACAATGTATACAGTGAGATAACTACCGATAAGAATAACCTGTCGTCTGCTAGATTGGTGTATTGTTTTTAGTCATAACCTTTTAACTTAGACTTGTTCAACTAAAACATATCGTAACTTTGAGCTTACCTCCCTTGTACGCGTTCTTAATTCATTTTCATTCTTTGAAGAACATTTCGCACAGAACGTCCCTAATGATGTCTTGCTGATGACAGTCAGATCACTTAAGGACGCATAGTACTATATAAATGACAGCTTGTTTAATAATCTAGTTGTCCCCTCGGACATCTGTACATCTTTGACGCCCACTTCTTCGTATAATAATTACCAGTTGTTTGATAGTGCTCGGTTCCGGTTCGTTGAAATTTCTGAAGGTTGGCTAATCGGTCACAATAATACTATGAAACCCTCTTTGCTGTATATCATATCTTAAAAGATATTTGGCCGTGAAACCAAATGCAAATCAAACTTGCCTTAGGAAGTACCGAACATAATTAGATGCTAATGCGGCAAATTATCTAAGTTTGTTTCCGTGCTAATAAAATTGTTTTGTATTTAATGAAAGCAGATGATGATTGAGGAAACTGTAGTAAATCTGTACAAACATTTTGTCTCTTTCGGCATTCTTTTTGTTACCATTCAAAATGATTTTTTTTTTCAGTTTTACAATGCAAAGTGAATAAATACTTATTACCGTACAAGGAATAAGTCTGCATATCATTTACAAACCCTTGTGGCGATTTGAAAACCGATAAAACATTATAGTTCGTTAGATATGTCAGTTATACCGACTAGCAAACAATAAGTGATATAAATGTGCATTATTGTAGTATTGATATTGGTGAGAAATCACAAAATCTACTCGATAGTCAGGTCCTTTTGTCTCACAAATAATATCGGGCGGTTAACAATAGAACAAAATCAGGTCGTTTAATTGATTTGCTGGACGGTTTTTAGCAAAAGAGCCAGAAGGGAATAATAGTTGCCAGATTTTATGTATGTTATGTACATGCGTTTTAAACAAGAAACGAGGCATTGTATTCGGAATACATTTAAAAGATGAAGCAACTTGTACTTGGCTTAGTTGTTACACTTATTATTCAAAATTGTGAGTATCATTATTTAAGCATTTAATATATAAAATGAAGGCTTATATAAAAGGCAACTATTTCTAAATTGCAAAAAACATAACAATTTTTTATATTGTAATGAAGTTTTTTTTTCACTATTATATCTTAAGTATTGATTTTATTAATTTATTCAAAGTGATATGTGCAGTATTGCTTGTCGTTATTCGTATGACTACAACACGTTTTGAAACTTGTATACTTGAAACGTTTAAAGGTAGGCTTTATATTGCATACAGCAACATTTTAAAGGTATTAAATCACAACAATATACAACGACAACAATCTTGAAAGATTTTGCTGTTATACAATTGCTCTCTCAATGCCTTGCGTTGTTGGTATGGAAGTAAGAAGGCATGTGGCACACTCCAAATTTGTTTCACAAAATTTAATGCGATTTCCGATTTAATGATTCAGCTTGTATCATTTTTGCTGTCCTAGTTCATCTACTTTTCTTATAATGTTTAAATGAAAACGAAGCAAAAAGTATAAAAGACACGACTTGAGAGAAATGAAAATGATTTCAAAATATTTGTTGCAGTAACAGGAGTGTCAACTTTAAGATGTTACAGCTGTGACTCATGCAATGACCCCTTTGGTGGATCTGACATTGTGACTTGTGAAGGCTCTTGCGTTAAATCAAACATAGATGGTTGTAAGTATATTTGAGCTGCGTCATGACAAAACCAACATAGTGCGTTTGCGACCAGCATGGATCCAGACCAGCCTCTGCATCTGCGCAGCCTGATCAGGATCCATGCTGTTGGCTTACAAACTCTATAACAAGTAGAGAAACTGATAGCGAACAGCATGGATCCTGATCAGACTGCGCGGATGCGCAGGCTGGTCTGAATCCACGCGCAGTCTGATCAGGATCCATGCTGGTCGCAAACCCATTATGTTGGTTTTGTCATGACGCGGCTCAAATAATGATTTAATATTGTTAAAAATGAATGAATATATAAGTCATTAAAGTGACATTATGCCCATCCATGGGTATAAAGTGAGTGAACAGTTGAATATCAAAATATGTTTTCATTTTTACCATAATTCCTTTTAATTTAATAATTTACTTCCCATAAACAATAAATAATGCACAGATCCAAATAAAATTCTTTAAATATCTATTAGAATTTACCTCTAACGCTCAGTTTATAAAAAGAGTGGGGCAGTCTTTTTATATTTTAGGCAGATTTATAATTTTATCCTGAACGTTTTCCAATATCAACTCTTGGTCAAACACCATTTTAACAGTCAATCTTTTGAAATTTAAAGTCAAATCAGCTCAACTTGACTATGAAAATATGAGCATAATGTCACTTTAAACTAAACAGTGAATTAGAAATAGCTTTGTATATAATGACATAACATACATGCATATTTGGTACATACATACAATACATTTCGTGTTGAAATTTCAACTTAATATAAGTCTAATCGAGAGTATGGCTATTTCTTTGCATTATTTTGATGTGTTTTGTTTTTATATTTATCTTATTATTATGTTTTGTTATGAAATGTATTTCTCTTCCTAGAGAAAAAGTATAATGAAATTGCTTTCATTTTTTTCTTATGTGAGATATTCAGATATTCATTTTGATTTCAGTCCTGTCGAAAGATCATATTAAAAACATTTCAAACGTGTTCAGTTGTCTAACACTGACAATAAATCTGCATTTGTTTCTTTCCAGTGATAACAAGAGGCTGTTCAAATATAACTCTAGTAGCAGAATGTTCACAAGATAAACATCTTGTGGTATGTGTATGTGACACGAATCTATGTAACAAGACGCAAGGAAAACACACATTTTTGGTTGGACCTTACATTGCCAGTATTATCTATTTTCTTTTACACACTCTCGATAAATATCATAACTGACGTCAGTCATATTAGTTATCGTTTGCAGTTACCGTTATCTTTAAATATACTTTTTATCAAAACGTTGTTTTCAACTTTCGCCATTATCAACGAAATATACTTTCAAATGTCTTTTAATTGCTCAACATACAGCTATATACAAACATAACGCGTACCAGATTCAAGATGAAATTATTGTTTATGACTATATCTTGCGATTGATATGGTTGCATGATTTCCCTGTATAGTTTATCTTGTTAGTAAAATTCTTATTATAATAATGATACTAAATATACATAGCATAGGAACTCGAGAACGGGACCGCAGATTGCGGCGCATATTTTCGATCGTGTAACGGTTTTTAATCAAAGTGCCGCAGCACTGAATGCGACGGACATGCAACCGGAGAGACATTAAGGCTTTTTTTAGAAAAAAAAAACAACACAAAAGATATAACAGAGAAAATTTGTTCCATACAAGTTCGAGATTTGTAGAGAAAAAACTGTCAACGAAATATTTCTAAAATAAAACCATGCAAATAAACTTCAATCATAATACATGTGAGAATGTTAATTAGAATTGCTTCGTGTTATATCATAGTGGGCATATAGACAATAAAATATAAGTCATTTGTATTTTTATTTCTCTTGGATATGTCTCATTAAAAATATTTTTGGTTAAAATCATCAGCAATTAATTGTGTATAGAATTTCTTAAAGTATTGCATGTACACATGTAAACAAAATAAGTATCCGCTGGTTTATTTACTCGTCCGAAAGTTAGCACAGATGATGCAGAATCTATTTTAAGAATAGTGTTATCTTCTGGTCGAAGGCTATTATAATCACTCATATCGTGACCTAGAAAACTATGTAAACAAAACACAAGAATCGGAAGTAGATCTGATATTATAACTTCCTTCAATAAAGATTACCATGAAAGACTACATGGTGGTAAAGTGTTGAAAAACACCCTTGTTACATGCATTATTTATAATACTAACCATTGTTCTGTAGTCTAATTTATTAATAACTTAAACCCGCGATATGAGTCACGAAAAGAGTTCTTCTTTTATTAATGCGCGGGTTATTCTAAAGTCACGAAAACCTTTTGATCTGTTAATAAAAATGTTTTGTTTAATGGGGAAATATTTATTTCCTGCTTATAATTTCTATGAATTATTGAGCTTACTCCTTAATTATAGCATAATTTGCTGTCCTACTTTTTCGACAGCGGTAAATTGTTTCAGCAGTTATTTGCATAATTGCGCAATAATACTACGGGGTTACAGCGTTTTTACCAATCAAATACGTTTATATTTTAACTTGGATAACTTAATTTGAAATTGAAAAGGCTAAATATGGAAGTTTTTAAGATATCCCGACGAAGTATGGGAGTTTCATAGGATCAAATTCATGTACTATTTCGTGGGCTATTATTCGGTTGAGGACACATTGCGCGATTGTAGCAGACGAAATCCCATGTGTAGATGACATAGCTCTGAACGCGCCTGAGGGCGCGTCCGTCGCAAAAATGTTTCTGCTACATCTAAATATCTTTTAGTATTATCCGAATGTATGGACTCAAAAAATATATTATCAATTGAACCCAATCTGTCTCTTTTAAAACTGGTCAAATTTTACGGTATTATAAAAAAAGACAAGGAGTGACATCCGCCATTTGCCGCAACGTTTTCGGCATGAGTTTATCCCCTTTGGCTACAATTGATTACTATTTTTTCAGAATTTTGTTCCCGTTATTTTTGTCAACTATCAGGTATCGTCCGGATATAACGTTAACGGTTTATTGTTTACACGTGTTGACATGTATAGGCGGCATTATAACGGGCGTATTCGTGTTTTGATTTGTTAACATGGAGAAAACAGACACTTTAGTAATAGGGTCCAACTGATTTTGCCTGACTGAAAAAGGGAATATTAAAACATGATCCATAGATAAATATTTTAGGCACTCATCTGGTATTCATTACTAAAAAAAATAAAACAAAAATCAAGCATATCAAGGGGAATAACTTACGCCGAACGTTGCGGCAAATGGCGGATGTCACTCCTTTTCTTTTTTCAATATACCGTAAATTTGACTGATTTTTAAATTAGCAGATTATATTAAATTGAGATTAGACAATTAAAGACCACCTGCTCGCATAATATGAAAAGATATTCAAAGGTCGGACAAACAATATGTAAAGCCGGTACGGATTCGGATTTATGCGCCGCAATATGCGGTCCTGTTCCAGAGTTCCTATGATACATAGATATGATTAGAATGTGCCTATACTTTGCTTAAGTTTGCTCTCTTTCTCTTTATCAAACGTATCATTTCTATTGTGTTTTGATTGAAATAGAAAAATGTGCTTTGTGTTACACGAGTTCAAAATGATATAATTTGATATTTTATTCTTTATAAATGGTATAAAGATATATCTATGAAATGTTTGTTTAATATCTAAACACAGTAAGCATTACTTGTCCATACTGTTATCGTCGATTATCAAAAGTTTTGTACAGTAACAGAGAACGATTATGTGATTCTACACACACTCTAATGCATACTATATGTAAACAGAATAAAATGTTTTGGAACATGTGCCATTCACTCAAACAAAACTGTTGTATATTTGTTGATGAAAATTTATTGAGCAAAGTGTATTTACTGATCAATGTGAATCAAGTTGCTGCCACATGTACTCTGCACTGCGTAAAAATTATGTAAAACCCAAATTATTTGACAGTAGTACTCAAACTATAGATATTGTTCAACTTGATCATAATTACTGGTACAAGGAAAAAACAAGAAATGCATCAACACAACATTCAGTACATGAATTTACAGCAGACAACATTAAAACAGATACCGATTCGAAGTTTTACACAGGACTTAGCTTGTCAGTGTTTATGACATTAATATCCACACTTTCTCAGTATGGTAAAAACTTGTCATATATTAAGTTAAGTGTACCTGATCAAATTTTATCAGAACTGATGCGACTGGGATTAGCATTAACATTCAGGGATATTGCAAGGAGATTTGACATTTCGCATCAATTAGCTAGCAATATATTTCCATTCATGGATTGACATTATGGCAGAGCATTTATCTGCTTGTATAGTTTGGCTACTAAGAGAAACAATAAGACGGACCCTTCCATCTTCCTTTAAAACTTCATTCCCTTAGACAACTTGCATTATCGATTGTTCTGAAATTTTCATCCAAAGGCCATTTTCCTTAAAAGCTAGAAACAAAATATTAATCATTAAAAGAAGCAAATAAAACTCTGAAGGTAATTGCTGCCTTATGTAACACGAGGGACTCTCTCATAAAGGAATGAGAAGAAGAAAACGATAAAAATCAAAATTTAATAACATATCAACCAATCAGTCAAATAGCAAGCATAGACAATAGATAATAATCATACTAAACTTGCGATCAAATAATATTATTTAAGGTTTCAATAAACTGGCTTTGCCTAAAACCATTATCAATTGACTAAATGTATATTGTGTATAAATTCAAGTTGAATATTATTTCGAATAAACTTATATGTTTTAATTGTTCCTATTCATTAAAATTTCTGAGATGTTATTATTCGAAATCAATCTCCACAAGTTCTTAACAACTTCTCAACATAATTTTTACATATTTATATATCAGTTGCAAAACCTTTTTGAATTTCCTAATCAAAGACTTAATTAAACACTGTCCAATAATAACAATATCCACAAGTACTTAACACATAATCAACAATGGCATTGTGTATAAATTCAAGTTGAATATTGATTATTATTTACGCATTTTAAGTTTGTTGATTAAAAGCTCTAAATATATTCAAATCTTACGCTAAATTAATTTACTGTTCATTACATACAATGACAAGTAAAAAGTTAACGTTTTATCGCCTTTCATTACGACAATAATCAACACAAATATAGTTTATCAGTTTTCCCTATATATCTAATATGATCATGGATCCCGGGCTTCCCGGATCCCGGGATTTTTCCCCATCATTAAATAGCCGATAAATATGCTAAGACCGATATTATTTCTTAATTTTATTATATTGCGTTATACTCGTTAATTCTTGATGTATTTGAGCCGTGTCACGACAAAACCAACGTAATGCGTTTGCGACCATCATGGATCCAGACCAGCCTGCGCATCCGCGCAGTCTGATCAGGATCCATGCTGTTCGCTTACCAACCCTATAACAAGTAGAGAAACTGATAGCGAACAGCATGGATCCTGATCAGACTGCGCGGATGCGCAGGATGGTCTGGATCCATGCTGGTCGAGAACCCATTATGTTGGTTTTGTCATGACACGGCCCATTTGATTTAGAAAATGGTTGAAAAACCAAATTAAAGCTTCCGTCTGACTTCACCAGCCATACTTTCAAAAGATAATATCACGGAAGGTTTACCTTACCGACGACTGGATTTCTCTCATTTTAAGCCAACAGGGTTTTTATCAAATAGAAGACTTTACATTTGGATGACCTAATGTTTGTGTGTATTTTGAAGTCAATTCAGTATATCTTGTAACCGACATTTTATTTGTTTTTATTTGAGACGTTTCTTCTTAACATAGTGATCTTTTTTTTATGACCATTCATATCTCTTTGCCATTTGCACAGACGTGTTACTATTCAATGTACCTGAATTTTCACATGTCGTAAACAAATTTACTGCGTGGTTCTGTATTACCTTTTTTTTTTTTTCATGTTTTTTGTTTTTGTTTTCTTGCCGCGACTGCATTCTTACATCTTTGGACTAAGTTATTTAAGTATTCTTATTTATTACGTAGGTCCAAACTCCTCTCTAGAGGAAGGTTTCGTTCTTTTCCCTTCGCATGTCTAAGAATAATTTCCCATCTCTATGTGCCTCGTTTGGTTTGGTTATTTGGACACAGTGTTTATATCAGCTCATAGCTTCATACACATTCGAACTGAAATAAAGTTTGTTTTAACTAATAGTGTCTTGCCACATTCACAGATCATATAAAATATAAAGAATATAAAAAGATATACTCGGAATTAATTTGAAAATTGATATTTAAGGCAATTCTTAGCCCGATTTGTGTAAAAACGTCTTCGCCTCTCAATTTTAGGACATTTAAAAAAAATACAGAGCGAATATTCAGAAATTTTCACACAATTTATTGTTATAGACCTTCACCAATAGGTATAAAAAGTCTGGAAAAAAATATTTCCAGTCCTGTCATGTCAAAAAGTTTGAGTGGAGTCGCATTGGGATATTGTTAAACTGTTATTTAATTAACTTCATTTGACAAAACTGCACTCTTCCTGCAGAGCCCTTGTCTGTATATGATAATCTGAGGTCAGACCTTTCTTCAAGAAATGTCTTTATCCTCTCAGTAAGCCAGGATCCAACTTTTAACAGAATAACGCTATTTTCATCCTTGAAAAACTTGCCAGACTCTACAATAACCTTTCTGACGACGTCGAGACCATCATTTCCGCCAAAGAGAGCATCGTGGTCCTCAAATTGTACGATTTCATTATCAAGTTCACTTATTTCTTCTGTTGTTAAATATGGAGGATTGCTCAAAACGACATCATAAGGTCCCCTTTGGGATAATTCGGATACTACCGAATCTGTCAATATGTCTCCGTGTATAACTTCAATTCTATCTTGGAGATTGTATCGTTTAGCATTGTCCATTGTTAATTCGCAAGAAGGTTTGCTTATGTCCATAGCAACACATTTCACATTAGGAAGTTTGTGTAGTATATACACAGCTAGAACTCCTGCTCCACAACCAACTTCTAAAACTTTCACTTCACGTTCCTGATCGAAAGGCCATTCTTTGATTATAATCTTTGCAAATTCTTCTGTTTCTGGCCTGGGAATTAGTACTGGTTGTTTCATCAGTAATGTCATGTCCAGAAAATCACATTGACCTAAAATAAAAGGTACAGGTGTACCTTTCAATCTCTCACCACACATTTCTTCAATTTTACTTAAAGTAGTTTCTGTTGGGACACTTTTCATGTCAACACCCTGTTTATCTTTCTTGCCTAATATATGCGCAACTATTTTGTTTACTGACCACTCAGCTTTCGGTATTTGAGCCTTTATCAGTCTCTCCGTCCATGTTTTTATAATCTCTTGAAAACTCAAACTTTTGCCATCGGAGTCCGTATTCTGCATATTTAGACCTTCATATACCCTGGTATAATGTAAATATCGAGAAGTTAATTTAAGTAGGTAACGCGTACAGTATCATACACATTTATACCTTGCAATAAAGTTTATGCTTTTCGAACGTTCGCTGCAAATGGTGTTAAAAGTAGGTTGAAGTTAGTTGTTATAAATAGCAATTAAGAAAAGAAAAAAAAAACATAGCCAACCGGATCTTTCCTGTATTCCTGATTTTTTCCTTCTAAATAGCCTTATATTAAACTGAAACTTTACTTTTAGTTTCTTTAAAGTACCTTGCACATGAGATCAATGCACTTAGAGTTATAATCATTCTGCGTTATCAATTTTTTCATTCATTTTTAGTCAGCTTTAGATCATAAATATGAAAAAGGTTATAAAAATTATAATAAATACATATTTAAAGTTTAAAATCATACCTGTAACAATAGCCTGTATTTGTGCAGATACCCCTGAGTCAACGAACCAGTTAAAATCCTCAACAACCTCTTTAAAATGTAAAATATTTTTAAATGTAGGTTATGTTACGATCAATACAGCTGAAACACGATATTCAAGCGGCTAACATAATATATGGTAGCTGTTTATTGAATAATTGAAAATAAAAACTATAAAACATACAATAAAGGAAAATAAATACAGAAGTGACTTCACAATCACAGGTACATATGGTGGCTGATTTGTGCCATTCGTGTTTTCGCCCCGCGACCCCGCAATGCCAAAAGTCGAAAATTAACAAGTTAAAACGGCGGGACGCGGAGCGAAAGCACTAATTAGCGAGGGAGCGGGGCGAAGTTTAAGAAATTAAACTTCGCCCGCGGGGGCGCGGAGCAAGATTTCAGAAATAAAACGGCGGGGTCGCGGGACGAAAACACGCTTATTAGCGGGGTCGCGGGACGAAGTTTGATAAATTAAACTTCGCCGCGCGCTCCGCTAATAAGCGTGTTGTTGTCCCGCTTATTAGTGGGGTCGAAGTTTAATAATTAAAATTTCGCCGCGCAACACGCTAATTAGCGTGTTTTCGTCCCGCGGCCCCGCCAAGCCAAAAGTCGATAATTAATATTAAGTTAAATGGCGGGGGCACGGAGCGAAAACACGATATAAGCGTGTTTTCGCCCCGCGCCCCCCGCCGTTTTATTTCTAAAATCTCGCTCCGAGAAGTTTTATTTCTTTAACTTCGCCCCGCGCCCTCGCTTATTAGCGTGTTTTCGCTCCGCGCTTCCGCCATTAGTTGTTAATTTTCGACTTTTCGCGGTCCCGGGGCGAAAACACGAATGGCACAAATCAGCCACCATATGTTCAGGAAACGAAAAAAATTATCTTTTATTTCTACGTTCAGGTTTCATTTAAATTACAGATGTATATTTTTTTCATGCTGCAGGCGAAAATAAAGTAACAATATTTAGAAGGATCGAACCAGTATATTAATGAAAAGTTAAAATAATATTGAAAGAATGATATAGCAGCCAAGTACTAGAATGAATAATGAAATGATGTTAAACGTACGGCAAAAACAACATAATGGGTTTGCGACCAGCATGGATCCAGACCAGAATGTGCATCCGCGCAGTCTGATCAGGATCCATGCTGTTAGCTATAAATTTCTCTACTTGTTAAAGAGTCTGTAAGCGAACAGCATGGATCCTGATCAGACTGCGCGGATGCGCAGGCTGGTCTGGATCCATGCTGGTCGCAAACCCATTATGTTGGTTTTGTCGTGACACGGCTCAAATGATGTTTAACGTACGGCATAAACACATAACGAATTACGTTAAGTCTGAACAACGGCTTATTTAATCTGAACGTTTAACGGGTATACTTGACAAATGACGTACACTTAATGTATTCTATAAAGACTGAAGTATGACATAAAGACTTGACGAATGATATTAAATCGAAAACAAGAAAAAGAGCAATGTAAAGATTGTAAAACTGTACGGCCAGGAGCTTTAACGCTTTGCTGGAAGATTTCAACGGTGTACTAAACGTTACTGTTTCTCATTGCTAATGCACGTTCAAAATATATGCAAAATGACAAAATAACATTTGCCATGTGACTTAGATCATAGACTTAGTTATCCAGCGAAATTTTCGTACAGTAATTGTTTTATTATGATTAAAGCAGCATGCCCCTAGATTCATGCTGATTTTCATGAAAATTTTGAAAATGTATTTAAAAGTAAAATATTGTGAAGTGAACAAAGAAAATAATTTACACATTGCAAACATCACTTACAATCCACGTAAATTACCACAAAGAGGTCAAAATATACATAAATACCTATTACTGCATTAGTAACACAGTAGAATTATAGTGATTAATACTGCAAAATATTGATTGTAAACTTGCTATCAAACCAAATATTACCAGTATTGTTCCCATTATTAAATCTTGTTTTCTAATCATAAATACTTTCTTAATTAATGTACATATATCTCTGTTCACGAACTAGCTTGTAGGAGACAATTATTTAGACGGAAAAATACGTACATATTTCATTTCATGTAGCTTTAACAGTAAACAGTAGACATTTTATTTTATTCGAATATGCTTTAAAGCCCATGAGGACACAAAACATGCAAAATAACGACATCAACATATATACATAATATCAACACAAATTATTGCAGGATAAATAATCGTGTATGCTACAAAACAATGTACAGATCTATATTGAATTTAATTTACAATAGAATTTCTAATCTTAAGCTGTTCGGGAAAAAAATAATTTTAGTCTTTTGTTATAAACAAAAATATTTTAACGATTAAACAAAGATTTCTTTCTTTTTAGATAAGCGTTAACAAGGTACGAGTATTTAGCTACTTTTCGTGGAAAGCTTACAACAAGATATTTCATTTTGATATAACGTTCATGTTCATAAAATCGGTATTCATAAATTTTTCACTACAAATGTCTACTCTGATGTTGTTGTAAAAGGGACATTGGACTAAAAAGTGCTTTTCATCTTCTATTTTATTATCGGTACAGAACAAACAAATTCTCTGCTCTGGTGTTTCACTGATATAACGTCCAGTTTCAATCTTTAACGGGAGAATGCCACACCTAAACTGAGATAACACTGATCTTTCTTTTTTATTCAAATTTAACTGTACATATTTTTCTGTTATAAAATTTTCCTTAAGGGTAACATAGGTTCGTAATTTCGGTACTTTTTGTATGTCAGTTTTCTAAATATCCGTATAATATTAAGTTATTTTGGTCTAAACATTATCTATGCTTATAACGGTTTTGTTCTCAAAATGACTGACCAAGTTCAATTTTGTCATAACTGTTTTAACGTCACTGCACCAATTATTACTGCATTTATCGTAGTCTATGTCGAAGACGCGTTTAGTAATCCTATTATCATTGAATATTAAAGCCTATTCAAACTATATCGTATTATTGATATCCAACGGCGATAGTTTCTTGTTAGCCAACCAGTGTCTCCAGTGAGTGCAAGTTTGGAGGCGAAACGGTGAATACAGAGAAAATAGCGTATATATAGCACAGTATTGTATTTTGCCTATTGATTGGTATTGTTTGAATCTCCATATAGAAGCACAATAATCTAAGAAAGGTATCACACATGATTCGAACAGTTTTGTAAATGATTTATATCCACAATCTTTATAGTTATGTATTAATAAAAATGTACAGGGAAATGTAAAACGGTTCAACCAATGACATTACAGGGCAGAAATAGGACAGTAGGGGTGAACATGAGGACAAGTTTTGTTAACTAAATGTACAGAAACTCTTAGGGAAACATACAATAAACTAGACTCAAGTGAAATGAAACATTTATTCGAAAATAATGAGATTGTTCTTTTTAAAGAGACATGGTCAAATGATTTTATTAACTATGAAGTTTCAAACTTTGATTATTATATTTTACATAGAAAATTAAAATCTAAATGTGCAAAAAGAGACAGTGGTGGTTTAATAATATATGTCCATCATAAATTAAAACAATTTGTTGAACTTGTTTAATTTTCAGGTGACTGTTTGATATGGCTGAAATTTAGTAAATCATTGTTTAATTTTGGAAATGATTTAGTTGTGTGTTTGGCTTATAACACCCCAAAGGGTACCCAAACAAAACAAGATAACTTAAAGAATGAATCAGTATAATAAATGATTAACAAATTTACCATTTATTCACAATTTATTATAGATGGAAATGACATGCAAATGAGCCAATGCATTATAAATAAATTGTAAATAAATCAGTGAAATGAATTGGTAATAAATTGGGTCCATTAACCAACTTATTATAATTTGTTAATAAATCATACAAATGGGTAATGAATTGGGTCCTTTTCTCGACTTGAATTGTCAACAAATCAGGTCAATCAATTGGCAATAAATTAGGTTCGCTGACCAACTGATTCATTAATGAATTGCATATAAATTGTTAATGAATCAGTAATAAATTTTATTCTTTCCTCTTCCATAAACCGAAATTCGTCGGATTAATGAATCATTAACAAATCAGATTTGCCTGCTTATATTCATCTAATGGATTTTGAATAAATGCAAGAGCCAATGATGGTGTCAATTCCGGAGAAAAAAATATGATAATAATAATTATAATAATCATAATATATCTTGATAAATTTTATTTCTTTTTCTTTTATTTTTTTACAAACAAAAGCTGACTAGATAAATCAGGAACATACAACAAGATTAACATTTGTGAAAAAATGCTATGCCACCACATTAAAAAATTGAAATTTCTAAATCATAAAGTGCTTAGACCATTTCATAAATATCCCTGCAAATAAAACAGGTAATCGCCTCATATCATTTTATAAATATCTCGACATTCCGAATTTCATTATTTAGCTATAATCCTGACCTCCTAGAGCAGAGCGAATTTTCCAAAGATATAAAAACAAATATGTTACGAATTTGTCATATTATAATGATATGGGAGTTGATATGAAATTTAAAATTTAAGTTTTGAAATAATCCTTCTAAAATAAAAAAAAAATCCATTATTTTTAGAAAAGAAATATGAGCCCAAAGGGGAATAATTCTGGAAATATTCATGCTAGCGTTAGCATGCTAGCGTTAGCTAGCGTTCATGCAAGCGTCTTTGCCTTCATTTTCTGTGTCTGTCTGGAGCTACACATTTTTTTATTCCAATAATCATTAATTGTTTGAATGTCTTTACTGAGACAATGAATGGCATGCTCTGAAATAGAAAAGAAAATTCTCAAAAAGAGTATCATATTTATAAATAAATAAAAAATGAAAATAAAATAAAATTAGACTTCTGACATATCACTCTGAAAAAAGTACAATATATTTTTGTTCTATTTGCAATACAATCTGAATTTGAATTTCAACTCGAGCCATACAAACAAACACACTAAAGGACTCAACCACATTGGACTGTACATGTTCTATTGACTAAAACACAGCAGTATATTTCACACAGTCTGATGATAGATAAATATTTGTTCATAAAACAAACGGATGAATGTTCGATTTCATTTTCAACAGAGAAATGAACGAATATTGTGTAGCAAGCCCACAGTTTTTTATCCCCCGCATGGCATTTGTCAGGAGCTTATCTCAAAAAGTAT